CTAGGAGTTTCGCCAGGCGTTTTCATCACAGATAAAGAGCTAGCACTCAAGAATGCGCTGGCTGAGTTCTTTCCTACTGTTCCTCAACTCCTGTGCAAATGGCACGTGCAGAAGAACATCGCCAGCAAGGCTATGGCTATCTGGAAGGACGATGAGCAAGCAGCAACTAATGCTATAGATCTACAGGATGCAGCACGTGCCTCTCAAGATCTAACAATAGCTGAGATTGAGGCTATACAGAAAGATCGAAAGAAATTCATCAACGAGCTCAACTTCTGCTTGGCAAAACCTGTAGAGGATGAGTTTGTGGCCGCTTGGAACAAGATAAAATCAGATTATGCGCACAAACAACTCCTGGTTGATTACCTCACTGAAGAGTGGTGGCCATATAGAAAGGAGATTGCTACGTATCATACTGGCCTTCTGCCGCACTTCGGCAACACCACAACCTCACGGCTTGAAGGTTCAAACGGCAGCATCAAATCATATCTTCAGATCTCGACAGGTGACTTATATGATGTAGTTACACTACTATCTCAATACATTCACCGCCAAGGTGTAGAGCTAAAGGACCAGCTTGGCCGACAACGTAGAGCTCCTCAGCACGAGGTAAAGCTGCCCGAATTTAGTGAGGTTATTGGAAAAGCTACTGAGCAGGGCCTCCGATTGATCGCCAAGCAGATTAAGAAGGTTAAGGACAACAATTTTAACCTGATATGCAACAGAACATTCAGAGGGACGTACGGCATGCCATGCTGTCACGAAATACACCGAAAACTGCACGCTACATCGACAGCTGAGTATAAAGTTGTGCTAGAGGATGTTCATCAACACTGGTGGTTCAATCGTCCTGTTCCAAACGAGGTGGACCTTCCTGTAGATCCTCTCCTTCTCATCGAGGCTCCAGCAATTGTACAGCGTCGTAAAGGCCGGCCAACGGGCTCTGCTGCACCTCGTCAAACAACAGCAGGCCGTGGCCGTGGCCGTGGCCGTGGCCGTGCATCTGTATCTGTCAACTCAACTCAACGTGATCAATCTCAATTCGAAATTGATGCTCAACAAGATCCAGTGAGCGTAGCGCAGCGAGCACAACGGCGTGGTGGAGGACCACTCAGGTTGAAATTGATGTGAACTCTGATTTCTATAGACGTCTAGCTAGTTGTATATATACTAGGGGAAGGAAGGGGGCCACCCCCAGGGTGGCGCGCTAGTAAGTTCAGATGAGCCCTGCACAGCTGAGGCTTCAGCTCGGTTCTCTACAGCTGAGATTTCAGCTGGGTTCTCTACAGCTGATGTTCGGAGAGTAGCTTTCTGGCATATGAGTTGTTGATCCTAGGTTGTAGTGCTGCAACCTGAGTGGACCAGGATCACGTGGAGGAACATCACATCTCCGGCGAACTCGTAAGACTACTGCTCGTGCACAACAAGAGCAGAGTGTTGCAAGTGGACAGGAACTAACACAATCGATGCAGATTGCGACACAGGCCAGCCAAATTACTATAGCAGGTGTCTCCACAGGCACGCCGGTGGTCGAGCGGACCATTGTCGTATTCAACAATCCTGTACAGTTCACAAATACAGCACTAGACCTCTCCGCCGGACAAGCAGGCACTCCAACAGCTACTCAGGGCTCTATTTCCTTAGTCCCCGACAGCCAACCAGCCCCTGAGGATGCCCCTATGTCCACGCCTGAGGAGGAGGCTGCTCGTGGTGAAGCAATAGCTGTGAGGCCTTGGTATACAGGTGTAGTTGGCGTTCCTTTCAGTCAGCAATTGGACGGTGGCCATCTAGGCGCCTTCCGCTGGTAGAGTAGCCCGCTGGTAGCTAGTAGATAGAGTGAATAGACTCCTATTGGCCTAGATGATGCAGCAGATGATGCAGCCGATGATGCAGCCTTTTCGTTTCGTGATGTATACTCTCCATCTTACGCAGTCTACACGGAGGCAAGCGAGTGAGTTTGATTGGTGGAACAATATTTATACGGGCCGGAGCTAGGCTAAATGTAGGGGGGGGCTAGGAAGAGAAAAGGGGGGGGCTACGGAGAGAATAGGGGGGTGGTAATTAAGCTCGTCCGGTAAGAAACACGAACCAGGAAACACGTACCAAGAGATGCGAAAAGGGGTCAAAAAAGCACCTACCATTTTCGAATCTAGCCAATCAACCGAGCAATGGGAAAGCGACTGAACAAATCAAGTTTTCTTCTATGCAACCAGTTAAGGTGACTTTTACAAGAAGCATCAAGCCCTGGGGCTACATTCATCCCAATGCCAACCGCCGACATCGGTACTTCAGCGGGCCAGCCCGAAAGCCAGCCAACCGAGCTCGCGTCCGTCAACAGTACCCTCGTGCAGAGAAACCCACAAGTAGACCCAGATGCAGAAATCAACAGGCAGCCAGCCAGCCTTGCAGCCAGCTCGCCAGACCATGTCGTCCACATAATCCCACGAGAAACAAGTTAGCTAGCCAGCCCTAGAGCCGGCCTGCCAAACTCGAGTCCCAGGTATCCGTAGTACCCACCCAAACAAATAAAAAAGGCGCCTCGCCCCAAATATGTGCCGCCCTTGAGCCAGGCAATGCATGCAAACAAAACTCCTAACTAAATGCAAATCACAGGATATTACCGCCGTACAGAGCTGTCTGGTGAATCTCGTCCCTGCGCCTTAATTGCTAGTGATGTTCGTGAAAGCGCGTTCGGGTGTACAAATTGACCTCCACATGAGTTCCAGAGATGGAGGGCATCACGACATTGAATCCAGAATGTGCCAGCCAGTATGGGCAAAAGAAAAGAAGAAAACAGTACGGTATACCGACCGCTGTAGAAAAGACCAGGGGTCCGCCTCGGATGCTTTTTTGTATATTCGCCAGGACCAGAAGGCCTTCCGGTACAAGTCGCGGGGTGCGAAATCCAAAGAGGGGAGCCCGAGCCATCTGTATGCAGGTGTCGACGTTGGTAGTCGAATTATGAACAAGGCAAGGAAAAGTCCGCTCGTGCGCCGTTTATGCGTTGTTGTCGTGATCGTTTTTACAGGGCGCTGAAGGACTGGGTATCATGATTTAATGGACAATCGAGCTCAACTCGCTAGGCAATTGGTGTTTCCTGAGAGATCGATCCAGGGAAGTCTTTCCGGGGGTTTCAGGGGGCATCGACATCGGCAGCGTCCGTCATAGTAACGTCTGCCTCTGCATCAGATCGCGAATCACGGCCAGAGAGAATCGGCGGTGGCGGAGGAGGTTGTCCTCGGGGCCAGGCGGGCTCAGCGTTTGGAGAAAACGACCACACCTGTGCATTTAGTCAGCAAACCGTAAATCAACCTCGACGACGCCAACCCTTCCAGCTGAACGTCTCACACGTATTCACTCACCTCCATAATGGTGCGGCCCCCTCGGCTGGCCATGACAACGGCCTTTTCCTCTTCGAAAACGACCCGCCAAACAGCTTCAGCCGGCGACCCAAGCTCCCTCACCAGCAAGCCCGTTTTGAGGTCCCATACCTTGACGCGCCCATCACTGCCGCCACTCACAATACGAGTGTGGTCAAATTGCAGGCTCGTGACGCTATTGTCGTGCGCTGCGAGACGGTGGATGGGCTGGTTGTTGGCCAGCGACCAAACTCGGACCGAGCCGTCAGAACCACCAGTGACGAGCACGTCCTCCCGCATCTGCAATTGACCAACGAGAGAAGTATGGCCTTGCAAGACAGCAAGGTTTCGCCTACGCAGCTACATTAGTACTAATCCGGGTCGAGTTCAATCGGCGTGCTTACCCATCAACGGGATCCCAAATACGGACACTCGTGTCAAGACTACCCGTAGCGATCTTCTTGCCATCGAATGCGATCGCATATATCTGACTGAAATGACCAGTCAACGTACGAAGGCACCGACCCTCCGAGATAGACCATATACGCGCGGTGGTGTCGTAGCTACCGGATACAACAAGATCCCCATGGATATCTAGGCACCGCACGCTAGCCTGATGACCGACTAAGACGTGTTTGCATATCCCCTTCTTGAGATCCCAAATACGCAGCGTGGTGTCTCTGGAACCAGAGATCGCGGTATCAGCATCTGACATCTTGAGACATCTGACCGTTGAAGTATGACCTCTCAAGACATGGACGGAACTTCTGTCTAAGCATAAATACGGAATCCCGAACATAGAGTCGGAGTAAGGAAGTGTAGGAGAGTCTACGAACCCGGAATTTAGATTCCATACGCGCACGTCACGATCGCAGCCGCCGCTCACCAAGAGATCGCCCCAAGGGACCATCGCCCAGACTCCCATCACGTGGCCCGTGAGTGTCTTAAGGTGGTTCCCGAGCACATCGAACACATGGATTTTCGCATTGTCGAGGGCAACAATGATGTACTTCATCGTCAGATGGAGACTCGTAACGACCCCTTGGTCTGGCGTGATTTGGCGAGAGTCGCAATGACCCCCTGAGCGCCAGGCGGTCTCCACCATATATCGCTGTTTGAAGAAGGACTGGAAGTCGTCTACACCTTCCGGCCATACTTCTTTTAGGAACTTGACAGCCTCATCAGGGTTCATTGTTTCCTGGTAACCGCGCACTTGCAATTTTGCTTTATGAAATTGTTCGCATTGGTCTTGGGGCGATAGACCAAGGAATTTCTTGCTCATAGTCTCATATCCGTACTTCTCGCATAATGACTTCCACGCCATATCATCGTTAACCATGGTGTGCCAGCGTTTGGAAACCTGCGAGGCGCGGGTGAGGGTAGCGGGGTCGTCGAAATGTTCCAGGACCTAGGTGCGAACGTCAGAAAAGTCATGCATTCAGACATGATTTACCACTTACTCTGAGAATCAATTCGTCTGGGAGGACCATCATAGGGTCTTTTTGGAGTCTCGGGGTTACGAAATCTTTGACGAAACTCAGTAAATTGGTGTCGCACATATTGAGAACTTCTCCCAGCAGGCGCTTGCGTTCATCCGTACTGAGGTCCTTGAAAAGAGTGCGGATCGCTCTGAATTGAGGATCCTCATACTCGTTGGCCTGGCTCCAATCCAGGTCTTGTTGCGTCGGTGACGGACTGGGCGCTGGAGTCGGAGGCGACGCTGGTGCAGACGGAAGAAGACTATGTGGTATAGAGGAAGAGAGCGGGCTTATAGGCGTATGGATTGATCGTGGTGCAGTGCGCGACATCATACTGCGCTTTCGAGTACGAGTTGTTGGCGAGGGGAATATGGTAGGAGGTCCTGTTAGGGCGACGGGCGAGATCATAGATCCGTCCATGTCAGCCTCAAGATCCGGACTGGTTCGCCCTCCGTCCTGGAGTCTAGGAAAGTCTCCCTCCATGGTGTCGAGTGTAGGAGCTGTGGTGCTGGAAGCGCTGAGGAGGCTCGAGGTAGTGTTGCTGCTCTCGCCCGTCACCGCGGTGTTGTATGGTAAGCAACGAGTCGTGTCCTGCAGCAGGGCATTCGAGCCGACCAGGCCGTCTCAAGAGGAAGCACAAGGACGGGTGTTCCGGGAGAATGCAGTCGATGGCTAGTGTTTCGAATGGGAGAGGGTGTGAAGTGGACGACCCAGGAGCCGCGACAGGGCTTAAGCGCGCCGGGGAGCACGGCGCTTGCAGAGAACAGAGCACGCCCGAACAGACGAATCGAAGAGCACAGAGCCAGCAAGACGCGCGCGACGAGGAGGTTGAGGTCGGAATGGAGAGGGAGATGAGCGAGCAGTGAGGGAGGTTGCGTCGGTGGTTGTTGAAGCGGCCGTCCAAGAAATGGATGGCGCGCAGCAAGCGGATGACCCAGGGAACGCCTCGTTCACGCCAGCGCCAGTAGGTACGCCCTCGAGGCCCTGCGTTGGATGATGGGTGATCGGGACGGTCCGAGTGCAGGCCGTGGTTGAGAGCACCAGACGCCTGCCGCTGCTGAGGTCTTCGTCTTCCACGGTGGTGTCTCCAGCGCCCAGCGTGCCTGAATCTGCCGCCAGGGGCCGGTCAGCTGCCCTCCACACTCCCTTCTGACCGCCTTGTTCTGGAGCTTTTGGCGCCCTTAGGCATCGGCGGCGAAACCTTGACGGACGGCCAGGAATAGTGCCAGACTGGCGCTTCCAACATGCCCGACGACCAGTTCTCCAGACAGCAGGCACTACCGGCCCCTCCCGTGGACCGCCCGCGTCTCCACGACGAGTCTGCGGGCAGCAACCAGGACAGAATGGTTATGTACGGTTCAACTGGATATCAGTGCCTTTGAAGCACAATTTTTCCTTTTTATATGGCTAAATCGTGTCCCTGTACTGAGACTACCGCGGATGGCCGATATAAAAGGTTCCTAGTACATACAATCATGCGACAGGCAGGTCCATTTAGACGGTATCAAGCCATAGTCCAAGTTCGCAATGGCAAACTCGCTAGGATCCAGCGATAGAATCATGCAGACTACTTTCGGTGGTTTTCGATTTCTCAGCACTCAGACGAAGGCCGCGCCATCGTTATGCCGCCATATCCGGAAATAGTTCCAGAGACTACCTAGCACAGAAGAGAGAATGTCAATGAAAAATAATTTATAGGAAATTAAAGCTTGAGTATCACATAGATGCATCAGAACAAGTCGCCAGGGAGCCATGTTGGCGCAAAGAAAGTCCCATCAATCCTCCAGCAACACCACCTCCGCCGTAACAACTCCAAACAGCCGGCCCTGGAACGGTATAACTATTGAGATTACTGTAGATATAGGCTGCATCCCCCGGATCGCCCGCCGAGAACGCTCCCGGACTACTGACGCCGCTGGGGCGCAACGAGCCACTCCTCCATCAGCTTAAACTGCGAACCAGAACATAGAACTAAGGAATCCCCACCGGATATGGGCTGTAGATAGCCAGCGACTGTATGCACCAAATGTAGTCTCCCGCGGCTAGATACGAGGGAATGGTAACTGTGCAGCTCTCTACCAAGATTTCAGTCTTTGTTATCTCGGGGACAAGTAGAATCTAGGAGGCTATTGGCTTACGCTCTGGATCCCACGTACCACCACGGTTTCCTTGTCAGCGCTTGTTGAGACGTTGGTCTTGTGGTCCTCACGGAAAGGTCGGCCCAATTCCCTTTATCGTAGGCCATGGGGTGCTACCGTTGGCAGCATTGGTGTCGGAGACTTTGGTCATGTAGCTGCACTCGTAAGTCTTGTGGTTTGAATGTGCTTGTCCTCATAACCTTACAAAGAGATTGGCCTTGATGGGAGGCGGCCACCAAAAAAGAGGTCAATAACGTTCCCCCCTGGGTGGCGCACAACCCCCCGTGCAGCATGAAATATATTGTTTAGGCATCTCACTCTCCCCCTTGCGATTTTATCGAGTTATAATTAGTGTATTGCAATTCTTTAACCATTTCTGCCTAGGAAATTGGTATGCAGCCAAAAAAAATACATCGCTTTAATTATACTGTTGATCGTTCCTTTTAGAGCATCTAGAACTACATTAGCGCTGCATCCCTGCTGCACCACGACTGTCTACAAAATTTCAAAATTCGGAGCATTATATTGATAGTTTCTGGACGAAAGAAGATATATCTGAATTTTGAGAGCACTAAGCCCTTGGAAGGATATATTTCGGATTTATCCGCGCGAAGGGGTCCGCAACGTATCTTGGCATAAGCGTTTAGCGCGGTATTAGATATCTAGCTAGTTGTATTGTATTCTATGCTATGCCTAACTAACTCAACATGTGGCGCTCTTCTGGAAATATTGTCGCACTTTGGTGTGCACAGGGCGAAGCAGGATCGGAAGATAATTTTGTTAAAACTTATAATAAGGTGCTACTAGAGCCTGCAGGACTTACTATAGTGCCTAGAAGCCACTATTAGCATTATAGCTACTGTTGTACAAAGATTTATGCAAGTTCGCCGCCTGTGTTAGGGCTAGTGCAATGTGGTCTCCGCGCGCTTTAGGCGTCGCTTATAGTGTTTTTTAACACGGGTTATTAGATCGCCCAGCGCGTGGTTGCGCACAATCCCTGTGTCTGAGAACAGCTTAGGTTGCGCTGCTATCAAAATTAACTTTCCCTATTGCTAGCTTACTACAATAGGCCTTCTAGCTCCCCATCCGCTCTGTGGCGTATTTGCGTCCTGTACACACGTTGCATCGCTAAGGCAGTATTACTTAGGTCCTCTTGCAGGAATACGCGCTATAAGCCTCCCAACTCCTATATTGCTCTTTCACCGTTACCTCTATTCCTTCTTCCCTTCTGCTTTCTTCGCGCACACACAATCGCCCACCCTAGGAATCTTGCTCTGCGTCCGAATATCAACGCTTAACTGAAGAATTATTATACCAAGGAATAAAACAGCGCCCGAAATGAGAATAATGGCTAGTATGAGCAAGCTGATGTAAACCTTGGTTTCCCAAGGCAAGATGATGTGCTGCTCGAAGTAGACCATGATAGCTAATGCAATTAGTCTGAAATTTAATGAAGTTTCTAATGCTAGGTAAAAAACGCAATAAGCTGAATGTGCGACTTACTTTAGAAGGACGTAGTGTTAGATATGTAAGGGTATAGCTTGTGTTCTATTCCTAGTTAGTAATACTTTGGTTGGGATAGCGGAAGTGCCAACTATATTCTCACATATAAGAATGGTGGACCTGTGCTTAGAGCTTAAAATAAAAGGCGGGAACAGTGTTTTGCTGGCAGCAGCTGAAACACGAAGTGTATAACTTTCTCAGCTTGGAGTGTGGGGGGAACTAATAGCTATAGAGGTTGGGACGGTCGGGGACACGTTGGGCTGAAAGGTTGGGAGCGGAGGCAGGGTGGGGTTCAGCAAGCCCACAACTTGGCTTGCTAGATGACATAAGTAAACTACACCGTAATGATTACGTAATCGTTCTGCACTAGCCAAGATTAGTAAGTGCTTTCATCGGAAGTACCGACCAGGGTAGCGACTTTGCATGGATTTGCATGCGATAGCAGCCACAAGGCTGATGACAACTTCACAGTACGGTAGTAAGGTCCTAAGGCTCGGATAAGGCCCTTTTATAAGCATTAGGAGTAATAGGAGCTCGACTGTGGTGCTGTGGCGACGGAGTTCAGTTACACCGTGATAGAAGGCTCTTCGTAAATTAGGCGCGAAGACAACAATGCGAACGTAATTTTTAGGTGGGAGGTGTTCTAAGTGTTCAGGAGTGGCTACAGTACACGAGCTATATAGAACTATAGGAAATCTTCATGTTTGCACCGAGTCTAAGTTGTTTGAAGTCAAAGTACCCCTTATATTTTCCGGCACGGTGGGTTTTGCGCCACTCAGGGGCGGACGTTAGTTCTGGAACTCTGAGCGTCAGTTGTGGGCGCTCACCGTCCGCGGTAAATGTTATAGAGGAGCCCGCAGTAATAGCCACTGTGGTTGTCCCGTTCTTGGTTCCTACTCCTACATTGCAATGCAAGTCAGGGGACAAGAGGTGCTCATCTGCGTTAATTTCCAAGAGTATCCAAGGCCCTCTTGTGACCACGAAGCAGTGACTGGGAAATTATAGCTGGTGCTCTTTCAGACATTATGGTACTCTGGCCCTTCTGCTCTATTAGTTGTTAGAGATTGGAAGATGTCTGACCTGTGTTACTTTCTAGGGCTGTGAGATTTACGCGACTGCTGACAGTGGCTATGGGCAGGCTGGGTACAAAAGGATGCAGTCGTTACGAGGTTGCCTAGTCCTTTCAAATAGGGTGCTTAGTTTCCGATGTGTATATTCAGGCGAAGGGTGAGCGCGATCTTCGAGAGGCTCCTACATTTACTAAACATTTTCTTACACTTATCATTCCTCGGACACACTCCCTTCTTTGAAAATCTACTCCGTATTGAGCCAGGTAGAAGATTGATTACTTTTCTGTCTACTCCTTCCCTTCGATACCAGCGCAGTATAGCTGCAAACCAGACAAAATAAATGGAAAAGACAACGCGCCAGCCGTGTGGAAGCTGTATGGCTATTCCTTCAAGGAATCTAAATATAGCAAGGGTATAAATCGGCATTGTTTGCAATATTTACCGTGTGGGAACGTAAGACACGATATGTTTGAGATGGTCGGATGACACCATCAAATAGATTAACTCCATCGACATCCGGTCCGCGCCAACACCACCTAAACGTTTGTCCTCTGGGACAGTCGATTGTAATTTGTGTGATGGCACTGGTGTCGCTTGATGGTGATGAGGAATGCTTGAAGTGAGTTGCAGACTCTTCGAAGTTCATGTAGTCCTCAATGATAAATAACCATTGCGAGCTTCAATGGGCAATTGCCATCAACAAAGAGTTACATCCCAACTAAAGAGTGGGCAGAATAGCAACTGCAATCATTTCGAGGTGGTGATGGTGGAGTTGTGTTAAGTTGAAGCCACGTGACAGCCAGGGGCAAAGGCGGGGTTAAGCGGAGCTTGGAATATATTTTCAATCCGCGCTACATGAGATATCGTATGCCGTAAAATCACGCAATCCATTCACCCAAACTTCAGTGATGGGTTAGGAACGGGAACTGGCGTCTCTTCCTTCTGTCCTTCTCGAGGGTGCTCCGGCATCTCTCACACTTCATCTCCACATGAATAGCCCCCGTAGCATCACCGCCGCTGTGCGATATGCTCTCCGTGCCCCAGCCAAGCCTTTCTACAAGACATCTCGAATCGCCCCTCCACTGACGACAGTGCGTTCGCAATCCTCACAAACCTCTAGAAAGATACACCAACAGACAGCCCAAAATACTCAAGCAGCTGAGTCACTGGGTCCCGAACCCCTACCCTACGCGTCGACGAACCCAGCTCTTGCGTTTCCCTGTCTCGATGCCGTAGAATCGAGGTCCGCATCACTATCACGTCGCTCCTTGTCCGGGCCTGAGCCGGAGTATACTACCGGAAATCACCTCAATTTTCACTCGCAAGAACCTCTTCTACTGGATTGGGGAGGGATTTTGCCGGAATTCAATATCGCATACGAAACCTGGGGGACATTGAACAAAGACAGGAGCAATGCCATTTTGCTACATACCGGACTGTCCGCTTCAAGTCATGCCCACAGCACGGATATAAACCCGCAGCCAGGATGGTGGGAGAAATTCATTGGGCCAGGGTGCCCTCTGGATACTGATAAATACTTCGTCATCTGTACGAACGTAGTGGGTGGATGCTATGGCTCAACTGGACCCTCGTCCATAGACCCAGCAAACGGCGAACGCTATGCAACCAGATTCCCAATCCTGACCATGGAGGACATGGTCCGCGCCCAATTCAGACTTTTGGATAGCTTGCGTATCGAGAAGCTTTATGCAAGCGTAGGGTCGAGCATGGGCGGCATGCAAAGTCTCGCAGCTGGTGTCCTCTTCTCTGAGAGGGTAGGGCGCGTGGTCAGCATCAGTGGATGCGCTCGTAGCCACCCTTATAGCATTGCCATGCGACATACTCAACGCCAAGGCAAGTCACATCACCACGTTGTGATTATCAGTACTAACCCTCATTGCAGTGCTTATGATGGATCCAAACTGGTCCCGTGGTTTCTACTACGATGGAATACCGCCACATGGGGGAATGAAACTGGCTCGCGAAATTGCTACAGTAACATATCGAAGTGGTCCCGAATGGGAACAGCGATTTGGCCGCCGACGTGCCGATCCTTCGAAACCCCCTGCGCTGTGCCCGGACTTCCTCATTGAGACATATCTCGACCATGCCGGCGAGAAATGGTGCCTCCAGTACGATCCTAACAGTCTACTCTACGTGTCGAAAGCCATGGATCTATTCGACTTAGGACAAGAACACAGAACACGCATCAACAAGCTAAGAGCCGAGAACGAGTTCAAACTTTCTGCCTTCAAGGATGGCGAGGGCGTCTCTACCACCCCCAACGGAGATGTTTGCACTCTCACGCTTCCTGATCAACCATATGAGGAGCAAGAGGGAAGCTCGTCGAATGGAGTGGACGAGCCCGTTGCTATACTCGATCCCCATGAACCACCGAAAGATCTCATAGCCGGCTTGAAACCCCTTGCCGATACACCTACTTTGGTTCTGGGCGTTGCTAGCGATATCCTCTTCCCGGCCTGGCAACAGCGAGAAATCGCATCGACGCTCAGGCGTGCGGGAAATAGAAACGTCACCCACAAGGAACTCGGTGAAGAGAAGAGTCTGTTCGGCCATGACACCTTCCTTCTCGACCTGGAAAACGTTGGCGGGAGTGTCAAGGAGTTCTTGGGATGATCTGACAGTTGAGATTTGCATTTAGTTTCGAACTTGCACCGTACAAGCATTGGCCGGCGTTTGAGGAGTCTTAAAAGAACCGGGGGGCGATCTTTATTGGCTTGGCTCTTCTCTAGATTCTTAGCCTTATGTGAAATACTGCATTCTTCTTCCAACCCCCGAACAAACACCGTAAACGACGACATCGACTAGCTAAAATATGAAGAGTCCGGTTATGGCGAGGATAACGTGATGGTGCGGGATCGGCTGTTGTGACAGGTCACGAGTGACGCGATTGGATGCAACAACTTAACACCAACGCATGTTTCCTTTTTTTGCAAACACCTCTTGTCGTCTTTGCCCGCTCTTGCTCGTCCTTCCTCCAGCCTCATTCATTCGCAAATCAAGGCTTGAATACATTCATCACGCGAACATGAAACGGAAGGGGGCCCACGATGGGTCTCCAAAGCTCGGAACGAGTCTGCAGAGCTCGAACAAGAGGATCGTCAGGCATCTCTCGCAGTCGTCCACCCAGAAGTCGGATTTTAACAATTCTCAGGCGACAAGACAGAAATCAAGCAGGGGAAAAGTACGTAGCTTGCTATCTTCTGCCACCGATGATGTGGACCTCGGGTTCCGTAACGAAAGATCCGCTAACAGTCATTCAAACAGGTCAGCAAGCATTGATCGAACCGAAAGGCTCGATCAAAAAAAAACCCCCCGACGTTGGAAGGACTTAATGGCGCAGCCACATCCAACCATGACGATGAAAACAAGGGCGACGAAAACTCTAAACAAGATGAGACTTCAGAACACGACTCCAAAGGCCAGTAAGAGCATGAAGGGGTCCATGAGATTCATTCTCAATCCCAGAGAAATAAAGCTGAGTCATGAAGCCCGATTGTATAAAGACGCTGTTCTCCCCGCAAAATTCTTGCATCGCTAACATCTCCAGGAAACCACTGCGAGAGGCGTATGCTGCTGATCGAGCCACGTCTCTCGAATTCGCGCGCATGTTCCGTGCCGCCTGCCCCCGGAGCTCCGCAACTAGGTGTATGAAGAACTCCTTCCGGCAGAGGCCCAAATTACTCACCTTTCGACCGAGACAACCCGAGAAGATATGGCGCAGATCATGGGCCAACCTCGTTATCTTTTCCCCTCATACGTCGGTCAGGACGTTGCCACAGAGGCCTTAAAAGCATATTACAGCAATGTCTTGTTCGTGTTCGCGCACAACTCGCACAATCGCCACGATGCGGAGTCCCAATGTACAGTAGACGCTGGGGGGATGTTCTGGTGGTTCATCCATGTGGACGTCTTCGGCCTGGGCGTTGTTCTGACAGCCAGCTCTGCTGCCTACTTCAGGACGCTATCGCCTACTAGGCTGCTTACTGTGCTGCCTACGCCACAGTAGCTGCCTACGTCTCCTGGCCCTATATATTCCTATCCTCCTACATAGCAATACACAAGAGTTCTCACCACTTTTCACCAGCTGCCATGTTCCTCGGAACCTCATTCGCCATGTCAAGATAACCGTGTTCAACGACTTAAGAGACCAAGGGATAACACTAGACCCGCTGGCTACTGGTCAAGATTACATGGATGGATGGCCTCATCATACCTTTATGATGAGTCATGAAAACTATGAGAGAGCTTCGCAGCGACGATTCGAGGAGGCCCGCAGAACAGACGACCACGCAAGGTACTACCTGAGGCAATTCTACAAGCTCAGCCAGAAAGTGGACCTGCACGTAGACGTGGGTTACGGTTACATACGCCCCCCACTTTAGAACATCACACGAGTTCTGGCACCTATCACCACTCCTAATTGAGCCTCGCGAGAAGGGCTGGAATGTTACAGTGCGTTATTGCACGGCGAAGGGTGTTGCACATATAGACTCATTATTCGATATACCAATAGACCAGGACAGATATGTGACACGGCGTGTGGCTATGCGTAACGGACAGCCGTTCGGAAGGATACTGCCATGGAAGGGTTTTACGAGCCTGAGCAAAGATGCTTTGGTGAATGAACTACAGCATTTACAAGACGAGGCAGAGTACGATCGATGACGATGAGAGCTTCGTGAAGGTGAATACAGAAGACATGGAAGAAGATAAGTCGCGTGAGTTCCGCAACCGAACTGCTTCTGAAGAGATGCGAAGAGTGAAGAAGAGAGTGGATGAGCGGAAGAAGGTATTACGGCTTGAGGGTTATATGATCGACGAAATGGAAAAGATCGCTCGGTTGGAGGGCTCTTTGGACAAAGCAAAGGCAAGAGACCTGATAGACGAAGCATTCGAGTTTTTGGAGAGCTTGAAAGAGGGTGCTGATAACCCGGAGTTACGAGCAAAGGAACGAGCGAATGTTCGAAAAAAGAGGAAATGCTACAGCAGACAGAGCAAGAGAGGAAAGAGACAGTAAGCTCGATCAGGACCTCCACCGAAAAAGCAGAGATGTCATTATTGGAGCTGAAGGAGTTAAGGCGCCGCCCACCGAGGAGGAGCGTGAGAACCATGAACAATAGTGTATCATGTCGTGGCCGCATCTTGGCCTGAGATAGAGGAGATGGTTCATTGCTTAGCTGAGTATCACGTCGCAGGAAGAATTGGAAAACAAGCGCTGGTTCCAGCCATTGCTATGCTGACACGACCTTTCGGTATGTCACGATCACTTATTTAGGTATTCGAATATACTTTTTCAACTACAAACTTACGGGAGACGCTGCCGATCATGACCATGCCTAGGAATGATGATACCTCGCATTTGAACTGGGACCGGTGAACTCAGATTGCAAATCAACACCTCGTTTTGGCAAATCTGGAGTCGTCACCGCAGTGAGCTGGACGGCATGTACGCCAACCGAATAGCAGCTCACCCTTGCTCCAATTCCCATTGTTCCAACTCAGTCTATAGTTTCCTCTGATCCAGCAATTAGGCGTACATGGATGAGAAGCCGCAGGATCACACCGACCGCCCGTGATCCAGCACAGGGCGTGAGCGCATGGTCTTAGCGCAGCTCGACGGCGCATTACGAGAAACCGGAAATTCGAATAATTTAGAGGACCTTTATCTTATTACGATTGAACTCGAAGACGAAGTAGTGGAACGGTAAGCCGTGACGTGTCCCGGGAGAGCTTACTGACCTACATGCACGATGCGTTGGAGGCTTCGCCCGGAGCGGCCACCTCAACATCGACTCCGGGCACGATGTCCACGCCTCGGGCAATTTTCGCGGGGGCCGCCTTCCGGATCGACGACATGATTATGGGTTCACAATGGTGACAACGGAGATCAGATCCAGCCTTCCTTTTCACCCCGGGCCTGTTTCGTGCCTGGTTCCCAGCCAATCAGTGAAAAATCTCGCTAGGTCAACCAATCTGATCACAAGGCGAATTCTGCTGTCTTTCCTTCAAGCGGACATGATGGCGCTGGCAATTTTTTAGTTGTCGGTGGTCATACGCTGCGGTAACGTGTTCGAGGGCAACGGAAGGGCGGAGAGAGGGAGGAGGGCGGCCTGGGACAATGAACTCCTGGGCACGACTCCGAACGATGATGTGGATCGAGTCAATCCAATCTCATGCTTACGCCTTGAAAGACGGTGGCTGGGCCTGCTGGCTTGAGGTAATGGCGAGTGGAAGTGGTATTATTTGGGGGAAATCGCACTTGCAGCGTGAACTTTCAGAAACCGTTTGTCTACTCGCAGTACACTATGACAGCCGAGAAGTTTGCTCTGGTTCCGGAGATCTCGAAAGAAAACAATGAGAAGCCAGAGTCGTACGTCACTGTTCTTTTCATTCCGCGCGGCATTCCTGATACTCGAGTCTAGTTTCTTTTCTTCTTTTTTGGACCACCGAATCGTGAGCAAGGGATTTGATGGCTCGATCCCTTTGATAGCCGTAAAGCTCCAGAAACCTGCGGTTATTTGGATGCTGAACGGGTCCTACGACCACGGAGAGCAACCGGTAGCTTCGGACTAACCTGAACACAAACAGTAACGTACAACTCACCTTCGGCCCCCCTTGCACCACTACCTCTCAACTCCATCCCTTCACCGACACGACTCGCGTCTCTAATCCCTTCCAAAGCGCCACCACACCACCCACCTATCCTCAAATAGCCTCTACCACCGATCCAGCCTCCGATTTGACTTCCAGGAATGACCCTGGACCCGCCCACGACGGCTCTTCTCTTCTGACCGAGAGCAACCTCAGCGCACACGACTCATCCTTACATCACGAAGCTGCGAGATCCGACAGAGATCGGAAAGAGGGAATCAAGAAAGCTGCAACCGAACTAGGCTTCAAGCTCGCGGATGATGATATCCCACCGCTGCATGAGGGAAAGACGCCGATGGAGTTTTGGATGGCGGAGAGCTGACGAAGCATGGATATGGTCTGGCAGGTTGAGTTTGCGTGTGTAGTTCGGGTTGGGAACATCGGATGGCGTTGTGGGTTTAGGCGGGTCATGAATAATGTTAGAGAGTACTGTATACGCACCTGTTAACATGAAACAAACTATTCTCCTACCTCTTGTTGGCGTCGAACGACAGAGTGACTGACGTCACGTGCCTAGTGGATTGGCACTCTCTCGAACTGAGCCGGATATCCTCCGCTTGATTGGAAAAAGTAATAGTTCTACTCGCAGCAAATCGACCTGTCAACTTAAAACCTTGCGCGTATTTGTAAGCTGATTGAATACCCCGAAGAAGGCTGAATAGGCGGCTCAGAAGTTCATCCCGGAAAAGCGGCATCACCATCTCGCACCGATTTCTCCATTTCGAAACACATCCTTACAAGTGCGGGGCAGGATTGGAATCAGTTTCTATACATCAAAGGCGATTCGAGGTTGCTGGTATCGCGTGGTTTTGGTGGCATCTCGCGTGCCTGCGGGGTTGCCATGTCGTGATAGGTGCTCCAGCCTATCGTGCATGCTGCCTCGATACGGTAGTGGTGAGCGAGTAATCGAATGGAGTCTATAAAAGTCCAGCGGATACTTGGAAAGAAGAATTTGAATTGAGAGTTCACAAGAAAGAGAAGAGAAAATGTCTACATTTACCACGACCCAGGAAGCGACCAATGTGGAAGGTCAGCCAATCAAGTTGACGGTTGCGTACGATGATAAAGTACACAAAGAGGTACTATACTCATCTCTGCTAACATATATCCACATCTCGGGAGTCTAACTAGCTGTCTCAGTCCAAGTATGCCGCGTACCTACCAGTCTACGACAACACCACGAAGTTCCCACCCACGGAACCGTTCGAATTCACCGACCGTGGCCATAACGCCGACCCTGCCAAACCAAACCTCCTCAAGAAGGACGATCCGGCTGTCAAGACGTCAAAATTGACACCGCGTGTCGGAACTGAGATTACAGGGCTACAGCTCTCGCGTCTGACCGACGCTCAGAAAGATGAGCTCGCTCTCCTCATCGCCGAGCGCGGCGTCGTGATTTTCCGCGATCAGGACTTCAAAGATATTGGTCCGGACGCGCAGAAGGAGCTTGGAAAGTACTTTGGTCGGTTGCATGTTCACGTGAGCGCCCCTTCTTCCTCATCCTCATAACCTTTAGTTGATGAAATACAAAAGCCCGTCGGCGCCCACGTGAAAGACCATATCGAGTTTCACTCCATCTACCTCGGAAAGGACAACCTCTACCGCCTAGGCCGTAGCCAGACTAAGCTCACGACGACGGGCTACCACTCCGATGTCTCTTACGAGCACCAACCGCCGGGCATCACCATTCTGACTCTGCTCCAAGTGCCTGAGACAGGTGGTGATACCGGCTGGACATCTCAAGCGGCGGCGTATGATCGGTTGTCGGAGCCACTCAAGCAGTTCTTAGAGGGATTGAAGGCAGAGCATTCTGGCTTCCCACAGGCTGAGAATGCGGCAAAGGATGGCCATTTCGTGCGTCGAGAGCCGGTGAAGAGTTACCATCCCATTGTTAGGGTTCATCCGGTTACGAAACAGAAGGTCCTATTTGTGAATCCGGGTTTCACGAAGCGGATCCTGGGACTGAAGCAGGAGGAGTCGGATGCTATCTTGAAGCTGTTATTCAAGGTAAGTTGTTGATATTCATTTGGTGTGATGAGCAATGCTAACTATGGCCGTAGCATATCCGCCAGAGCCAGGATATCCAGGTCCGGGTGAGATGGGATGACCGCACGGTTGCGTTGTGGGATAATAGGGTCACTGCCCACACGGCGATATCTGATTACGATGTTAGCGATGAAGGTGAAGGTCTCAGACAGGGTTTCCGTATCACCACGCTGGCTGAAAAGCCGGTGGGAGTAAATGGGTTGGAGTCGCATTGGGATTGATTAGTTAGGGAGGTAGCGAAAGATGTAAGGGGGTCGCACGTGACATCTACTATATTTATTAATAGAAGCTGGTATCCCAATCGAGAGAACCTGCATACTTCTTGGGGCGTCCCCGCTTCTACAACATTCCAAGCATCAATCTTCCCAGCGAGCCGCTCGCATCCGAGTGCTTCTCCACTCGGTCAACTAGCGACGGCTACATGAGCTAGAATAAAGAAGGCCATACGTTACAGAATGGAGCGTGACAATCTTGAAACTAAAACACCAACCGCCGGCTTTCTCAGCCTTGCCAACGAATTGATCCTTGATATCGCGGACCTCTTAGGGACACAGGGCGATACCAGTCGGCTTGCGCAGATCAACCGAAGGCTTCATCTTCTGTTCACAGACCGGCTGCTGAATTTCAACATACAACATGAGAACAGCGATGCTCTCAAGTGGGCAGCTAGCAGAAACTACCAAGAGATGGCTCGGAGACTGATTCGGCTTGGAGCAGATATAAATCCAAAGACCTGGGGACCTCCATTGCACGAAGCAGCAGGTAGTGGGCATTTCGACATGGTCAAGCTTCTTTTAGACGCCGGAGCCGACCCTGAAGCAAAGAATCGATTGAATGATACGGCCATAACCATCGCACTCAAGGCGAACAACGAAGCTATGGCATGTTTCCTTTTCGATGAGTTGAAATCCTCGGCGGTGGCCGTCCGAGGTACCTGGAATGCGCTACTAGACGCCAGCCGGCTCAAGGAGTCGAATTTCATACGGTACATACTCGAGGCCGGCATCCACGCCAATAGCAAGAACCCATCGAGCCCCTCGGCGTTAGATCTGGTCGTGTGGCGAGACCTGGCGCCAGGCCATGGCCTTTTCAAGAACCGATTCGACGACGATGCTTTCAAATCGGTCACCATACTCTTAGAGCACGGTGCAGATCCCGACCGCAAAGGGCTGAATGCCTCAGTGTTTCAGACGGTACGCGAAAACTCTGCCAGACACTCTGATCCGAGAGTTCGCATACTTCTTTCTATTGCTGGAAGAGAAGAGCTGGTTAAGCAGATTGACAGTGGTGCATTGAGCCAAGCTTGGGAGCGATCTACAGGCAAGGAGTTGGATGTCCCACGAGAAGTGCTCGAGGTAATACTCTCGAGACCTCCCAGTCGGAATTTGCCTAAAGCGCGTTTGAAAGAGCTGTTTCCTCCATTTGTTGACGAGGCCTGTTGGCAGAGAATTGAAGAGGAAAAACTGGCGGCAAAACGTGCGCGACGGTTGCCCGTAGAGCAAGAGCTCAATGCGGCCCTCCACGTGTTTGGAAGATATCCACACCCACATCCACGAACAGGACCATGGTCGGACTTAGTGCAAGAGCTCGATGAAGACCTCGGCGAGCTTCGAAGATATTCAATGACAAGACCATGGCCGTGAGGGATATTGAACATGATATCGAAGACGATATCGAGTCGAACACGGATCCCAACAACATGGAAGGACGGCCTCTAGTCATCGACATAGGCCCCAAGATCTTAGTGGAATAGCGGGATACACGTATTCCATTCCCAGTCAAAATCGAAGAAACATCTCCTAAAGATCTCATTCAGTTTCATATTGGACATGGTCATATTGGACATGGAGAAGTGGTTCGCGCTCGGCATAGCGAATCAAGCATCCCATGAGAACAAATCCTACAAAGGTCTATCGGTCGATGAGTAGAAGCGTCGACAGGTAACTCCGCATCGTGAATGACGATATCGCTAGTACTCTACTGGATTTCTGATCTTTCGGCTGAACCCGCATTCCGAACAAGCTTGATCAGAGTTGATTCTTTCCCTGTATCCATTGAGACGGCCGACACGAAAAGCACTTCGGAACGGCTAGTAAATTTGACGGCAATTTGGAGAATGCCCAGTAAAGACAGCAAGGCGTCGCAAAATGGGTTAGCGAGGTGGCTCTCCGGGACGGATGTAATTACGAGTTTTTCCTATGACGAGTATTGAGGTCGATTGGGTATATTCAAACCAGAATGAGCTTTTCGCGCCGCAAGTCAACAAACTGATGAACCCAATGCTCATCGAGTGGAATGATAACGCCAATCCGCTCGCACAATACTGGATAGAAATCTGTGCACACTTGTTCACCGCTGTCTGAGGCGCTTTAGTGCCTCAATACAAACTTGGATGAGATGTAGATGGCTGGAGTGCGAATTTGAGCGCTTTCAAATGGTTCTATTTTATTGTTATCCGGGGCACTTCAATCTGCCCATAAGCTTCTCGTGCTAAGCAATAGTCAGTAATCAACGTTCTCTTCGTTATGCCAATCTGCAAGAAGTGTTCAATTCACTGAGGACATTTGGGGGTTAATCCATAGTTATAGCACGGTGACATGACGACTCTCGCAGGTATGATAGCCATAACTTCGATATGTGCTTCTTATAGTTCTCTGTAGCAATCTCTACTCTAAGCAGGCGTACACCTGGTTCGGAGTACATGAAGATTGTCCGCACCGATGTAGTCGCTATTATCGAGATGTCGCACATGCCCATTTGCTGAAGCCCAAGACGTGTATTATACTGGATGTATTCAAACCAGGAAAAATCTCTCAGGGGGTTTTTCAGTCGGGTTGAGGCCCCCCCAGAGCATGCCAATCCGCTCATACTTCTCTCCGCCTGGGAGTCGACGGATCACCAATGACGCGATTCCGTCAGCGTCCGTGTCGAATTGCCCAAAACAGTAGACCACTTCCCCGTTAGGGACGTGTCCGGGTCCCTCTCGCATCAAGCAGTAGTCAGTCCACAACGATCTTAGGGGCGCGCCATCGATTCCAAGGAAGGTCTCTCCTACTAGATGGTCCGCACCCACTCCATCATCGTGAAGACTTAGCTTATGGCCATACACAACCTTTGCAGGGGTGAGGTCAGCTTCAATTTTGAGGTGTGCTTCTTTCAGTTCTCCAAAGCCATCCCCCTCTCGAATCGGCGTACAACTAGTTCCAAGCACGAGAAAGCCGTTTGAGACCGTACCTTCTCCAGGGAGGGAGAAACGTACACTTCCATTTACCGAGGCCCAGGACCAGGATGGAGCTCGATAAGTCTTCAATTTCTCCGCGCACCTGTCGTCAACTTCCCAAAGGAGATCGTCGTAAAGCGAGTCTTCCCATAGACTAGCAAGATATTTCCCCATTTTGCAACGTCCAATTTCTCGAGCCAGGCCAGCAATAGCAGGCAGCCTATCGCTTTGCTCCGTCAAAGCAAGGCAGGAGTATCGCTGTACCATTTGATGCCAAAGAAGTGTGACAGGTGTCCTGGCCTGATGTTGCCGTTTCGGTAAAGCCCATGCTTCGAGCACCTCGCCGCTTTTGACTTTCTCCAGCTCCTTCATGGGTGCCGAGCGGTAATTGTTGCACTCACAGTCATCCCCTTCTTGACATTCCCAGACCAGCTCTTTTGTACAAAAGTGCAGAACCCTCGGCGCCAAGAGCTTTTCTTGATATACCCATCCACGACTCACTAAGGGATGGGCGTTCATACTTGTGTTGCTAAAGTTGACTACCTGTTCGCGGACGAAGATTCGGCTTCGCGTGATCGAGTTACCTTCGCCAGAGATACTCTCCGCCAAAGGCGGAGTTAAGGGGTGATCTTGATCCATGGGTGTTGCCGAAGAAAAGCAGCCTTCACTGCCGTTCCTAGACTTGGTGGCCGCAAGGGCGATATATGAGTTTTGATAGATCGTGGCCATCTGGGCAGACTCTTTTGCTCAATCATTCTTGTCGTCTTGAATAATACATAACCCATCGCTCCACGGCTGGACCCATTAATCTAACCTAATAGCAGGCGTTACCGCTAGTCCCCTTTTATCTATAGATATTAAATACGGGTTTTATTCTTCTAAAGTATATTTACTGTACTCCTTTTCTTATGCTATGGATAATTTTACACCCTATTTTATTGCCTAAGAGATACTAGTAGGGACACCTTACTCTAAATTTCTACGCGCTATATATATTATTATTAAATAGGAATAACTAATGGCTTGCTGTATCTCCTGCACTAGAGATGAGTAGTGATTAAAGCATGCCATAGTAGGATGCTGTGGACCAAGCACATGCTAGTATCCACTGCGTGCCCTTTTATATAACGTTGAAGCAACTTCATATTGTTGCAGTTCATGTAAAAGGAAAGTTAGGCAGTATACGCTGGTCAGCGTCAAGGGGCGCTCATTCCCCAGAGCCTTCTTTTATACTTCTACCGCTCACTGGTTCATCTCCTCTGCCTCCTTGTACTTTCCCTATTATTGTAGCACTAACGCTACTCATTAGGGCGCAAGGATCATCCCACCCTGCTATCCTCTCCCTAGTTCTCACTACCTTTCATTACCATATCCTTAGCCACTTTGTAGCTTCCCTTTGTCTACATATACCACGCAGCGTTGCTGAATACTTCAACCCAGGCCCATAGTAACTCGTCGCCGGCTGGCTCGCGCTGCAATATAGACTCAATACACGGAAATAGTATCTGGCACTTTGTCCAGTTATCAAACCTCCCCACCAGGAACTCCATTACCGTCAGCATAACAAACTTCTCTTTCCACCGCTCCACCTCACTAAATGACAGCAGTCAGACATTCGTGCAAAACTGCACTAGGGTTACATCTCGCATACGTTGCTATCCGCAGTCGCTGCCACTAGCGAGTACACCTGCAGAATTTCCAAGTCGTAGTTGAACTCAGTATCACAATCGTCGTCCTTAGTATCACCATCAATGTTATCCAACATCCTTACTGCTTCATCCGTCGAATGGCTGCATAGCACAGAGACAGGAATTCTTTATGGATTGAAGAAGCTCATCAGCGACAGCAGGTCCGTAGCCGAAGGCCTCTTCGCGGATCTGCTCAAACAATATCTCCCATGTCGTTACCATTAAATTCGATGCGCTTTCATCCGCGCGGAGGTCGCCAGCATTCTTGTTGAGGAAACCAGTTCTCTTCTTATTATTCCTCCGAAAGTCATCTAGGAACGGGTTTCGGTGATTTTTTCACAGATTCTTGTCCTCCGATATGTCGTGGTTGTGCACCTCGATCGCACGAGAGATTTGAGCAAGCATCGAAGGCCCTGTGTCCTGAGGTCCGATATTCAGGTATTGGTCAAACGAACTGGTACTCTGTATCACACCTTTCAGATGCACATAACGGGTCCGTGTCATTCTGGATTTCGCAATCCGAATGGCGGCAGTCAACGCATTCCGAATTTGCCTGCCGTTGAGCTCCTCGCTGGCTAGTTCATCAAGATGATTGAAAATTTCGTCGTAGTCAGCAAACTCGCCCAGGGACTTAAATCTCTCAAGCAAATTGGACCAGAGTTGCCGCCTGGCTGCCTTATTCAGTGTACCATAATGAAGGGCCAAATGAATGCGCGACTCGAAAGGCTACATCGAACGATCCAACTCGGTTTGTGGTGAGAATTATAATGCCATTATAATATTCGAGGGCATGTAGGAAGACTGGTATAGTTAGAACATTCCCGTAACACTCGTCCGTCTGGAGGCATACCCGAAACTAGAGAGTCTCTTCGCAAGTCCGCCCCTGTTCTCTGGTCCAGAAAGACATCAGCTTCGTCGAGCAAGAGAACTATGCATAAGGTTAACTTATTGCGTTTAGTACTAGTAACGTACAATACGCACTGCAATCCCAATATTTGCTCAGAGACATGACCCGTTGTAGGGACCTTTGAACACTCTCGGGGTCAACACCCAAATCACCACTCGTGATACGGTGTAGTGGCCTTCTCGTCAACTCGGCGATACTGGACGGGATGCACTGTCACCCGGCACATTAATTTATACGTGACATCAGGGGTGAACTGACCTCTCTGCCGTAAGTGTCTTACCAGTTCCTGGGGGCCCATGGAAGAGCATGGTCAAACCCTCCCCCTTTCCCGCGACGAAGTCCAGAAAACAAGCGCCATTTGTTGCGCGGGTTGAAATTAAAGAACGTATGAGCTCTTTACGTTCCGCGCCAATAACTAGCCAGTCAAAGGCATCGCAGTTCCAAATGACGTCCGCGAGATTGTGGACGTAGAGCCAAACTGTGGTACAGTCAAATTTAGCAAGTACAAGATGAGGAGTAGCGGGACTGATGAGGATAGACGGCTTACCCCAAGACTTCTCTTCCATGTCAAACCCCACTATCGTAGGTGGAAGCACCAAGAGCATTTGGGGGTCGATCTCCGTCTCAAAGAGTAATATAGACAGAGGCCTAGTGTCATGTCCAAACTGGGCCCTGCTCTTGCCTTGTGCATTGAACGTGAAAGGATCATCATCATCGAATTCGTGGTCCGCGGCAAATCCGATTCCATGCTCTTGGTAGTATGTTGAAACATCAACCATCAACCTTGATCGAGCCTTCTGACCAGTTAGCTTTAAGGTAAGAAGTGACAACTACTCTACTGGAGAGGGTACTCACGTAGGAACGCTGACCATCAGCATCCCGTCCCGTGTATTCGGAGTAATAGCTCTCTCTCGCGCGCCAGTACTTCTTCCCCCGCCACCTGAGCTGTTGCTGATCTTCCGGTGAAGCAAACCGAAATGGATAAATGGTGAGTTTTGCTATGGGTACCACTTGGGTTGCTTCGGCACCGGGTGGCATCTCGACAGTACTGATCCAGGGAACTCTCAATAACTGCTTTCCATCATTCCCCCAGCACCAGCCACGGAGCGATACAGAGCTAGTCTCTGTGGAAACGCAGTTAGTCAAGACCCCGGCTCACACAACTCCAGTCTGTGGATGGCGAGCAACCACGATATCGCTCGGTTTAAACAGCTTTCCAAGATGTAGAGCTGACACAAGGCCTTGGTTGAAGGTATCCTCTGCTTCGTCATATTCCATTCGGTAATGTTGTTCCAGGAAAGTGATCAGGGGACAGACCACGGCCTTGTAGTCTGGGTTTGTCTCTGCTAGCCTACGTAACTCTTGCTCGTGATGGAATAGCGAGTTGTAGGGGGCATCCATTTCCTTGACATTGACCTCCAATGCCGCTCTATCTGAGTTTGGAACCCCAGTCGGACCCCAGTTTTGGCCATGCATTCTGCAGGGTTAGCCTCGGAAGGCCCAACTTCCGGTGATGCACCTCCAACCTGCAACCTGCAACCTGCAACCTGCTGCCTGCTGCCTGCTGCCTTGAAATTCCGCCTTGACGAAGCTCAATCCTCCAAGGGTAAGCGAATTTCGTATGGCCAGCACAACACCACTGCCTCGCCGCTTTGGTTGTTAAAGTGTTTTGTGTTAGACTTGGAGTCGTGTGCAACATCTTGTAAGCCGAAGGTGACCTACATTCATCCCTAGGAGAAGCGTATGCCCAATTCGTGATTGGCCTAGGGGTTTGCAGGAGTTTTGGGGGCGCGCTAGTGAGACGCTAGCAAGGGCGTAATCCAGCCAGGGTTAGTCTGATTCATGAGATATGTAAGAGGTTGGGTCGCTTACTATCGCGCGTGATCTCGCTAACAAATTATCTTGCTAGAAGCCCGGCTTCGTCCTTACGTCTCTCTAGCCTCATCGCTACGCGCAAAGCGTTATGGCAACCTCGTTTTTACATATGCCCGCAGAGATCGTCGAATTGATCGCAGGCCACCTAGGCCTTTCTGATCTCCGCAGCCTACGCTTCGCCTGCAGAGACGTCAACGCGAAAGTCACTGCGAGCAGCCGCTTCGAAGGCTTTTGCGTTCACAAGAATGTCGAGTTGCGGAAGTCTAACGTGGAAGAGCTAGGAGCTCGGCTTTGCGAGCCAGGTGTCCAGAAGTATCTGGAGCATTTGACAATCACAGGTGTTCTCATTGTCACGAAAGGCCTGGAGCGCATCATTCGGGAAAAGACAAAACCGGCCAATCTTGAAGATCCTTGTGGCATGAGGCGTGACATGATTGGCAATCGCTCCAATCCACAACGTGTTGCAGCTTCTCAGTCTGAGGTGATAGACGCTGAGTCTCAGCTGTCTGACTTCAAAAGGCAAATCCATACTGTCGACATAGAGCGAACGGCCGGTCATGATTCAAGTGCCCTGGCTGATTTATTCCAAATCATCAAGACGCACTGCAAAGCGGCTGGGCTCAAGAGTCTCACTCTCGATCTGGTTGTCCGTAGAGAGCAGACTACTTTCCTGTCGCCAGCCGTGGGCGCTCCATTTCGACAGGTCTGGGAGACCGCGCAACATGTTCTTTCCGTCTCGCTGCAAGCCTGGCATCGTAGCGCTATCAGGATAGAACGCCTGGACGTCTTCTCTGAGACAGAAGCCTGCGGGGTACAGGCCTGCACTTTCGCTGCCCTCCAGAACCAAATTGACTTCAAAAACCTCTACGGACTAAGGGCGTTGTCTCTGAGCATTAGCAACCGAATGCTTCCCCTCAGTGCCTCCGAACAGATTCGCGATGCCGACACGGATGAGGAGCGTCCAGACGAGCGACCAAGCATCATGCGCGAAAACGGACACCCGTATGCGAACGCCCAGCAAACTCATGTGGCGCTCAGGGAAGAACGTATGAGATTGCTGAATGACCCAGATAATATCACCGGGCTCGCAGACTGGCTGCGACGGACGACAAGCCTAGAAGAGCTATTTATCCGTAATTATTGGGTACTCAATAGTTTCGATACCTCTGCTCCCGCTCTTGCTGGCCGCAAAGCCTTGGTTGGATACCTCGCGGAAAGCGTACCACTTCCGAACCTGCGCAACTTAATCTTGCGGAGCGCGGACATCGAAATCGGCGCGCTCCTAACACTTCTGAGAAACAGTCCACGCCTGAAGTCACTCGCCATGCGAGAAGTGACCCTAACTGCATCGAACGGCCAAAGCTGGAGGACAGTGTTTGCCCATATAACCTCCCATGGCGCGGAATTGACCCATGTCTACTTTGACAATCTCTTCGAGGAGACTGAGCAGCAGCACAGCTACGTCACTTGTTTTACCCCAGGTACCGAGCCTGGGTACAGCATCAGCAGCGGTGAAGATGGAAGTGCTCGATTGCGAAGACTGGGACTAGTTCAGTGGGACTTCTGCAGGCCGAGCGCAAACGGCTGGAATGCATTCGAGCTTCACCGGCGAGAGGACGTTCTAAGAGGCATTGAATACCAGCTCAACCCACAGTATATTGTTGGCTCGGTGCAGAACTCAATGTGGATGGAACAACGAAGGCGCAATCACGGTCCTCTTGGATAGAGTTGACTCCTTGAAGAGTAAACAAGCTCGACTCAGAAGGAAAACGCGTCGTTGCTATGGTCAACTGACCTAGCAACTAGGCTCTCGTCGAAGGAAACATTTCAGGGTTTAGGACATAAGGGAATCGCACGGGACAGACGCAATCGAACCATTCCGTTTCTAGAGTTACAGTATTTCGTGAGAGACCAATACAACTCGATCGGCTCTCGTGTATGAATAGAATCACCTTTAGACCCAGCAAACTCAAGATCCTTCTTTTTCACATGTCCTTCAATCCTTCCATCCCACAGTCCTGTGATTCCTGGATCTGACCGCGGTATAGTCCCGCACGTGTCCCGCAGTGTCAGGGTCCTTCAATCCTTCAATCCTTCGCTCGCTGTGTGAACTTTACAGTTTATTACTAACCGCAGAATCTCGTCACCCCTCAATCCTGCAATCCCTCAATCCTGCATGCATGAACCGTCCCCACATGATACCGCTATACGCTTGTGAAGTGTTTCGATGCCTAGCTCTGCGCAGAAACAAAAATCCAGCAGTTGCTCTGGAGCACTCTGAGCTGCATTCATCTCTCTTCATTGCGGACTCCCTTTCTTACCATGACGGCAGCAGCAGTCCTTCACCAAGCCGTCCTCCGCTTTGGCGTACCCGACACATCTATCAGCGTCGAGGAGCGCGGCTTATACGCCTTCCCTGCAAACAAGGACGTGGAAGAATTTGACTTTCAACTACGGGATGCTCGCACCTCCCCAGAGATCCTGCCTGGGATGGCTGGCTTGGATGCCCAGGGGTTTGCGTTTGTCAAGCACAAGTCCGCATTGCAGGACTCAAAAGATTGGCTGACTGGCCACAATGTCGAGAAGACGTATATCCCGGAGATTGAGAAACTGGCGTGCGAAGTCACAGGTGGTAAACGAGCGGTTGTCATGGATGCGTCGTTCCGTCTCAAGCCGGCTGATGATCAGATTCAGCTTGACTGGTATCGGCGACGTGGGGACGCCATTGATGATCAGGTTGCCTTATTGCCTAAGAATGTGACTGCGGGTGGGTATAATCAAAAACAAACAATCAAGCATTCTCAGTCATGCACTTGCTAAGCTTTGTATCTACAGTTTACGGCCGTGAGGTCGGCGCAGCGATTGAGCCAGCACGCCAGGCACACATCGACTATACCTGCCAAGGCATGCGCGACACGGCCCGCTATCGTCGTCAAGACATTTACGATATGTGCAAGAAGACCATGGAAGCCGAGGACGCAGTCGCGAGAGGCGAGAAGCATAGCAAGGAAGTGCCACGATACGCCGCGTTCTCCGCCTGGCGGCCTTTGAGTACCGTTCGCCGGGACCCCATCGCCGTGTGCGATTCTCGATCTGTCAAGGCAGATGATTATGCAAAGGTGTTGTACCGCGCTGTCAGCGATATTACGGGAAGTAGAGAATATCATTTGGAAGCTGCTTGGCTTTCGCCGCCGGGGGAGAAGTCGGACTAGCGGTGGTATTGGTGCCCTGAGCAGCAACCGGACAAGGTGTTGTTTATAAAGTTCGCGGATACAGAGGCGGAGATCTTGGCTGAAGTGTCGCCAGGGTGCGCACATCTTAGTCCGAAGTTGGCGGGAAGCAAGGGCGAGGAGATACGGAAGAGTGTGGAGTGTAGACTGCTTGTTTTTTTGGGAGTAATAGGCGCCTAAGTGTTCGGAGTTGGCTGGTTGATCGTATCGTTGCTTTTACTTGACATAACAGTAGACGGGGACTATCATGTATGCACGTAGTTATATGATTATTCTTGGAAAGCTTTACGCAACCCCACGAATTGAGACTCGGCGAAGACGAGACGAAACTCCACTATGGCTTGTTTGTCCAGTAGATGCATCACTAAAGAGCCCCATAGCATCAGTAGCGGACACGGTTATAATGTATTATTCAGCTTAAAAAAGATAATAGGTAGAGAAGTAAGTACTTGGCTATCACTACGGAGGGGTTCACGTTGTACAACGTGCAGCTGGCGCTTCTAAGTCGAGAAGATGAGCCTGCAAAGTCCGTGAAGGGTAAGCTAAAAGCACCTTGATGGTTACGTTATAGCATTGGGCAAGGAGCAGCATAGTGACCATGTCCGCTCCGCGATCGAATATGGACTGCCCATCTTCTCCTTTATCTTCTGCAACAAGAAGGCTAAGCTCCCTCCATGCCCTCCAGACCAAGCCTACAGAAGACGGCGAGGGTAAGTGGAATTGGTTATAAGAAACGGATGGGGCTATTACCGGCGCACCCAAGGGCAGCGTATGAGATGGATAAGCGTCACTAAGTGTTGCTTTTACCGAGCGGAGCGTAGTGGAGAGGCTTTTAGTCATGGCCTTCAAGACAAGAGTAAGGCAGTCGGATATCCAACAGGCTTCAGCCGTTGGTATGGACGCTAAGGAGAATCGTAAGTCTACCTCCAAGGTATCCAGGAACGGCGTTGCAATAATCCACATGTCCGCAGAGCCTGCCAGCCGGTCCCGACCTGAAAGCGAGGCGCGTGCACTGCCAAAATTAACGACCAGATCCAGAGCCGTATGATTCTGGAAGATTAGAACAGAGCTGTACTTTGTCCAAGACGGCCACGGACTACATTGCTTGATAATGTCCCGAAAACCAAGATGACGATGCGGCATATCGGCCACGAAGTCTTCCTACATTCTGGAGACCAACGTGGCTAATGTCGCAGACTCTTCGACCTGAGCGCGCACGGGCAAAATGTTCAAACAGGGTCCCTTCACTCCCTCTATCTCGGACATTGGCAGATACCGGTTGGCGCTGACCTGCCCGAACACGATGTCGTTTGTTCCCAATGCATGCTGGAGGAAAATGGCCCAAGCAGCTCTCAACATGGTCGAAGACGTTGCCAAGGATGTTTGTAGGTCATTCAAAGGTACACTGATCGATCGGCGGCCGTCCAGGTTAGAGAAAGGCACTTGCTGTGGATGTGGTTGATACAAGTTTGTAGGGTATGGGAAGCCCATGAAAACGCAGCATCGGAAGCCGTATCTCCAGAGATGGTTGGTTGAGAAACCAAGCGACCATACAAGGGTTCTGTTTAACATTGTTGTCAACTTAAGAGTCTACGAAAGGGCGACGTCTCTAATAATAGTTTGGATACGATGCTAAATAAAGCGACTGGAATGAAACTGGCTTGGCTTGGTAGAAAGCAAGGGGTGGTACGAGTGACCAGGAAAGAGGCTATCGTACATATCAACATACCTAGCGAACGCGGCAAAGGTGTTTGTGTATGCAAAGTGTCTTGTGTGTCGTCCACTCGCGCAGTGAAAAAAGCTAGCTTCATCTTGACCTCGTTTTTTGTATAGCCAGCAACCTCAAAGACATGATTGTAACTCTCAAGACGAAGCTCCTCTAGGTCAGCTATAGGGCCAAACTTGGGCTCGAAATGTACAAGGCCAGCGAGAACTAATTTGCACATCGGACAGCCTGCCTTGACCGCGTCCTCAAGCATTTGAGGCGTGAATCGGAGGTTGAGGATGTCGAGCCAACCTTGTGGTGGCGGGAAATTGTTGCACAAGTTACAGCGTGTCATCATAATCGCATCTGACATTCCGAGAAGAGTTATGATGCGTGGAACGATAGAATAAGAAGGCTGAGAAGAAGAAAAGATTGTGAAAGTGGCGGAGCAAACTTTGGCCTTTACAAAGACCACGTGATCGATACATTTGATTCGATATGTACATACGGTAGTCAGTGAAATCTGCGTGTGTTGATTGTACCTATGATGCCTGCAACGAGCAACGATGAGGGCAGCGGAATTGAGATAGTTCCACCCCATGATGCCAAGCCCCCTCCCCCGCGGAGCCTCGCCCGCCATCCCGTCACACGAACCAAGACACTTCACCAGCGTCCAACTTACAATGTGACAGCTCATATCTCACGTCGACTGCTTCTGATTCCGGCCGAGGGGCTTGCTTAGTGCTATTTCTGCACTCCTGCTTCCTTCATTCTCTCCCCTAACCTCCTTCCACCCATCCACCTCCCAAACCCTCAACCGCAATCATGCCTCCGAAGGCCCACTTCCTCGCTCCCACCGCCCCGGCCTACACCCCCCTCCAACAAGACCGCCAAGCCCGCAACCGCCCCTCCCACGTCCTCCCCTCCGCCACCGCATCCCCCGCCGAAGCCAGAGGCTCCGAAATCTGGCGCGACGAGACGTTCGAATCGCGCGAGCGGCGGCGACAGGCGGCCATGTATCTCGAGAGCAACGAAATGCTGATCTGGTACGCGTCGTCGAGGAACGAGGTATGCAAGCAATCCCAATGCCTTAAAGTATTCGATTTGTCTGGTTCTTTGGCGGTATAGATTCGAGTGTCCCGGGCTAATTTGACAACTTTTGCGTTGCGCAGAGCATTCCCCAGACCCGCCGCCACTTCGAGAAAATCCTCGCTGGCTGCGACACGTCCTCGGATGCTGAAGATGTCGACTGGGCCGACGACTGGGACTACGATACCGACGAGTGTGAGAGGAAGTGGGAGAAGAAAGAGCGGGAGCGGGAGAGAGAGAAAGCTGTACCATTGGCGTCACCTGCGAGCCCAGCGTCTACGAGGGCGGCGGAACAGCAGCGCAGCGCTTCTGCCACTGGTGCTGGAAATGGTGGAGCTGGTGAGCGTGGTGGGAATGCGAGGGGAGGGACGCCAAGGAAGGTCTCGTCGCCGCGGTCGAAGGGCGGGCGGGGAAAGGGAGAGCAGAAGCGGAAGGATGGGAAGAGGAGTGGTGGTGGGGGAGGTGGTAGTGGCCATGGGGGTAGTGCTGCAGCATGAGTAGTGGCATTGATGGGAAGACGAGCATTAGTATGCGTTCGTACAAGCATCGGCGAGCGAGTAAGTAGACATGGGATTAGGAGTTATAGTATTATACCCAGCATATAGTTATGAATATACGGTACTTTCTTTAAGTTCTCGGAAATCCTATTTCAGACCTCTCTTAGGGTTTGAGCCTTCGACCAAGCCGTTTGCCATGTTTTTCTCTACACGTAAATGAAGGGTACGTCGACCATCTTTCGCCAAAGGACAATGCCAAACCGCCCACCAAGCCAGCCGAACTCACCCAATCCGATACATACATACAAAGAATCGAACCGGCTTTCTCTTGCCTAAACGTTGCGCCTCAAGAACTCCCACTCTTACATCAATAATATTGCTCTTACATCCCCTCTTCCATGCCAAAATCTCTCCACCACGCTTCCTCGTTGACCATACTCTCAGCGTCGCCAACCTGCCTTCTCTCGCTGATCTCTCTCGACAATTTACCGCTTAGTTTAAGCCGCATAGCGCGGCTAGCCATCGATACGGCCGAGTACTGTGAGCTGGAAATGCTACCGTTCGACGTCAATCCTTGGGGCTGGGATAGGCCGTCTCCTACTGCGCCCCTCATGACTGGTGATTGTCACTGGAGAGGCTCTGAGGAGGATGAGAGACGGTTGAGGTGGAGATAGACGTCCGTGCCGTATCTGTACGCAAATGGTGGATTAGCGTTGTCCTTTCAGGGGAATTAGAAAAAGATATGGACTCACCCTTCCATGCTAATCAACTTTAGGTCACCTCCGAAATACCTTGCGTAAAGTCTCGAAATTGGCAAACCGTATCCAAATCCAGCCATTGGGGCCTTGAAATCCGACTTGTTGAAATCCGGATCCAGACTTGGAGTTTGGTCCACCGTGGTATACATATACGTCCAAACGAGGGGGATCGCGCTTCTGGGAATTCCACCTCCTTCATCACTGATTTTAATGGTAATGTCCTCTCGTCCTTCAGCCACGATGACCTTCGTTACAGGAAATTCCTGTTTGTCCTGACCGTGTGTCTCAACCACAGCGCGCAGCGAGTTTTTAAGGGTCTCGAAGAGCATATGCGAAAGATGGCCTGGCACGTACATGAAGCTGATGTCGGGATTACACACCAGCTGGATCTTGGGCGCATCGAACAGGCCGTAGTGATCCTCGCATACGAAGCGCGCGTTTTCGATAGCTTCTTCGGCCAGATCTCGCACGTTGGTTTTCGTACAAATTATTCCAACATAACTTGGGTCGGATCGCTGTCGTTGATCTGTTAGGGCGATATGTTGTCCGATGAGCATTCGGATGCCGATCCGGGACATGTAGAAACGATCGAGGAAGGCTTGGATATTGTGATCGATTTGCATACGTTGCCGCTTGCGTTTGTATTCGAGAATACCCTGGGCTGTGTAAGAATATTGCGGTTAGCTACTTCCGGTACAACTTTCACACGCGGTGGTAACATACCGACCGTTGTGACGACACTGTCGTGCCGCCGCTTGATGCGTTCCAGAGCTTCGGCGAACTTTATATTGTATTGATGCAATTCCGGGGGCCACTCTTGGCCATCATCGGCCGCAGCATAGTATCTTTTGTTGGATGTTATCCTTTTGTCGTTCCCGTTGCCGTTTCCATTGCCATTCCTGTCAGGTGCTGATTTGTATTGTCCCCTTTGTACGCTCGGGTTCTGCGTCGCCTGGCTGAGAATCTTGGAGTCTTTGCCATTCCGCCGTACGGGCTTCAGCAAACGTTCTTTGACTTCCGCCGAAAGTGTGGGTCGAGGTAATGTAGTTAATTCCTTTGAACAAGGTGAGTCATGCCCACGACAGAGGGTAGATATCAGGACATCCTACGCACCTCAAACGATTGCGCATACCAATCTCGCACCCTCCCGATCGAGGGCATCTCATTGAGACCATCGGGAAGGTCGGTGAGTTCTTGCACGCGGTGTGCCAGCCGTATGGGGAGCTCTTCGGAGAGGAATTGTGAGGCGCGGAAAAGGGTCCCTGTAGAAGGCTTCTCGCCGAATTGGACCATCTGCCGTAGAGAAACACCTGTATGCCATGTCAGAATATGCCTTCTCTGTCCGATTTCGATTGCGCATACCTGTCGCCGGGAAGTTGCTGTAATGCTGGGTTGAGGTTAGCATCCCTCTGACTCGATGAAGGGTGAAGGGCGTACTGAGATGGTGTCCATCAGCTTCTGTGACTTTTTCCACGACATATTCGCTGATATTCAAGGCCTCGCAGGCCTATTTTCTGCGTCTGGCGCCAACAATGTCGAGTCTCGTGCGTTGAAGGATGCTATGGCTGGAGCTCTCGCCGAAGGGCTTCCGCCCCGCGATGACGCTAACTGCTCTCCGCTATACCGAGGTTATGGCCTGCGAAGGGAAGGGAAACGCGCTTGAGAAGGGCTGAATAGAGAAGAAATGCGGATATACAAGGCAGATATTGATACAACAGGCAGACATGGGCTAGTCACGGCGCATTTGGGGAGAGGTTGGAGATGTTGTTTTTGCGGACATGCGACCCTCAGCATGCGCACCAGCTCCGTCCAACCGGGGCGAGGCCTGATCTCCCCACACTTTTCCAACCACTGGCCCAGCTCCTCAGCCTCTCCCGCGCCGCCCTAGCCTGCTTTCACGTGCGCCAGCGGGGCCCTCTCTGCGCGTCTTCTGAGAAAGAAATCCCGCTCAGCTGACACCACAGAACCTCCACGCTCTTGACCGCCGCTGGTCGCCGAAACACGACGTCCATCGAGTGCCTTTCCTGAAAACGACTGAGGGCATAGTCTTCGGCGGTGGAAAGCTTGTCCGGAATTGCAAGATGCGGGTTTGAGAACCCTCGGCTCGCTCGTTCGGGCAATTGCGGAGATATTTGATTCAGGGGCAGCAAGGCTTCTCTGGACGTGTTCATCTCCTTCTCGCCGGGACTACTGAACTTACATGTGTCCGTTGGGTAAGTTAGAAGGACCTGTCAGGACTTTTACGAGACTTCGTGGGGTGTGACGGGATCTAATATCGAGCCCTCACAAGGCTTGAGGCATCCAATCAGAAAAGGTTGGCAGTACGGACTCATCAAGATGTTAGCTCTTTTTAGAGTCTTTCTCATCACATCTTATCCATCAATCTTACATTTATCCATCTACAATATCTTCTCAGTTACTAGGTTAGGTGTGCCCAGGCTAGTGAAGGTATGTGCTCGTCACGTGACTTTGGTGATTTTTTTCGTCTCAAGTTTAGGCACACGGATATCCCTTTTTTTTTAGATGTCATTTTGGGTGCTAGACAACGCTGTCAGGGGTACCTCAGCTGCCACTTAGTTGATCAACCAATAGGTAGCTTGATTTCCGTCGTATCAAACTTTATATTACGTCTAGATTTTTCTAGACCTATAAGAGTACCCCAGACAGTGGCAAACAAGTGTACAGCCCTCTGGCAGGGCAAATGAATCAATTTAAAGGTCTCCTGCGAGAGAGACCGCGCTCATCCGCATTATTTCCATCTTCTGCAGCTTTGAATATCATTGTATCAAACTTTACATCAAGTTTAGATTCTTCTGAGCCCATGGGGACACCCAAAGCAGTGTTAAGCAAGTGTGCGCAGACTTTTAGCGCGACGCTGTGTATTCACATATCATGAAATTTCCACGCCTTTGCTTTTGTGTAGCAGTGCTGTGGCAAAGCCTCGACATATTCATTCACCGAGCAACGAAAGTGGTGCTAGCAAGCATAACACCTGGTCCAATTCCAGGAAACCTCCTCCCTCTCCGACTTCAACACCGCCACTCCTTGGTCCCAAGGAGACACTACGTTTGACACTCGACGGGGCTCTCAACCCCTTTTTGTAGTACCGTGATGGTACGTCGCCGTGTCTGACATCAATACTTCGCCCGCTAATGTGCAAAGGAGATCGGGCGGGGAGGACGTGAGAAAAAGGGGGCGGTTACCCCTGAGATTCTATCTGCGGACGTGCTACGTGTGCGAGAAGCTATGAATCCGCGGGCGCCGCAGGACCTTGAGCCTGGTGAGGTTGAGGAGCACGACCAGTCGCAGCGATATGATGTCATATCTGAGACCTATGGACGCGACGATACAGCGGATGCTCGATGTGAAGGTCAGAGTCGTGCAGATAGGGAAAGGGACTGCGAAATAGGCCGATCAGCCTCGAGGCGTGCGCGTCAGACCGACACCTCGAGGGCCCGCCGTCAGCACGACACCTATAGACGCGGCGATAGTGCTGACACCCGGTACGAAGGCCGCGGCCGCGATGGTAGAGATTCGAACCGTACATCAGAGCGACGGCGTTCAAGATCTTCGCACCGGCGCGACACCTCGAGGGCCCCCCCATATCGACGTGACAGCGTGCGCACGGAATCTAGACCAAGAACTCCAATCCGTGGTTATCGCGGCGAACAACAAGACTATAGCCGCAAATCTCGTCGATTTTCAGGCCCTTCTGACCGTCATTACGAGCCCCCAGGGACACCCCGCCGCGGCGAAAGCCCGGCCGGCCGCCGTCGCAGCAGCGCCTCGATGGAGCGTCGTGATAGATATCGCCCCAACAACAACCGCGATATCGAGCGCTCACATAGGCGTAAATACCGCCATGAGATGGACTCCTGTAAGCTTCGATGCACTGAAGACTACACTCAGACTGTTATAAACAAGACGCTGATTCGCGATTCACTTTAGACCGTCCCGGGGAGAACACCGCAGAGAAGCGTCGTCGCCGCCCTGAGGGAGACTCCTGTAAGTCTCAGAGCGTCCAATATTTTTTCAAAACGTGATGAGATAGGAGCTGATTTGCGATGCGCCTTAGATCGACCGGACGAAGGCGCTGCAGATGTGCCGGATGCTAAGCGAATTGCTGCAGACCAAGATCGCACCGGAGCGGCCTCTGGGGAAGCCGAGATGGCGGATCTCAAGGACGGATTAAGGAGAGGCTACACTGGCTGCCAAGATCTGAGCAAGGATTTGGAGTCTCTGATCAGCGAATGCACCGTAGACGAAGAGCTGCGGAGGAAGTTAGAGGTGCTGCGGGAGAGCGTGATCTCTCTTGCAGAAGACCTTCATATCGATTGACCGGTCGGAGGGGTTTGACACTCACTCGCCGCTGTCTGAGTGGCTTCAGTCTGTTAAGTTTTTTTGTAAGCGATGTCAAGTCCAAGAGAGCCTAGATCAGACTGCTGTCAAACCATTGTAACCGAGCCTAACTTACTCCTGTATGTGATGCCTCCGCACATCGATCATCCCAGCAGGACATCCCGACGAAATCCAGCAGGTTTAAAAGAATAAAAAGTCGAAAGAAGGCCTGGACAGATCGATATACGATGGATATAGAGTGCTGCGCCAAAAGTCTGCGCATACTCGTTTGACACTGCTTGGGGTGCTTCTTCAGGCTGAGAAAAATCTAGACGCGATGTAAAGTTTGAGGTGATAGAGATCAAGCTGCAGAAGGCTCTGGAGATGTTAGGGAAGAGTATGGTCTCGCTTGCACGAGACCTACAAATCAATCAAATGGTTTGAGGGGTTTGACACGCACCCGCTGCTGTTTCAGTGGCTTCAGACCATCATGATAAATCGGATGCGGTGTAAAAACGGAGAGAGCCTGTATTAGACAGTTATCAAACCCTTTAGTCAACCTACCTCGCCCCTGCTTGTGGTGCTTCAGCATGTAGTACTTTACATCCAGAAAATGTTAAGCCTTACCTTAACGTTACCTACTTGACCCTTCTGGAAGAAAAAGGCCGACTGGAAGAAAGAGGTCGACTCGAGGAAGGTAGGTCCTCTTGCACTTGACATCGCATTGGAACTTGTAAGATGCGATGAAGCCTCCCAAACAGCGGCGAGTGGCTGCAGATGCCCTCTAGCCTGTTCCTTGATCTGGTGCTATTAGTCACAATAGACAGCTGGCGGGTCGTTATAGCCTGCTTCGGCTCTAGAGGCGGCGAGGATGGTCGGCACAGGCTGAGCGTAGCGAGGCCTCATTACTGCCTACATTTAGATCGCAACGGAATTAGTCACCGCATTCTGATACCCCAACCCGGCAAGAACGAGAGCGGCTGAAGACATGCATACGGCTGCAATTATGCCTGAATTAAACGGTTAAGAAACACTCACAATAGACCTACAAATCGAGTGATTGCCCTGAGGCCTTTGACACTCCCTCGCCACCGTTTGAGAGACTTCAGCTTATGATAAAAAACTGCACGCGATGTGAAATCCAAGAGGGCGCGAATTAGACAGTCACCAAACCCTTCCAGCCGACCTACATATCGAGTGAGTAGTTAGAGGGTCTTGACTCTCACTCGCGACTGTTTGAGAGGCTTCAGCGCACCATTAAAAATCCGATTCAATGTAACGTTCAAGAGGGCTTGAATTAGACAAACTAGTGTTGCGCATCTAATGCAAACCCCAAAAGGCCAACAGACCCCCGCCCCTCACATCTCCACCCCGGCAACTTCCTCATACTCCTCCCCCACTACTACACCCCCTGCATCCACCACCTTCTTCGCACCCATCTTACAAATCGCGATCCTCTCTACCTTCACCCCTTCAGCCCACACGAAATCCCTATACCTCTCCACCATCTCCTGCGCATCTAGCCTCAGCAACGCCTTCGCATTAGCCCCGTGCCCTGCGCCTCGTCCCCCCTTGCCAGATTTCGCGTAAACAGTATTGACAATCGTAGCGTGCAGTTTCAGCGGCCGGTCCTCGGGGCCCATAAACCCCGCTTGCGTGAAGAGGTCGCGGAGCTTAGTCGCGGCGGGGTAGAGCCGCCCAGTCGGGTCTTCCGGGGCGGCGTAGAGGATAGACGTGCGAGCGGGCGGGTGCATGGAATGGAGGCCTTGGATGGAGATGACGAGGGAATCTGGCTGGGTGGTTGGGAACGTGGCGGTCTCTTCGGCGCTGGCTGTGTTTAGGAGGTCCGCTAGACTTAGGCTTTGAAGCAGGGCTGTTGCTCGCTCCAGCCCGTCCTCGTCTAGGCTCATGACCCCGAGCGTGAGATGTAGCGTGCCGAGCGGCCTGATGGCTTTCTCGGGTACGTTTTCGGTTGCGCAGACATCCCCTTTAAATCGCTCTAGCGCTTCCTGGAGTTGGGGTCGTGAGGTGGGAGTCACGAGCGGGATACAGAGGAAGTGGGTTAGGGGTGGTCTGGCGCCTGATTTGGTGGGTTTCGAGGTAAATTGGGAGGGAGTTGGGCTGGATTTAGGGGTGGTGTTTGGACGTTTGGGATCTGATCGTGATGCAGCAGGGGTAGTTGGTGAAGATGCCGATGCTGGAACATCGTCGGCCTTGGGATCGCAGAAGTCGTTCGGAGCTTTGGCTTTCCGACGAGGCATTGTGGTGGTAGAGAAGTGATAGTTACGACTGATAGCTTGGCGGCTGGGGAATTGACTGGGGGCTGCTGATGGGAGGTAGAAAGGGCTGATGAAGGAGCAGACGCGGGCGCGAGAGTGAGGTAGGCTGGCTACCACGGGCGAAGGGAAGGATGTATGAGTAGATGAAATATAGAGAAGTTTTGAGCGAAGAAGACTCGGATTGGTAATTCGTGCGCCTAGATTTGAGGGAGGGTGGCGCATGAGCTGAAATGCAGAAGAAGAAAGTATGACTGGACCTTGGTAGAGCGGATGAATCCTGTGCTTGATGGGAAGACAGACGAGAAAGTTACCCGGGAAAGACGGACTTCAACTATGCAGCCTCGTTTTTGATCAAAAGGCTGCCGTTGAGCATCGGACGTGGTTACCTAAGCTTTCGACGTGGGTTCAATTAAGCGTTGCCCAAGCCACGCACAGACACTCCTAAAGTGTCTGTGCACGATCGATTAGTGACCTCATCGATACCAAGCCTGGGAATACCCAGATGCATCAATGCAAGCTGCACTACGGAACGTTCTCCGAGCCCGCCATGCCCGCCATACGCAGAGCCTCAACAGCGCTTGCAGGGTCGGAGATATCGTAGACAAGGAACTGGCTTAGCCTCGGTGCTCTTCTTTCGACGTCGTGCTGCTGGGGCTGGATGTGGGGCAGAATGTGACGTGATTCCCAGGCATCAATTTTGGACATGCGCGAGCATTCAAACACAGACTGACATTGTGGATAGAGGCTTGTGAAGAGGAGTGCCGTAGAAGTAGAACTAGGGTAGTATGAGCAGCAGCGTCCTCGAGCAGCGCTCGGCAGCACGCATATCAACCGCGAATCCTGCACCAGCAATGCAGCATCCCCTCTGAAACCTCAAGCCTCGTCCCTAAGAGATGCCGAAAAACCACCAGTGTAAACAGGCCCCAATGCAGGTATCCATATCCAAGCTCCCCGCTGCCACCCGCTCAATCTATAGAGCTCTGCTGCAAGAATGTAGAGCTGTCCATCAATCTTGTATCGCCCCTAAGAAATGCACTTTCGCCAGAGCCTCGCGGCTCCTATGACTCGTCATGGTAGAATTTCTTTAGCACCTTCTCTACGTCCTTGAACTCCTGCTTCGCCTGCTCAACCGTCACCTTGAGCTTTTCGAGGCAGACTTCGTCGGACAGGTCGTGGGTGCCAGTCTCGTCTTTGCCAGCGCCGAAGTGTTGAATCTTCTCACACGAGTCTTTGACTTTAGTCAAGCCAAGCGTCGCCGACGAGCCCTTGAGGAAGTGGCCGAGCGCGGATAGCTGCGCAAGGTCCTTTTTGGCGCTGTGGGCATGGGAATGGTTAGTTTCTGGCTTTATGAAGAAGCAGAAGCCAGGGAAAAGCGCCCCCAGTCCGGGGAGAGGTGGTGCCTACATATTTGAGTCCATCTTGCTGAACGTGTTGTCGGCCTGGGTGAAGAAGTCGAACACTATCGACTTCGAAAACTCTCTCTCCTCCTCGTCATCGTCCATCTCGAGGATCTGCTCGAAGGTGGACGTGTCGAGCATATCGCCGGCATCGGGGAGCCCCATGATGCTCGCTTCGGACTGTAATTCGCGGACAACAAGATCAGCCGTGGGAGTCTTTCAGGGAATCGAGAATAGGTGCAAATGAAGGCTTTCCAGGCGCAGAGAAGCAGCAGTAGAAATGGAGGGTTGTAATGTGAGGAATGCGCCTCGAGGCTGCGACAGCGCGCGAGGTCGTGCTGGTAGGAGATGACGGCGGGCAGGAGGGATGGAGGGGAACACAAACCCTGTCGTCGGTCGGCTCGGGCTCGACGGGCTTAGCCATGTTCGATCAGTCTTCGATCCCCGCGATCTCGTCGTCGCTATAGGCGGGCGCCGTTGTCTGGCTTGCGCGCGCACTCAACAGCTGAAGCCTGCAGAACTCGGCGGGCTTGCGCGCGCTTTTGCGGTTGGCCCTGTCGAGGTGGGTTTGGTGTTGCAGCAGCGCGGGATGACGACAGCCGAGTGGGTGACTGAGGGCCGGGCCGCAAGACGTCAATTCGAGAGCAGAGGCGCTGCTCACACACGGGCACGGTGGGGCTGGGAGAGTGGTTGAGGTGAAATTTTCCAAAACTAAGGATGCGAGGGCCAGTAGTGGGTGGTGATAGCGCCCCGCGCTGGGAGTCGGATGAGTGCCGGCGGAGAAGCGCGTGGATCTAAGGGCGTCAGGGTTTTGCAACGGGCCAAAGCGCACACTAGAGGGGATAAGAGGATTCAGTGCCAGCGCTCGCAGACACAGGCTACACATATATTGTCACGGCACAGCGCTCCAGTGTGGGGCATTGCCGGAAATACCACCCACTTCACGGGCAAACGCCGCGAGAAGACAAAACACTGGGACTGCGCACCCAGCACTCGCTTCAAACGTCAACCCACGGCCCGGAGAGGCAACCGGGCTGCAAATCACGCGCTTTCGGGGGGCCATGATGCAGAAAACGGGAGACAGCACGGCGAGGTGCGCGCCGACACGCTGAGCAGCCGCAAGGCTACGCGCAGTCGGCAGAGAGGGCGCATCAATTAGTGAACACGCAGCGACCATCTCAGATGCCAAGCAGGCCTGGACGCGTCTCCCAGATGCGGTGGCCGGCCCTTGTAGCCTCTGCCCGGCGCCGTTCGTCGTCCAACGTGTGCGTTATGCAGCGCAATCAACGAGCACACTACGTCGGCGGCGCCACTGCGTCATCGTACGCACCGCCGGGGCTAAAAAGGGCCCTCGTGCCGTGTCGCTGGCGACCTCACCTCGAGTCCTGGCCGCCAGCATCGTCGCCCAGCAGCCCCGATGCCGCCATCCACCCCCGCTGAGTAATAGCCGCGAACCCCACGACACCACGGACCCTTGGGCTCTGCCAACGGATGCCCGACTTGATGTAGCCATCGTGGAGGGGATCCACGCCGTCGACCCTGGACCAGACAGACGACCGAGACGTCAGGCGGACTACCGGGTGTCTCCAAGCCACCGGCGCGCCCCGAATCCGGCGCGGGCCCTCCCAGCAGTCGACGACGCTGAGAGCCCCTCGCAGGCCGCCGTCCATGCATTCCGGCTCAAGTGCAGCTCCGAGGCCTGGTGGGGAGGACGCGACTGGGCGCGGCGTGAAGCATGGCCCTGGACGCTGTAGAGTAGAAAAGAAAAGAAAGTAGCCTACTTGTACTTGTACTCGCCCGCCGATCAAAGATTTGCTGAGCATCTCCTCCACTGACTGAAGGAGACTTCTTCAACCCTTCCGCCTCGACCTCTTCGCTTCACCCAGTAGCGTCAAGCGTGGCCTGATGATCTGCCAAAAGCAACTCCACAGCACTTACCCACCACGGATGGACAACCTAGGAATACCAAATCGTTAAGTAAGACCAGGGTGCTGAAGGGCAGGTGTTGGCAGGCCCCATTGAGCAGCGATCGACGCCCTCTCCAAAAAAGGCGGATGGCATCGGAACAATTGTGCCGTTCGTACCTCATACCGTACCGTGAGGGGCACCCGGCCAAGCATCCTTTCGCGGGATCGGCACCGCGACTGGACCCTGAAGATGTGCGCCAGTCGTACAGAGGTAGTGGTAGTGCGTGCAGATGAATGGACAGCGCCTAAGCGAACGATGTGACCACGACCACCCGAACAGCACCCCGACAAGCCGCCCTCATCAGATGGATAGAGGAGAGAGCAGCGTGGAGCATTGCCTTCCCGCACCACCAAGGTAAAGATGATCGAGACATAGAGGGAAGATGACGGTTGATTTTGTATCCTACCAGGAAGTAACTTCACCATGCTCTACAGTAAAGTACAGTTCACCTCTCTAATAGTCCCATATGCAAAGAAGCGGTGAGAATGCAAACCATTCTTCCCTAGATCAACCGGTAACCTTGTAGATCGCCTCGGCCAACCGCTTGACGTTGCCAGTCGTAATGCCCGCTACGGAGATTCTTCCGTCCCTAGTGGCATATACGGAGTGCTATAGTAGTGCTTGTCAGCTTCTCCTGTTTCAATTGCGTTAAGCGTAGCGGATCAGGAAGCTTACCTCTTTGGCGAGCACATCCATCTGCTCGGGCTTCAGCCCCGTGAATGCGAACATGCCAATCTGTGACGTGATGTGACTCCAGTCGCGCTTGCTCCCCAGCTTCTCGAGGTTGTCCTTCAGCAGCGCGCGCATCGTAATGATGCGGTCCGCCATGTCCTTAACCTCGCCCAGCCATTGCCTGTTCAGCTCCTCGTCGTTCAAGATTGATGATGCGATGCGGGCGCCGTGGACCGGCGGGTTGGAGTAGAGTGGTCGCACGAGAATCTTGAGCTGGGAATCCACTCGCTTCTTCTCCTCGGCAGACCCACATACAACTGAGAAAGCTCCGACGCGCTCACCGTACAAGCCCTTTTTCGAGGTCAGTCAAAGCAGAAATCACGTCCTGTCGCACACTTACCATGTTCTTTGCAAAGCTCTGCGCGAGAACGGGGTGGAGACCTTCCTTGATGAAGTGTCTCAGGGCGAATGCGTCCTTGTTGGTGTCACCGCTGGCGAAGCCTTGGTAGGCCATGTCGAAGAACGGGAAGTGGCCGCCCTCCTTTACTGCCTCTGCGATGGCCACCCATTGCTCGTCGGTAGGGTCAACGCCAGTGGGGTTGTGGGCGCAGGCGTGGAGGAGGATGATGCTGCCCTTGGGCATGGCCTTGATGTCGGCAACGAAGCCATCGAAGTCGAGGCCAATGGTGTCCTTGTTGTAGTAGCGGTACTTCTCCACCTTCAGCCCCGAGTCCTTGAAGACAGCAGTGTGGTTGGCCCAGCTGGGATTCGGGATGTAGATGGTCTTGGAGCCAGGGTAGAAGCGCTCGAGGAACGCACCACCTATCCGGAGAGCTCCAGTACCGGAAATGGACTGTGTGATGGCCACGCGGTCCTCCTTAATGGCTGCAGAGTCGGGTCCGTATGCGAGGAGGGCCGCAGCTTTTGCGAACGCTGGGACACCAGTAATGCCTGCGTACTCCTTGTCCAGCGAGGAGTCGACGATCTTCTGCTCCGCAGACCGCACCGATGGCAGGACGAATGGCTTGCCCTTGTCATCTCGGTATGCACCAACGCCTGCCGCTGTCAGTGGGGTCCCCTCTGCGTCATAACATCAACTCTGCGGGAACGGTACCCAAATTGATCTTCTCTGGGTTGCTGTCGGCCTTGAATGCTTCGGTGATACCTGGTGCTTGTTAGTAAAATTCGGTGCGCCACGAAAAAAGCCTCTCATGCTCACCAAGAATGGCCTGTCACGCAGAATTGTGGTGAGTAGAAGCTCAGAAAACTTGTTAGAGGTTACATACATCCTAGAATCGCAATTAGTACCAATTTACAGCAATTACTGTGCTGCACTCACAGGAGGCCCTTGGGGGACATTGGACCACGCCGAGGCCGCTCTTGCCCCATTCTTGAGCGAGTACTGCTTCGAGGCAGCTCGGCGCACAGCGCTTCTCGAGGTAGCGAGCATGGTGACGATGTGAGGAGAGGCAGGTAGGGTTATTCAAAGGTGAAGCGGGTGGGGGATATTCTGTAGAAGATGACTTATGTGCGTCTTCTTTCCTAGTTTCCGGGAGAATGGCCTGAGAAACGGCGTTAGTGCGGCCGGTGGAGCGGTTGTTGAGGGAGTTTAAGCTTGCAGTGGGACAGCTGGATACACACCGCCCTAAAGTAACCCGGGTCGGCGCCTTTGCACCGAGCGCGCGGAATTGCAGCGGAATCTGATTCAGAAATTATTTCGTCGCGTCTGCCAGAGCCGCGACTGGCTGTGAATCTTGAACCATCACCACCACGCAATGCGCCCAGCTCTGCGCCAGGCCAGCAAGCTTCTGCAACGAGATGCGACTGTGCCGCATGTCTCGATCCCTCTCTTTCTCTGTCCAGCTCTTCTGAGTACCCCTGCGCGGCCGTCGTTATGTCGCCAGGGGAGCAGCCCTCAAAATGCCAAATTTTCCAACTCTTCTCGACGACGCCGACCAGAAGCCGCTATTACTACCCCCTCGCCTCCGCCGGCTCAGGAAAACGCTGTGGCAGCACCCGCGAAACGTCCGCTTCCACTGTGCTGCCCTGGATGCGGAGCCCCGACCCAGACCATCGAGCAGAATGAAGCAGGCTTCTTCTCGTTGCAAAGAGGGGCCGTACGGGCATACATCAACTATGACAAGAACAGCCAGGATGCTGTAGAGGAGGACATATTTACGAGAGCAATCAGAGGAGTGGACCAGAATGTGCTCGGTGAACTTGGACTGAACAAGGACGTTCTAAGTACAATCCTCCCCTTTGCCGCTTCCATCTTCCATCGCTGACCACGCGCTATCTAGCATCTACTCCAGAGAAGACTGCACCCTCTACACCCGTATGCGATCGATGTCACAACCTAATACATCACCATGCGGGGACCTCCATTTTCCACCCCTCAATCGACGCCATCAGCGACACCATTGCCGAGTCCCCGCACAGGCACAACCACATCTACCATGTCATCGATGCGGCCGACTTCCCCATGTCTATTATTCCCAAGTTACAAGCAGCCCTACAGATTCCGCAATTACGGACCCAGAATCGACGCTCGAAACACACCAGATGGCAGAGCGGCGACCGTGTGGCAGAGGTCAGCTTTATCATCACACGGTCTGATTTATTGGCGCCGTTGAAAGAGCAGGTGGATAAGTTGATGCCATACGTACAGGAGGTGTTAAGAGACGCCTTGGGCCGATCTGGGAAAAGATTCCGCCTAGGAAATGTCCGTCTCGTGAGCGCGAAGCGAGGATGGTGGACGAAAGAGGTCAAAGCAGACATATGGGATCGGGGAGGTGGCGGCTGGATGGTCGGCAAGGTCAACGTTGGCAAAAGCAATCTGTTCGAAGTCGTATACCCAAAGGGAAGAGGAGGCCTTGACATGAACGTCCGCAGAATCCGCTCCGCCGAGGAACGTGCGAGGATGGAAGAGGCCGCGCAATCAGTCGACGAACTTATGGCAATCCAAGAACAACTAGTACAAGAAGACGAAGAAGCAAAAATAGATCCAGCAGAGAAGGCCAGAGAAGAAGCAGAGGCCGCACTCCAAGACGACGAAGCCCTCCTCCCCCCACCCCAAATCGAAACCGCATTCCCAGTCATGCCCATCATTTCCTCCCTCCCCGGCACCACCGCCTCGCCCATCCGCGTCCCCTTCGGCAACGGTCGCGGCGAGCTCATCGACCTCCCCGGCCTCGCCCGCTCAGACCTTGAGTCCTACGTTCGCCCAGAACACCGCCTCGACCTCGTCATGAACCATCGCATTACCGCGCAAAAGCATATACTTAAGCCAGGCCAGTCGCTACTTCTCGGCGGCCTCATCCGTATCACGCCCAAGACACCGGACCTCGTCTTCATCGCGCACCCCTTCGTGCCTATCGACCCTCACGTGACCAGCACGGAGAAGGCGGAGGGAATGCAAACCCAGACGCGTGAGTCAGGCGTCCCTAGCATTGCGAAATCTGGGATAGGGGAGAAGATAAAATCTGCGGGAGTGTTCAAGCTTAAGTGGGATGTCACCAAGAAACAAACAGGCCCGTTGACATCGAAGTCGGCTGGAAAAATGAAGGCGGACCAGCTGCCTTTTACAGTCTACTCGGCGGATATTCTGATCGAAGGGTCCGGATGGGTGGAGCTGGTTGCTCAAGTCCGGAAATCTAAGATGGATAGGAGCGCACTGCTGGGTGGCAGCCAAGAGGGAGAAGATGGTGTCACAGAGGAACTAGACATCGAAGTCCCGGAAGTCGAAGTGTTCAGTCCAGAAGGCAGATTCGTGGACGTTCGCCGGCCGATGAGCGCATCGGTGCTGGGAGGACCGAGGGTCAAGGGGCGGAACGAGAGAAAGGTGAGACCGAGGCCGAGCATGAAGAGCATGAAAGCTCGGAGAAAGCCTCTAGGGGATTGAAACCCACTTCCATGGCTGTAACATATCGCGGAGTGGTACATCTAGGCATTTGTGGCGTCAAAAAAGGGTGCATATAATTTACCCAACGTGAACCACACAATTGGCTTGTACAATAAGATCGTTGTTAGCATAAGGAGCTTGGGTGTTGCAGATACATATTGCTAGATATCCGATGTACAATGACTTGTTCCACTCTTCAATTAGTATTCTGTCCCTCAGCTTATGCTGATGCTCGTCTTGCCTCTTTAGAGCACCACGAGCTTCGGAATTCGCAGCATGAGCCCAACGAAATCATCACTTCTATAGCACAATAATGCTTTCCCATTTCATCGCTCATACGTGCAGAAAACTTGCACAAACCGCCCACGACAAGGGTCCATGAAACAGCCCCCCTGCGTCACCTCTTCGGGCAAGTCTTGGCCCGAAAGCCTGCAAAGTGTTGAGAGCCGAGAGCTAAAAAAGCTTCGAACTAAATAAGCTTCGACCTTAATAGCCTGCAACATAAATAAGCTACAGGTGGATAAACATAGCTTCCACATACCTAAGCAAGTATGTCGCCTTAGAAACGAAGACGTTCAGCATTCATATCACATTGAAATCTTCTAAAGGCTTGTCAAAGTTCATAGAGTCTTCATTATCTACGGATTTTCTACAATGCCTGCCTGCTCAAGTCGCAGCGATCAGTCCTCATCCCAGTTGGGGTTGTTTTGGGGCATTTTCGGGCCTCCCGCTTGCCGGGCCACAATGATCTGATCCACACTCAACACCGTCCTAGCCGCCTCGGTCGCCAGCTTGATCGCCCAGCTCTTCGTGATGTACAGGTCCAAAATACCCTCCTCTGTGGCATCAAGGGTACCCGTCTTGTCTTCGTTCTCGATATCGATACCCATCGACGCGCCTTTGTGAGCGGCATGTGCGGTGTACAACCTGCTTAGCACCTCGGTCGCATCTAGGCCGGCGCTTTCTGCTAACGTGCGGGGGATGACTTCGAATGCTTCGCCAAACTTCTTGATGGAGTACTGGGAGAGACCTGGAGTCTTCTCGGCAACGTTGGTGATGCGCTCGATGAGCTGCATTTCAGTTGCACCGGCTCCTGGGACGAGGCGGGGATCGCGAGTGATCGCTTTCACGACATTGACACCGTCATCTACTGCACGTTCGACGTCGTCAAGATGGTTCTGAGTGGCGCCGCGGAGCACGAGGGTTGCAGTCCTGGTGGTTTCATTCTCTTGTCGGAATACGGTAACGCGGTCACCGCCAATCTCTAACGTCTCAACAACATCGACTGTGCCCATTTCATCCGGCATAGGCGCGCCCAGCCGAGCAAGCGGCGTGGCACCGACAACGCGGCAGAGTCTGCGGAGTTCGAATTTGGAGAGGATCTTGATGACGAGGATGTTGTAGCGATTGAGGTAGTGCATGGCAAGTTCGCCGATGGTGGACCCGGCAACGACGACGCGGAGGCCGGAATCGTGGAGCTCCTTGATAATGTTCTCGATTTGGTGTTCCTCGCCCTTGGTGAAGTCCAGCATCTCCTTGGCGTTGTGTAGAAGAACGGTTCCTTTGGTTTCCGTCTGGCTAATATCGATCGGACATGAGTACACTCCCACCTTCGCCCTCTGTGCCTTCTTGATGCTGCCTTCTGGCTCGCGGGCGAAGACCATCCCCTTGACGACCCTGCTCTGCTCAAGGCTGCCACCCATAATCTTGACCACCCGCACATTGTCGACGTTGAAATTTATGGGGTTCTTGGGGAGAACTGCGAGGATTGCTTCGGCAACCAGGTCCGCGAGGAAGTCTTCGTTGCCGGACTGCTTCGCGGCCACAACAGTTCGGATGGCTTTGCTGAGCTCTTCTTGTGATCTTATATCCTCGACTTTGTCAACAACGAGATCTGTGATGACTTGTTAGATCTTGATGCTGTCACGTGTAGGAGCAATATTCAGCTCGTACCTTCCAACTGCTTCAGAGCCTCCTCTTGTGCCCTCTCGTACCCTTGCACGATATCACTAGTCTTCAAGCCCATTCTGATCAGCTCTTCCGCCTTCTTCATCAGTTCTCCCGCAAACACAATGACCATGTTTGTGGCATCGCCCATCTCCGCGTCTTGCTGCTGGCTCGCCATTACGAGCAATTTCGCCGCTGGGTGCATCACCTCAAGCTCCCGTAGTATCGTCGCCGCGTCCGAGGTCAGGATCATCTTCTGCAGGTGGTTTATTACAATCTTGTTGCATCCGTACGGCCCTAATGAAGTCTGGACAGTCTGTGCGATCGTTCTGCAGGCCTCGATATTGCGAATAACGGCGCCATCTTCGGAGTCGTAGCTGTGGGGTACTGTTTAGCTGTGCACCACATGGAGGGGCTGGAGAATTTCGGGAGACGGTACTTTTGGTAGCCCGGCTTGAATAGGCCTGCATTCGGAGCGTTGGGTATTGCGAGAGACATGATTGCGGGTGTGTAGAGTTGGGTGAAGGGGTGGTGCCTGGTGTCGCGTTGCGTCGAGCTCAAATCGCGTTCCACTCAAAAAAATCGGACATGGAGTTTGGGCCTTGGCGCGGGCAAGGCGAACCTCAACACCTTGCCCTGTCGTTCAACTTCCACGCGCATACCTGCCAGTGTACCAAAGAGGAAGATATGAAATCCTATCTAGACTCTTCTAATTGCAGCTTCATGCTACCTGGTACAACATGCACCCATCCTCCGCAAGCACCGCAACCTCACCATGACCTCCTATATCTTCTCTGGATCAACTTCCGAGATCAATTGATTATCTCGCGACTTTATTTACTACTGTAACACAATTTGGCCATAAATAGCGCCTTCTATGATGAGGCTAGAAATCTCTTCCCTGTTTGTGCTACTTTTTCAACCTTTCAGTGCGATCAAATACTATCAAAATCCTCGCTACTCTGCCTAGATGCCAGAAGTCTTCTTCGATACTGGCCGACTTGACGACTTTTCAATAGTCCAATCTCTAAGGTGTATCGATCTCCAATGTTCTACAAAGCCATGCCGGTGTTCCCGGCTTGGTATCGGACCTAACGCCGGTCCAGCCACCTGGCTAACATTTGGTACGGTTGTTTTGCAGCAAATCAGCAGCACACGTCCACGTTGTTTGAGACTGCAACCACAGAAACATGGTCTTTCAGTATGACAAAAGCACCTGCATGGCAATTGCAACGGTGCCTCTCGTCACACCATCTAATTGAACCGTCTAGGTTACCTTGCTTCCCCAACAGTATGATGTTAGCCACTGGCCAACTGCTTGGAGATTCCAAATTATTTAAATGATCGAAGCAGCCTGCAAATACTCCACGCCATACAGACATCGCTCTACCTGCTCATTACACCCACCCAACATCAACATGGCGGTTGGTATCTTATGCCGCATTCTTATTGTGCTGGGAGCTCTCCAGATCGCATTAGCATTAAGTATTCCACCAAGTGCGGGCAAGACCTATGTTCAGCTTTCTCGCCGCTCGTGAGTCTAATTTCTCTCTAAGCCTAAAGTGAAATGTAGTTCCACGACCTGATACTACTTTCTAGATCCTCAACCGCAACATCAAAAGAGGCCTATCTAAACCTCGAACTCCGTCCGCGAAAGGAACTCTACTATGAGAACGAAACAACGGCCTCATTCATCGTGGACACCTCGGTCAACTACGAACAGCGAGGTGATCCGTTTTCCAACAGAACTTTCATCCCCGGCCGCATCGATGCCGTACCCTTCACAACGATGAAAATCCAAATCACAAATTCTCTAGACAGCACGACGCTAGTACCTTGGTCAGATATCACAGTCAACTCCATGAGCAACGAGTTCGCCTTCAATCTGTCTTCTCTCGCTCCGAAGACGTCGGCATATCCTGTCAATATCATAGGCGTTTCCCCAGACGGTATTCAGTCGTACTACGCTACTTCTTCAATCACGGTTCTGCTAGCTGGTAATGATACTATACCCGAACAGCAGATAAGGACGATCCATCACTAAATCTCATTGGGGGTGTGGTTGAATTGTAGAATGCTAAGACGGTTCGCATATTGAACATTACAAAAGTCGGATATTCCGCATGCTTTGTAATTATTCTTACATGTTTCTACCGCTGCGCAGAAGTTTAGAGGGCCCTCTATAATAAGTCAATGTAAGGAAAGTGTTACTCACGCGAGAACAATCTCAAGTGTTTGTATGTGTTTCACTTTGGCATCATCTAATTCCCAAAAAGTGTCCATCAAGAATCAGAACTCCGCGATGTAACGTGAAATAGAAGGCATCCCGCAAATCGTGAGCTTCATATTCTATTTACAGATTAACCCGAAGTCTAGAAAATCCGCGCTCTGTCATTCAGATGTTCCGGCAAGGCCGAGGTGGCAGCTTCGTCGCCCATTTTGTGGCTGAATTTATAGTGGAGTCGGTTAAATTCATCGGCTTACCTAGCGCGCGGTGCACGGAAGAGGTGGCACTTTGATTTTACAACAAGCTGTCTCGTATGTACACCTGTCTACTACTGCTTAGGGTGCTTCAATGCATTTTCAATATCTGACGAGATAAAAGCCCTTCGCCTTGGGCTATGTGGAAACTCGTTGAAGCACCCCATGCGGTGGCAGACAGGTGTACACATGAAACATAGTGCTTGATGCGTGTGCCACTTTTTTCACATCCAGCGTGCATAGGAGGCCTCCAGAGCTTGTTCAGTGGCCAGTCTAGTCTACAACACTCCACGGCTCCTTCGTCAAGCCTTGTCCTGTTACCCCTGGATCCATCACAGCATTGCTCAAGTCCCGTACTTCCAAATGTGCCAAGCCAGGACAGGAATGCAAAGACACGCACGCTTTAATAGCGTCTCCTTAGGACAAACGGCCTCGATTGGTGTTCGGCTGCAATTAGCTTCGAGTTTACTCCGTAGACAGCCTAGCGGGCCGCTCAAAGCGGTCAAGATGACTACTGTAGCTTCTCTCCATTGAGCATGTCCGTTAGTGAAATAAGGCAGGCCTACCTAGGCACATAGCGGCTTGCTTTTGTAGACAGGGACAAGGCACAACGGCATTCCTACGTGCACACCACGATGGAGGCGCTGAGAAGAATACAAATGTTCCGCTTCCCCTGTTTTGTGTGCGATTCTTCCACTTCACAGCTTCATCACTCGCTCACGTTTCTGTCGATTTCCTTATACCTCAGTTCACATCTCACTCGTTTACTTCTGTTTCAGTAATCACAGTCACTATGCGGACTAGGACTGTCCTTTCGTTGACCCTGTCGCTATTGAACCTGGGCGCTAACGCATCTAATAATACGTCCGATATTTCGCAGATCTTCGCAGATCTTGGAGATCTCCCTCCCACGGGTGACTACAGCGTTGTGTACATCAATCCGGATACCCATAAGCTTGTGGAGGACAGCATCCCAAATCTTGCCGGGCATGGAAGTAATTAATCTTTTTCTAGAAGAAAGATTAAGAGTGCAATTGGACAAGCTGGGAGCTTTTCTAGAACGGACAATTGACTTTTGGATATACAGGTACTACGAAGACCCACTCGTCGCCCTCCTCCGCCGCAACAACGCTTATGGTTTCTGCAAAGCGTACTGCGCTGGCGAGAAGGCATCAGTGGTTACTAAGACGAAGACCGCAACAAAGACTGCCGTAGTGTCTAAGGCTACTACAAGCTGCTTGAACAGGTGTGTGCCCAAGACAACAGTGTGAACTGTTAAGGGTGCCTCCAGCCCACCCTCAATTGTCACGCAAACGGCGACAGGTAAGAGTTGGCCCTAGTGCAGAGTATTGGCCTCCCGGGAAATGCTATACTAATTAATTATTTCATCTGAAAGTGATCTCGACGGAATCTACGACTCTGACTGCTGTAGTCAGCGTGACCGTGGCTGCGTCCGCGGATTCAACCGTCACGGAAGAGCAGGACGCTACTATCACTGCAGATCCGCAAGTATCCTACGCTTCTATCTTCAATCACGTAGTCTAACTTATCTCAGCTCAACAGCCACTGAGTACACCACCGAGACGAGCTCCGTTACCGAAACTCTCACGACCACAACCACCTCGACCCTACAGTTCGGTCCAAGTGCGACTGCGACATTCGCCCCTAGAGACATCAAATACCCCCCCTACCTCCGCGGTCACAACCACAGAGATATTGAGGCCGCGTGTAAGGTCCTCAACAAGCCACTGCCAAAGACCACAACCGTAACGCGTACAAAAACTATCTCTTCAACGCACATCCGCACTTTCACCAGCGTCCCCGCTGTTGTCACTCATCTCGTAACGAGCACGCCTCCAGCCACAATACTTACGACAGCGCAAACTGGTAAGCGAGTTTAGTCCTATGGGCTTTTCGCAGAGTTGCCAGATTTTATGTTCGATGAGCGAATGCTGACCTTTTCCAGATATCTTGACAACTATTGAGACGTTAGCATATCCCATTTTACCTTAGCTCCGTGCGGACTGTTTCTCCATGGAGTGTCCGGGCAACAGACTTCGTAAGCAACTGCTGACCTTTCCCAGTTCTACTTTGACAGTCACTGCATACACGACTATCACATCTGTCTATCTCCACGCGGAGACCAGCACCTCGTTTGCTACTACAACCTCAGCCGTTACGGAGACTATTACCTTACAAACCACTGAGACGACGACAACTACAGCCACCGCGACTGTGTCCGCATGCCCTTCAGCTACGTACGGCATCTCCGGCATTGCAGTCTGGCCCCTGGCCAACTCCGCTCAGGTGGTGCTACACCGGACGCGCCTGCATGCTGCTCTTTGTGCTATACCACCCCTGGCTGCAACGGATGGGCGTTCCTGGGAGCCAATTTCTGCTTTGCCTCGTTCGGCTCGCCGCCAAATACGGCTCCAGACACTTCTACGTGCCCCAATGGGTTTGGGTCATACGTGCTTGGGACCGGTGGGCCCAGCTACCTAGCTGGTGGAGATGGGCCATGTGCCGCTACCTAAGAACCTCTTCTGACGACTAGGTACCATGCCACCAAATCCGAATCTTTCGACTTGCTATGAAGCGGAAGACTAATCTCATGGAAATATCACTTATCACGTACAAACAATATTAATCAATCATAAACAACTTCAATTCTTCATTTCACATCGCCGTCGTTTTCGAGTATCAGACCACGCCATCAGGAGCCGTGCAAAGAATCTCAGCACTGCTCAAAACCGTCCCACCCGATCTCTCCCTTCTCAAACCTCCTCAACCCCCCAACTCCAACACCCTCGCATGCTTAATATCCGCCCCATCAATCCACTCCCTAATCCCCGCATACCGCTTAAACGCCTCCGTCTTCCCAAACCTTAGATGCGCATCCACACTCTCCCACGGGGAAAACAGCACAAACTCCTCTTTCTCCCCTTGGCCATCTGCCTCCTTCTCCCGATCAACCCGCCATCCCCACCCACAAACCTCCGGCGCCACGTACTCCTGCAACAACCCCTTATTCGCCTCAAACGTCTCTTCAAACGTCTCCTTCTGCCCAGGCTTGATGAAATGCCGCGCTATACTAACCAACCCCTTTCCCCCCTTTCCAGCCCCGGGAATCGGCAGCTGGGTAAGCGGGACATCATAATGCACCAGCGACACAACCTCGACCATCCCGTCTAGGGATTTCAGCAACTCCTGGTTCTCGGCGCTAGGGATGAAGCCGTCCATATGCTGGGCTAGGCTGTCCCACTCGCCGAGGATGTAGATCAAGGCTGGGTCTTCGACTTGCTGGAGCATGTGGAAGTGGTGGTGGGTGTAGGATTCCATGACCGTTTTGGCGTGGGAGAGGGCGGAGAGGAGGGATGGGGTGGTGGAGGTGGTTGGGGGGAGGAGGCGGAGGAGGGCGAGTTCGGTGAGGGTCATTCTTGTGGTTGCGGAAGGCTGGTTGGGATTGAGGGGGAGTTAAGAGGGGTGATGGTGTGGGCGTATGTTGTGAAGATGAGATGGAGATATTGAGAATAAGACGTAATTGAAGAATGAGATGCTCCGCGTGATAATATTTGGGCAGATTCATGCGTGGGCGCGTTTGATGTCGCGTGTTTTGACCATATATATACCCCGAAGGGTTCGCGCGGAGTTAGAGATTCTGACGCGGCTTAGCTGCCTGAAGGACTTTTAGTGGATAGAGCGGGACCATTTTTAGACTTACAGTCAGCAAAGTAGTACCATTGTGGAAAGATTTACGTGAATCCCTCGTGTTTATGTGGTCCTAGTAAATTTTCATCGGACTTTAGGGATAAACGAGGCTTCGTATTCTTTTGGTATAGACTTGGCAAAATGCCTTTCATTTGGATGTGTTTGGGAAGAGACCATTGATGAGCATCAAATCATGGATAATTTGAGGCCTATTTCGTCAGTCTTACAAAGGCTCTAGGAGAGCTTGGAACCGCTTTAATGGTAGAAGTGCTAAAAAAGTAAAGGCAACGGTGGCGGATAAAAAGCTCGTCCCAGATAGCAACCATTTTTTGGATTCCGAAGCCTAGCGTTCGAGTTGAGAAATATACAGCCAATGAAGCTCTAATCGACCGTTTCACCAAACCACACCGGAACCCCGGTCATTTCTCAGAGTTGCTGTTTGAACTGATCCATTTCAACGTCGGACTTGCCCGCTGCCCTTAAGTACACGCTTTCTCATAGTCTTCTGTAGAAAAGCTGAGGGGGAGTTATACAATACACCTCGTTACAGGTCCCTGCAGCGCCTTCGAACGCCCTAGCTCCCATAAAACACCCCAAAAACCCAGTTCATTTTCTCGAGCTGGCCATTTCGCCGTAACGCCCACGTTCCCGTGTTGTGTCGTATGCCTGCAGCACTCTAGCCTGCGACTCGTCCGTCTGTGAGAAGGCGTAGCCACGCTGCTTGCGCATGCGCTGAACTTGGCGGACTTTGCGAATAGCTTTTTGGAATTGCTCCATTCTGCGATGATACGTCAGTAAGGATGTAACACGATGAATGAAGTCATAGAGGGACTGGCCTTGGCCGATAATCCTGGATGTTAAATTTTTGAATTTCTTGAATATGATGGTATGCTTGCGGATAATACATTCGCTTGGCACTGTAATGAAGATTAGAATGGGCCGACATTGGCTTGACAGTCAGCCTTCGTGCGGTTGGTCCACTTACTATTTCCATGCAAAATCCCGGAGAAGACACAGAGCTGGTAGAACTACAATCATGGCCCAGAACACAGGGCTGGGGAACAGCCGAGCAATTACTCCTTGGTACTCCAGCGAGATATTGAGCTTGGGCGCGACAGTGGCATAAACCGGAAGGAAGATCATCCACACAACCATACTTCCCGGAATGGCAAGGAAGGTATACTTTGTCCAAATGTTAGTGATCAAGGCGGCTTTACCCAGTACAGTTCCCAGGGCGGCGGTATAGAGTGCCGCTCCCCAAACCCAATGGCCAGCGTTCTTGCCGTCGCTTTGTGGCCCGTCCCAAAGAAAAATGGCCTGTGACACAAAATAGAGAACGAGAGAGTGATAGAAACCGTTGCCGATCCACGACCAGAAAGAATGCATCTTGAAGAATACACCCTTCTGGCTGAGTTGGTAAAGCTGGGGATAGCGATCCAGAAGCCGGGCACTAACAAACTGATCGAAGATGCCGAGAACAAATGGAGGCATGACTGTGAACAGGACGTTGTAGAAAGTGAGTGTCCAGGATTCGAAGATAATTTGACCGGAGAAGGCGTTTTGGAAGGAATACTAGACGTAGATTAGAGATGTGAGGCTGGGAATGATGAGCAGTGCATACCCAGAACTGAGTCATGAATAGGGCGATATTCTTGTAGAAAGAATACAGAATGACCTTGCTAACACGATGGTAGCTCCAAGCTCCATGGACAAGGAGAAGTTTACGCAGGTAGCGGAATTGGCCGATGGCGATATCTGCGCTTCGAGCAGCTTGTAAACCTTCCACTCCACTGATACCCACTCCGACATGGGCTGCTTGAATCATGGAAACGTCGTTGGCACCGTCTCCGATGGCGAGCAAGATAGCTTTCAGATGTCGCTTAACAAGCTTCACAACCAAAGCCTTTTGAAGCGGGGAGACACGGCTGGAGTATGATTAGTAAAGGGAGATATAACCAATATCGTATCACTTACCAGCATATCACGGCCTTGCACATAACGGCGAGGTCCAGGAACATCTTTTCCATATCCCTCTCTAGGGCAAAAGTAAGTGACTTGCCGTCAATGACTAGCGCAAGCACATCCTTTTCCATAGCCCCTGACTGTTGACTTTTGATAGCATTGAGTTTCTTTGAGAGGTTATCCCTGGTGGCTTCCGCGTTATCCTCATTGACAATCAATAGAGTCATGTCTTCGCTGATTAACTTGCAACTCATGCCAATGTTGATAGCGGTTTCTTGGCGATCGCCCGTCAGGACCCAGACCTTGATACCAGCCTCTTGGAGAGTGTGAATTGTGTCGGGAACGCCGTCTTGCAGCTTGTCTTCGATAGCAGTTGCTCCGAGAAGAGTAAAGTCATGCTCGATGAGCTCGGCAGCCTTGTCGAGCTCCTCCGCTCGGTTTCCGCTGACAGTTGTTTGAGCAGTATCGTAAACGCGCCGCCACTCTTGATATTCGTGCTCAGGAATTTCGCGCATTGCTAGACAGAGTGTTCGGAGTCCCTCGGAGGCGTATTCTTCGAGATGTTGGAGAGTAGTCTCAACGTATGGATTGTTATCCGCAGCTAAGCGCTCTAGTATAACAGTGTCGGCGCCTTTGCAGTAACATCTGATCTTGCCATCTGGGCAACGGAAGATTGTTGACATCCGTTTCCTGGTTGAGTTGAATTCACAGACTGCCAAAAGCTCATACTCGAGCTCACGGCCATCCACAAGGATAGTGACTGCACGAGGCTTGCGGGCAATGAACTTGTATCCCAGTAGAACAGCACCTTCAACCAGAGCACCTTCATCAGGAGATGCTGACTGATATTTGATGGCGCCTGATTTTTCATCGCCTCGCTCTGGGATAACGGTGTGACAAGTTGATAGTAGAGTCAGGAAATGGTCAATGATGTCGCCCGAAGAGTGATTCTTGAGATTTTCTGCCAATCTCTTGAAGTCATGGATACCAACTTCTACTCCATCTTCGATGGTAGCCCTCCGGTCTTCGGGAATTTCGTCAGCGTACTGAATCCCGGCTATGGAGGATTGTTTGAACTCCATCATGTTGCATGTTAGAGTGCCTGTCTTATCAGAGAAGATGTATTCAATCTGCCCCAACTCTTCCACCAACGATGACGTCCGACAGTTGGCCGGGGTGTCAGTTTTGTCGTAATAGATGTCGAGATCAGAATCGATGAGGGAAGCCTGGTAATATTTGACAATCTCGATGGTGACGAAAAGCGAAATTGGAACCAAGTTAGAGTACAGCACCCAATACGTGAAGATGTCAGAGAAGAACTGCTTCGCAGCGTTGAAACCGTCATACTCAAGGTATCCTAGCTGGCCACTTTGCTTCAGTCGTATTGCCAAATCGCCGAAGGAACTGATCAAACTGAGGGTGACCAAAATAGCTCCAAGCATGAGAATCTGGTAATTGACTGTATGTTCCACGTTTGTCTTCTTGATCGGTGTGGCCGTCGCGTTTCTCATGAGTTTTGTCTCGTGGCCGGTGAAAACAACGACTCCATGGATCCAAGGCGTGTTTCGGAGAGTAGCACCTCGTAAGAGGAGCTGATCTGGTGCCAAAGGTAATTCTTTCTCGCCTCCACCAGCTTGAACCGTCAGTGTCGCCTCGTAGGTGTAGAGGCTGCTGTTGGGCTGCTCCGATCGGATCTTCCCGCCCAATCTGCTAAGCTCCGCAGAGCTCACCAAATCGGCTGTCTCAGGGATAGCTTGCTTGATCTTAAGGTTGGTCTCTCCGTCTAGGTTGGCAGTCTCGATGTAGCAGAGTCCCTCGGGCTCCGATGAGGCCAAAAGCACCAAGTCGGCAGGGAATGGTTCCTCGGACTCTACACGCACGATGTCTCCAACAGCAACATTGATCCATCGAGTATCTTCAAAGCTTGATCCCTTCAGCACTCGCGCCTTGGCATTGTTTAAAGATTTGTCTGATGTCTTGCGGCGAAAATCTTCTATGTATTCCTTGACTGCAGATACCAGAAGCACAATGCCGAGGGGAACAATGGTGGTGTACCTTTTAGTAGGCGAGATACCAGGAATTTGTTGTAGAATAGCGGTGAATAAGAAGAAAAGGTTGGCGTATTTTGAGAACTGCTCGTACAGGAATTTCGGGAGGAAGGTAGCGATGTTGTACTTGGTGGTCGAGATGTGGTTATCGACGTACTTGTTAGTAGCATTTGCCGGTGGATTGTTTAGATGTATCAAGCGCGGCCCCAATGTCGAAGGGTCTGGCTTGCCGCGTCCAAATCCGAACTTGAATTTTCCAGAGCCGCGCCTCTTAGGCGGAGGGTATTTTGCACTATCAAGCCCTCCACTGTCTGTTCGTGACTCACGCGCACCAGTTTCCGTCAATGGTAAATCCATTTCCGAGTACTCTGGACTTCGTCCAAGCATGTGTTTGGCCCGACCCATCAGGCCTCCTCCCAAACTCATTATGCTATTCCTATTCTTCGGCGCCGAAGCATGTCGCACAAGACGTGGCGTGGGCTCGTCGGTAGTCCCTCCAGAGGCGTAGTAGCCTTGGACTGATTGATCATCGTGATCAATGTCGTCGACGTCTGAATACCGCTGATAGTTATGGAGATCTGAGGTTTGTGAATACAGCCTACTTCCTCCCGTAGTGTACGGAGTCGAGCTAATAGGCAGCGTGCCTGGTCCTCCTGGCAGACCCGCGGCTGGTCTTCCTCCAACAAAATCATCGTAAGATTCTGAGGGGCGGTGTTGAGTGGTGGGTTGGTGCATATCGGAGTCGTTTATGTCGTAGTTTCGTAGCAGGTCTTCATCATTCGCTGGAGCTCGCTGCCCCGAGTAGTATGTAGGTTGCGGGTCGCCAAAATCGAGTAGGAGGTCGTCATTATTGCCCGAGGCATGTCCACCAGGAGGCCTACCGGCCATTGCGGCCAGGTAGCTTGAGCGGGAGCTTGTCCGTGTGCAATGCTGTCCTAAACCGCAGAATCATCCAGGTAGATTATGGCACTGACAATAGTAGTCGTCTCGGTGAGTGTACGTATGCGCCGTATGGTGGATGTCGTGGTGGTGAACGAATTCGGGAGCGTTTTCTCAGCACAGCCCCGGCCGGAGCTTGGCCGCTTTTCGAGACACAAGCTGTTGGATTGTGTAGGGCTGGTCAAAGCGCAAAGACACGGGGGATTCGTCGCCTTTCAAAAGATCGTGAGGTCGGGTAATACGGTGGGAATCAGGTGCTATGCGGAGCTGGAATAGAAGCTGACTTGGGGTGAGGTCGGGGAGACTGACAAAGTGGCTGAGCGGAGCCAAGACCTGCGTTGGATGCGCGCTTCAACCTTTCGTCTGGTGATCTTCCTTACCACAACAACATCAAGCATTCTGGATTACTTATAATTATTCTAACCTAGAGATACATCTCTTATAGACTCCAGTACTAGAGTCGCCGCCCTCTTTTACGATACAGATGTACCAGAAGACAGTGTCTAATAATAGTGAGGTTTCACAGCACCGCCGGGCTAGCAACGCAATACGAAGGACTCCTGAAGCACAACCGCAACCCAACAGAAGACGCTCTTCCATGACAGTCGTGATTTTCTCTCAGTCTTGTTCCTGCCTTGGTATCATTGCAGAGGGGATGTTCCATTACTATGAAATTAGCTTCGTGAGCATTTATAGTCCATCATTTTCTTTATCTCGCAAGGGGAAATCTGGGCTTTTTCTGGCTCAAGTTGTAGAATAAGAGAACGTGGCCACTCATTTACATTGAGCTTTATCTTTCTTCAAGTCCATGACCATTCCAACAGCATAAATGTAAGCGCCGGTCTACAAAGAATGCAAGCAAATACGTGCATGTCTGCTCAAACATGGAAGTTCCCAACACTACCACTAGCTCTCATGCAGCCATATACAAAGGAGTGATCAGTCAACCACAGTCAGAAAGTGTTAAATGTGCCATCCAGGAGACGCTTCTCTGACAGCTGTTCGTCTTTAGTACTTGAAACAGGGGGTCTCGGGAACTGTCAACCCTGAAGGGTGACGTCTCCCCGCTCTAACATGTTCGCACCAATCAAATTCACCTGAAGTACGAGACCCCTCAAAGTTAGCAAATCAGCCTTACCGTAAGTGGATCGTGAAAAAAGCGCAATGCCTTCTCTGGTGCGCCAGACATATATTTGTCTTAATTTGCATGTTCACAAATTCGCCCGGTTAGCTCAATCGGTAGAGCGTGAGACTCTTATTCACAGCTCTGTTAGCAGCGATTGCAATCTCAAGGTTGCGGGTTCGACCCCCGCATCGGGCTCAATTCCCGATGAAATCCCAATCATCCAATTTTTTGCAGTCTTTGAACCACTTCCAAAGCATCACTTCGCTATTATAATGAGGCAATCCGCTCTACAGCCTTTCTTTTTGCTAGGTATCAACCAGGGTAACATAAGGATGCACCCATGTTGTCATCGAATGAGTATATCGTCTTTGTAGGGTCTGTTTGGGCGGCGAAGCGCGAAGTGTACGAGTTTCTACCGATATTTTGCGTCTATATCTCACTTCACAGCCTATACACATGTATTCCTTTACACTCCTGCAGAATCTTACAGTCGCTGGCGCCAGTCGATCTGCACCTAAACGTAGCATACTTACATACCCCTGGGCGGAATACCTACTAGAGGCAATGAATAAGATCAAGCGCCACCCTCTTCACTTCGCTCGTCACTACTCACCTCTGATGGCTATCGTTCGCAATGCTCTACATCATGCCTGTGAACAGCGTTTCTACCTACGTACTTTTGTGTGAAGTTGGATTGAAAGAAACTGAATGAGTGACAGGGTCGAGCGAATTGAGGCTGCTTCGGGCTGATATTATCAACTCTTCAGCAGCACCGGCATCATTGGCTCGAGTGCATTCCGTCGGCTGACTTAGATTGATCGTCTCTTGCTCGCTCTTTTAAGCCCTTGTGGCACGTTGACCGGCAAGGCTGGACAGCCTTCCTCGTGATCAGCGTGCCACATAAGCAAAGCAGCCTGAGCATATGTAATGACGTATGCTCCAATGGATGGTTCCCCTTACGCCCAAGCCGTGAAGGAATTATGCTTCATCATTGATTTCATTACCAACGCACATGCAGAAGACGAGTATCCTTGAGTCGCAGCTAGACCCACGCACAACGTGTCACTTCTAAACGACAATGCCGCCGCTATGCGAGGAGAGATTCCTGTTTCAATGAACACGCTGTCAAGGTCTCGGTTGGCTGCAGGAAGTGTCCATGGGCAAAAGCAAAGGGGGAATTTCCGGCCGTGGTATCCCGGAGACATGGATGCCCACACCGACCAACTCCCATACAAACGGCACCCAGGCCCCCAAGCAAGAGCGGTCGGCAACCCCGGGAGTGTGGGTCGTGACTGTATGGCGGGCAGCACCCGCTTCCTGGGGTTGTGCAGCGCTCGCGCCAATGGTCCTCCCCGCTCCTGACGACGTCGTCAGGTGCTGCGAGCTCACGCAATCGGATACTGAGAAGACCAATGAGGAGAGCGAAAGGAGCCAATATATCGGACAGTGGAGTTCCAGAGGATAGAGGGACGTTGATGCTTCGGACAAGCCGGCAGACAGCACGCCGTCACCATGCTGTATGCGGTCTGTGGAGGGTATCCCAGCGTGTCCACTTGACGACGTCCTCAGTCGACACCCAGTGATTTCCGCAGAGCCGCATGCCAGGTGTCGAATCGAGGGTGGATGGTAGTTCCTTGTGACAGACGACAGAAGCTTAAGAAGGTCGGAAAGTATTCCTCGAACGACGTCGTCATCCTGAAACTGAAACTAAAGCTCGGAGCGGCACCGAAGTCCCCGCAATTATATGAGACGAAGAACAACACCACGAAACGAAACGACAGCGCTTCAAGACATTGATATGAAAGAGTAAGAATCCGACTCACCTGATTGGCACTCAGCCATTTTCCTGCAGCGAGGCTGATGACTGCGCCACACAGTGGAACATGGCCGGCACAACCCCGCGTCGTCCCTGACGGCAGTGCTGCAACACTTGGAAGCAAATTCTGAAGCCCGCCCAGGCCGCCAGCAACTCGACGACTGGATCCAGCAGCCCAGCAGGGACATCCACGATCGTTTGGCCGCATACTATTCACTCCCGGGCGTGCCCCAGACCACCACGAGCCCATACCCACAGTCCATCGGCTCCTCGATGGCCCGCACCCAGCTGCACCTGCCCTCGACCGCCTCTGCCTACGCGCCCTCCCTCCTCTACTCCGAGGCGACGCCCACAGAGTCTTCTGTCAGTACCGGCCTGGCGAGTAGGCTGTCTGGATTCCAGCTGCTAGAGGAGGTCGACGGCGTGCTAGAGTTGCGGCCGAACCTGCGCAGTCCCGTATACGAATGCGCCTTTTGGTTCCTGTCTTGTTCTTATATATCACAAGACAAGGAGGAATGGCGGACTCACTGTGCGTCACACTTCCGGGGAGAAGAGCCACCTAAGTCGGTCCGGTGCCCGTTGTGCGAAGAGTTCAAGACCACGTACGAGAACGGCCTCGACGCGTGGAATGCGCGTATGGAACATGTCGCGTGGCACCACGAGCTGGGACAGACGCTGAAGACGAGTCGCCCGGACTTTCACCTCTTCCAGCATCTCTGGCAGAAGCGGCTGATTGACGATGCCGACTTGAAGGAGCTGAAGGGTGGTAACCACAATCTTACTAGAGCGCCACAACCATTCGTAACCACCAACGGGAGAGGTCGGCCGGGCAGGAGGGAGTCCCAGACACAACGACTGGGGCCGGCGAGGAGGCGCTGAGATACCTAAGTGGACGATAGAATTCTGCTGGTTTGCTCCAGTTGTACCAGTGCGCTATTGCGTACATGGCTCCTCGAGCGGAGGAGAAACCGAGATTCGAAATGACGGCATATGCAGGCGTAGGCCCAACACTCGACGGTGTTAAGACTGCTTGATGGATTGCATATGGATAACCATGTCGGATTCGACTTATTTCCTACGGCTTCGCGCATCTCTTTGGATTTTGGAACCCTTCTCACCTAATTCACGACTTCACGACGCCACGACATCATGACCGCATAGCCGGAGTACGGAAAACTGCTTCGACTCGTTTCTTTCCATTTCTTCTCTGTTGTATTAACTTTTGGCTGTTGGCGTACGGATACCCAGATTGGACAAGGGTTGGATGGGCAGGCATCAGAATGCAAAAAACGCCTTAGGATACAAATCGTAGCTAGTTTAGTTTCAAAAAAGCGGATTCGGGATCTTTCTTTTATATGATTTGGATAGCTTGCTGTCTTCCACTCGACCAACCCAGCTCCCAGCCCCTCGTATATGGCTCAACGCCCAACGCTTCAGCCTTGTCCTGGTTTACGTGTCTGCCTTGCCAGCCCCTCACCATTTCACTACCCGGCACTACCCGTGCGAATCTGGTAAGTGCAACCCTAACGCTATGCTTGATATGCCGTTCGCCCTGTTTTCTCGGACCGCATGGTGAACAGTACCACTCCATTTTGGTGAGGCAAGGAAGGTAATATCGCGTGGCTAGGCAGCAGTGGTTCCACGAATCTCATGCTATTCGCCACTTCTTCAACAAGTTGGCCACGAAATTCAGGAGTAGTACCCATTCTATGCTCTGATTTGCTGGCGAGTATCTTTATTCCTCCTCTGTTGAGCAACCTATCTTACCTAGGTAGACTCTGAAAACGGTTCTTACAATTGTTCGTCTTTCCCATAAAAACCCACACTTCATAAAATTGTTTCCTTCACCGGTCTGCAAATACCCGCCACCGATTTGTGTGCGATGAGAGACGCTTCACCGCCCTCAACTCTATACACCGCTACTCAGGATCCGCCCACGCAATACTCAACCCTAGGTCCTGTACATTTTCTTTTCGCTATCAAAGATGCTTCAACAAGCTTTCACAAGCTTCACTATCGTAGACTTCGTAGTCGCTATCTAACACCCAAACGCAACGATGCCTCGAGACCCCTAGAATAACACACTCAAATCCCCCTCCCCTCCAACAACCCCAAAACTTTCGCCGCACTCCCCACCGAGTTCTGAAACCCCGCCCCCGCATGCCCGTACTCATGCACAACTACTCTCCCCTCCACCTCCTCAACTTCCACCCTCGCGCCCCCAGTCCTTCCCGGCCGCAACCCCACCTGCGTTGCCAACACCTCGATCTCAACACCCGGCACCTGCAACGCAGGCCACAGCTCGCAACACCGCTTTAGTATTCCCTCTGTCGTCCCCGCATCCGCCTCTGCGCTCCAGTTGCCTACCTCTTTCGTCCCACCGAGGACCCACGTGTCCGTGCCCGGGCGCGGGATGATGTAGGTCACGCTGGGCGTGGCTACGTCTTCGCGGGTGTGGATCGCTGGCACAGAGAGGCTGGGACTGAAAACGGGGTTCTCGGATTTCTGGGCTGGTGAGTCGACGCCGGAGATCTTGGCGAGGAGGGTTTGGCCGCGGATGGGATGGACGAGGGCGTCGGGGACAAGGACGCGGGCGCCGAGGCCCGTGCAGTTGATGAAGGCGGATATGGGAGGTGCTTGGGGAAATTGTTGGGATAGGAGGGTTTCTGCGGCGGTGAGAGCCGCGGCGAGGGTGGGGGTTGGGAGAGTGCTGTGGATGAGGGTTGCGCCGAGGGAGGTGGCGTGGTTTAGGAGGTAGGAGATATACTTTGGGGGATTGATGGCGATGGAGGTGTAGCGGATCCCGGCGTGGGTGTTTGGGGGGAGAGAGGTAGCTGGGAGGACGGAGAAGTTGAGAATGTGGGGACCGAACCAAATTTTGGAGGGGGAGGTGGATTCGGGGGTTTCAGTTGCCCTGGAATATGTGAGTAGGCTGTCATGAATGCTGGACGAAGTTGGAATAGATCTTACCAGTAGAAATAGGAGGGGTAAGTCTGGTAAGGAAGAGTTGTTAGTTTGTCATACATAGACACAAGGAGCACCTTCAGATGGACGTTGAAACCCCCACCTCGATGCCCATCTCTTTAGCCTTCTCTGGATCGCTTTGAGCCACCTCTGCCCACTGCTTGTAGCTCGAAATGTCCCATTCACATTCATCCTTTTGGTCCGCGGTTGCATGAGTTCTCCATTGGGCTCCTGCCCATGGCGAGGTATATTCAATTGTCCCTTCTCCTGGGAAGTGCTTTGCAATGATAGTGACCTTATAGCCGGCTTCCAACAGTGATACTGCTGTCTGAAGGCCTATCACGCCCGCACTAGAGAAGCATTAGAAACCGATATTGTCTGTGGCATATGCTTGAAACTTGAGAAACATACCCTATAACTACGATATGAGACATGTTGAGAAATAACTTGAGAAATTTCTATAACTGAGATGAGGAGAGAGGAGGAGTCATCGGCAACCTCGCATATTTATGTATTACGCCTTGCAATACGTAAGCTGAGATACTCGGACATCTACGGTCACTCAGGCCATCACCAAAGGAAGCTCTATACCGAATCGAAGATAGGTAAAAGGGAGTCGCTTTTCTACGGCGAGTAACTGTGCATCCATCACGTAGAGGGCGACTTTCGGCTCAAGTCTGTGGCAAGAAATACGCAGTTCGTGATTCAGACGCTACCGCCAATATCCGGCATTCCCTGATGAAGTATTCAAGGAATATAACGTCCCCCCCTGGGTGACGGAAAACCCCCTGTGCCAGATGAAATTTATTGCTTAGGCATCTTATACTCTCCCTCACAATCCCATCAAGTTATAATTAGTCTATCATTAATCTTTAGACACTTCCCCCTAGGAAACTAGTGTGCAGCTAAAAAATTACGACGTTCTTAATCATGCTGTCAATCATTCCTTTCAGAGCATCCGGAACGTCATTACAAAGGTAGCTTTACACCCCTACTGCACCACAACCATCTACCAAATTTCATATTTCGGAGCATTGAACCGATAGTTCCAGGTCGAAAAAGATACCTCTAAGCTTTACGGCAATAGGCCCTTAGGAGCATACGTTGCGGATTTGTTCGTGCGAAGGGGTCCGCGGTGTATCTTGGCGTGAGGGTTTAGCGCGGTATTAGATACTGTATTGTATTTTACGCTATGCCTAAAATGCGGAATTTTTCTGGAAACATCTTTGGGCAGTCACAGCCGGGCGGGCCATTCGTTGTTGCCATCTGCCTCTCGTACCTCTCCTACTCGTGCCTCCATCACAACCTGATTTCTATAGCCACGCGCGCCGCTTACCGTCGCTTTTTATAGATAAATATCTAGTCTTAACTTCGTGCGATCACTGGCATTGATAAGTATTGTTCAACGCCACGCACTCTGTATCTGCCTCGACTTCTCACCATTTCATGTCTCGCAAGCAAACCTCGTTGCGGTCCACTTTATAGAGATGGGTTGCCCATTGCAGACACAAGGAATTTGCGGAATCCTTCGAACTCGTTTCGGCTGATAGGATCTGCTTGATTCTGGGCGATCCGCGCCTCAACCTCTTCCGTCCGTTTCGCGATCTCGGCGGGCATATACATTCTGGCCAGCGACTTTTTGACATGGGCGCTCAGCTGCTTTAGAAACTCATTCTTGGTTGACTCGAAAGTTGCCTCTGTCCCTTGCAGTATAGCGTTGAATTTTCCGCCGTGCAGTGTTACCCACACGGAGAGCCAGTCCTCTAGTGTTTTGACCAACTCTTCCTTCTCAGCTTGCTTGGAGACCATGAATTTGACAGGATACTTTGCGGAATTATAGAAGACTTTGTGGCGAATGTAACCAAGCTCATTCGCTCTGTCAACCGTGCTTATTCTCTGCTGGAAACTTTTCCAAGAGCACAAAGGCTCGTAGTAACCAAATTGCGCTCCAGTGGGGTCTATGGCCCAAACCTCGCCCTGTTTCAGTACAACTTTATACACATTATGGTACATGGACTGCGGCATGTTGACCTTTAGGCCGTGGGCGGGGCCAAAGCAGATTCGCAATCCGTGTTTGATCACGCTAACGGTGATTTCTTTTATCTCCGAGCAAATATCTGCGTACACCAGGTTAGTATGGGTTGATGTGGGGTGTGGTTCGTATAGTGGGATCTGACCTCGCAGCAGCTCCTTGGTAAAACTGTAGAGAAACACCATAGCCTCCATGCATGCTGTGTACACTAAAGCAGACTTGAGTATGGCTTGATCTTTGAACAAGTGAGTAGGAAAGGGCGTCATCTGCTGAGTACACAGTGGGTTGGGTAGAGGTCCGTTCAGATAGACTGTCATGCCTTCCACATGTGCTGATTTGATTTCGAGTGTTGTTGTCTGCACTCTGATCTTGTAGACGATATCCTGAAGTAATGATGCCGCTCTGCTCAACGATTTTCGGGCTTGCAGTTTCCGGCATTCTGTTCTGTGCCCAGGCCAATCTGCCTTTTGACACGCGAAGCTACAGTAGAACGTGGACACCGAGGGTTTGTCGTCATAATCTGGTGCTCCTAAACATCCGGTGCACCTTTTCGCAGTTGGGCAACGGCAATGAATGCAGGCTTGCAGTTCTGGATTCGTTCCTTCATTCAAATTGGACATTGTTCGACGGGCAGTACGAAGAGCGCTATGCCGCTGATTAGAAACAAAAGTGCGCGTTGTAATTTGGGTAGTGGGGATAGCGCACGAAAACCGTTGGGATGTTGCCTCCGTGGCGGTTTGATAGATGGCACAAGAAAAGTCGTGAGAAATTGTGGGTGGACAGAAAGGAAATATGCCATTTAGTGGCGCGGGAACACTTGGCGCTTGCAGAGGGTGTCCTTAGAATTCTAATCTTGTTGTCTATCACACGTTGGCTTTGAATTGTCGATGAGCGAGAGAGGGGTAATTCGAAGGTTGTGGTTACACAGCAGAGCAGATGCTTTTATTGCCCGACACCAAATATTGCCAACTAATCGCGATAATCTGCGTTCGCCAAAAAAAGTGCGACCACATCGGCCACAGGCTTTGCAGCCACAGATCAGCTTTCTCTTCTGACCGGCAGGTTGTTGGTCTTCGTCCGAGGTGCTCTCCTTCCCAGGCAGCCTCGGGGCAGGCCCCTAGGAAGGCCCCTTCATCACGTGCCCGTTAGTGATGTTTATGAACATTTCACAAAATAATTCCGCAGTCTCTAACTGGCTACGTCTTCTTTCCGTGTGTGTCACCCAGGTTGTAAGAAAGGTGCGGTGTCCTCCAGAGGTCCTCCCTAGAGAGCACTTCTACGGAACGCTTATGGGTAACAGCCCTAGGTAACTATCATTACTCACCGCTGTAGGTTACGGCCCCGTGATGCAGGTAGCTAACGTTACGTTATCGGCTCTTACAACGCTATTGCATTGCGCGGCATACTACTCGGATGCTCGTAGACCACAGCTATCCCTATTTTCACTAAGGAGTGTTCGCCTTCAGTCTTATAAAGTGCTGAAAGATGTTTATTGTGAACGGCATATCAGTGCAGTGGAAGGATAAGATGTAGCCAATTAGAGCCTGCGTTGTTCATAAAAATCGCTAGCGCGCACGTGACGAAGGGACTTTCTGAGGGCCTGCCCCGAGGCTGCCCGACAGAACTCTGGGAAATCTTAATATGTGCACCGAGACTAAGTTGTTTAAAGTCAAAGTACCCCTCATATTTTCCGGCACGGTGGTTTTCCGCGACCTACCTCCTAGGGAGGGACGTTGATCCATGACGATTTAAAACCGATGCAATCTCTAGAAGGTGCCATTGGTATACTTGTTGGCAAAGGCGTTGAATTTTGTCAGAGCCCACCATGGAATAATAAAGGTGTGAAGGGAAGCCTACTCCATTACAAGAAAGAGGGTAGAGGAGATCAAATCGCTGGGCGGGAGAACAAGGTGGAGGAACTTAGTCATGTCTTGGCGCATTTTTTGACTCGTTGAGTATGCAGCCAACCGTATCTATCGTATTCACAGCCTCAATATCAACATCTGACGAAGCTCTCGGAGTTGCACTAGACCATGTTTGCCTAGAAGAATGATATTATACAATCCATCGCGCATAAACCGAGGGGATGTCCAGCTCGTCATCGAACCATTCCAACCAAGGGCGGGCCGCAGCCTCCTCCAGCAGGCAACCTACTATCGAGGACGACATCAGCGATAATGAAGAAACCCTGCTTTCGTCTGATCCACTGGAGCATTCTCTACCGGAGAGGTACATCTTGTTATAGATTTACATTGTTGCCGAACTGATGTTGTTTGATTTAGAATCTCCTTCAAGCGCAAACAGAAAGCAACCGCGAGCTCTCCCTTCTCCATCCCGCGATTCCTCTCCTCTCCACTCTCAGGCAGTAGTCGGCAAAATTCCCCATTACCTAGGACTCCGGTATCACGTCTAAGAGACCTTGATACAGCCAATGAGTCCACCGAGCGCATATTGAACTACCTAGATGGGCCCGGGGATGCTGGCGGGCAGGTCCAGGATACGAAAGATGCCACTGGATTAGACTGGTATGTCGAGGGCCCTGGTCGCCGTGTTGGGTACGACGATCTCACAGCCATCGACTGGATATTCGAGTACGCTAAGGAACGACAACGACTGCGCTTCCTATATTCGAACTCCCCCGGTATACTCGGGTACATCCGTCAGTTAGCAGACGCTAGTCAGATATGGCTTATACTCATAGCCGCTGGTATAGCAAGTGGGGCTATAGCTGCTTTCATCGATGTGGCTAGTGATTGGTTAGGTGACCTGAAGACAGGCTATTGCAGTAATGTCAACGGAGATGGGAAGTTCTATCTGAACAAAGGGTTCTGCTGTTGGGGATATAATGGTGAGTACGAAGGGCAAATTCTGCAATAATTGCTAATAGTTCTTTAGAACTCTCACAATGTCAAGACTGGCATAGTTGGAGTAGCGCTCTTGGTGTACACTCAGCTGGTGGAGGTTGGATCGTCGAGTACATATTCTTCGTTATTTTCTCGGTGCGTCTGCTTATCCAACCCCATCTCTAACAGTTCCTAACTGTGAAAAAGGTTCTTTTCGCTGTTTGCGCCAGTGTACTGGTCTTGAATTTTGCTGTCTACTCTAAGCATAGCGGTATACCCGAAATAAAGACGGTTCTAGGAGGCTTCGTCATTAGGCGTTTTTTGGGAACTTGGACTTTGATTGTCAAGTCTCTTGGTTTGGTGAGCAGTCCCGCCGCTTGTGTGAGCATCCTATTGACGAATGGTTGTAGTGTCTAGCTGTCGCATCTGGTCTTTGGTTGGGCAAAGAGGGTCCCCTCGTACATGTTGCCTGCTGCTGCGCCAATCTTTTTATGAAATTATTCAGTAACGTTAACAGTAATGAAGGTAAAAAGTTTACACTCCTTTTCTTGCTCTCGACTAACGATTTATCCAGCACGAAAGCGAGAAATCTTGTCCGCCGCAGCAGCGGCAGGTATATCCGTGGCGTTTGGTTCTCCTATTGGTGGTGTTTTATTCAGTCTCGAGGTATGCAGATTGCTTTTAATTTTCATCTTGAGTATACTAACATGATATAGCAATTGTCGTATTACTTCCCGGATAAGACTATGTGGCAAAGCTTCGTTTGCGCTATGGTGGCGGCCGTCACCCTTCAAGCCTTCAATCCTTTCAGATCTGGCAAGCTAGTCTTGTACCAAGTCACGTACCACTCCGGATGGCACGGATTTGAGATGGTTCCTTTTGCCATCCTGGGCATCCTTGGAGGACTGTATGGAGGCTTGTTCATCAAGCTCAACATGCGAATTGCTGAATGGCGAAAAACGAATCCAATATTCAAAGGACCTATCGTGGAAGTGGCAGTTGTCACACTGATCACAGCACTCATAAACTTCCCCATCAAGTTTATGCGCGCACAAGCTTCTGAGCTGGTCTATTTCCTCTTCGCGGAGTGCGTAGATCTTACAGATGACACATTAGGTCTTTGCAAGAGCGGAAAAGCAAATACCGGAGTCGTCGCGCTCCTTCTCATCTCTGCCCTGCTCGGTTTCGTACTAGCAAGCATTACATTCGGGCTCCAAATACCTGCTGGCATCATTCTCCCATCAATGGCCATCGGAGCTCTTTATGGACGAGCTATAGGTCTCATTGTAGAGGTCTGGCAAGCAAATCACCCCAACTTTATCGCATTCGCATCATGTGAACCTGACGTTCCTTGCGTTACGGCCGGCACTTACGCTATTATCGGTGCTGCGTCCGCCCTTGGAGGTGCAACTCGTATGACTGTGTCTATTGTCGTCATTATGTTCGAGCTCACGGGCGCTCTCACTTACGTCCTCCCCATCATGATTGCAGTCATGATCAGCAAATGGGTCGGCGACGCGATATCTCCAAGAGGGATTTACGAGTCATGGATCCACCTCAATGGCTATCCTTTCCTGGACAATCGGGATGACAACAGCTCGTCAATACCCGATGTTCCTGCATCTCAGGTCATGACACGCATCGAGGATTTGATGGTTATCACGGCCACTGGCCACACTATCCAGAGTCTGCGAAACCTATTGAGCGCTCACGCCTTCCGCGGCTTCCCTGTCATCGACAACCCTCGCGATGCCATTCTCCTGGGATATATCTCCCGTACCGAGCTTTCATTCGCACTATCAACCGCTTTATCTAATAGTCGAAACCTCACGTCCGACACTGAAGCGTATTTCTCCCACCAACCGCTTTCAGACCCTACGACAAGCCTCGATCTCAGACCGTGGATGGACCATACACCTATCACTCTCAATGCGAAGGCGAGCTTCCAACTTACGGTCAGCATGTTTCAGAAGCTGGGACTCCGCTACGTTCTCTTTGTGGATCGGGGCACGCTGAAAGGCCTATTGACTAAGAAGGATGTGTGGTTCATCCTGAACGGGGCGGACGAGAAAGGCGAAACGGGGGCTGGCCAGGGCGTGTTGAGGCAAGAAGGCGGCGCAGAAGAGAGAGGGCTATTGGGGGATGAGGCGGATGGAGAGGGGAGTGATGGTGGCCGAGAAGGACTAGGCTAAGCCAGTGACTTCCAAATATATTGTTGATATTCTCTTATCAACTGTGCCAAACTTGACGCTACCAAGCTACTTCGTAGTGTTTTTTCGCGTAAAGCCTCACGAAGCTACAGTACACAGGTTCTTATGTTCTACAGTGCATGGACAAAAGTCTGTGCACTCCCGCGCACCACTGTCTGAGGCCCTTTGATGCACTATGAAACACTAAAATGAGATGTAAAGGTCCAGACAACGCAAATTAGCGTGGCGCCAAACGCTTGGACATGTCATGTTAAAATCTTAGAACCAACGGCGAAAGAGAGTCCCCAAACCCATGTTCTGATACTGTATCCTTAATGTTCATCCGCGCACATATCACCTGAAAAATACATCAAAGCCATGAAGATCATTTGTCTTGATTGTATGTTATGTACCTATTGGCATTTTCCACGAACGCAAACGCCAAACCCGCCAATGCTCAGGACCTCGTCCTAAAAGCAACCTTCCAACGCAAAGTGGAGATGAGCTCATAGCAGAGGCACCGACGTGCCCAGAGGAGCCTCCGTCTAGGCCAAGAGGCAAAGCAAACCACACGAACTCGCTCGAAAACCCGAAAACGGCAATCGCAGCAGGGGAAATAGAACACAGTGCATGGAACTACACACTTTCCCCTAATCCCTCACTCTCGCTGAACGCAGACGCACTATACGCGTCTTTCCGCAAACCCATCCAATCACCCCTTCAATTCCACCGACTCTCTTCCCTTTCTCGCTCCATCTTATCCAGCCGCCTCGCCCTCGCCTCATCATTCTCCTCGTCTTCGTACTTATAGCTCATCCGCCGCGCCTCCCGCCCCTTCTTCCCCTTCCCGCCGACTCGATCTTCTAGTTTCGAGCTGACGCCAGTGTCGCTCTCGCGCCGCCGCTTCCAACGCTGCGAGCTCGGGCCCGTGGGCGGCGTGAATGGCTTATCGTCCTCATCGTCAACGGCGTCTCTGGAGCGCTTCTTCTCCGCGGACGAGAACGAGGAATTTGGGTTCTGCAGCGAGGCACGGCGCTGCGCTTCTTTTAGCATGCGCTCGCGGTTGCGGGCCTCACGTTCAAGAGTGTGCGGGTCGACTGCCGGAGTGGTGGGAGTAGTGGGCGTGATGGGTGTTGAAGGGACGGAGGATGAGGGACGGCGACGGGAGCCACGGTCGCGGTCCCGGTCGTGGGAGCGTTCGGCAGCGGGGCCTTTGGGGGGTTGGAAGACCGCTTGAGAAGATTTGGGCTGCGTAGGCGGCGGCATGTTTGTTGCGATGGGCGCGACAGTAGACGAGTTGCGGGCTTTGGAGCGGCCTTGAATCTTGAACTCTGTTTCCGCCACGGGGGCTTTTGAGGGCCCGGTGGGAGCGGTAATAGGAGGGGAATGGCCTCTTGACTGTGAGTGGCCGTGTGTGTATTCACGATCCCGTTCGCGGTCTTTGTGGCTTGGTCTTGACGAGCGATGGGGACGTTCATCGTCTGAGGCGTATCGGGGGGATCTGGAGCGGTCCCGTCGTGAGTGTTTGCGGTCTCGTTCTCGGTCCCTACGTCTATCCTTTCCCCCTCGGTCCCTATCTCTGTCGTGTTCCGTCTCACGGTCCCTATCTCTATCTCGCTCTCGTTCGCGGTCTCGTTCTCGGTCCCTGTACTTCTCACTGCGGCCTTTACGTCGGCTGCTGGATTCGCTTGGCAGGTCGTTGCCATTCTCATCCCCTTCGAGCGGTTCGTCAACCACGGGACTCCTTGAACGGGATCTGTGTCTGTGGCGTCGATGTTCGCGACTACGGTCTCGGTGAGAGCGTAATGAACGGTGCTTTTCTCGGTCACGCCGGCTGCGGTACCGCGACTCGACTGAAGTGCCTCGAGATGGTTCTTCCTTGCTCTTATCCTTTGATTCTTCTAGATAAGATTCTTCGGGGAAGTTTTCACGTTCATCGTCGTTGTACTTCCGTGAAGAGCGACGACGGTCGTCGTACTCCTGATGCTTCTCACGTGACTTAGTCTCGCTGGTGGGAGTAGGGGAGCGGTCCCGATATCGTCGATGCTCTCTCGATCGGGAGTGAGATCTGGATTTTGACTTTGCTCTCACGGGCGACTTTGATCGCGATTTGGAGCGGACTCGGAGAGAGTCGTCTCGTACAGGTGTTTTGCTGTTACTCGAGTTAGTCGGATGGTAAACTTCAGAGGCTGGCCTATATTACCTCCTAGGTCGGGTCTGTGATCCCGTCGCAGATACATCGGGGGTTACGTGTGCAGCTCCTGATGCCTGAGGTCCAGAGAATCGTCCACGGCTTGCAAATCCCGTGTTGGGGCGCCCTTCACGCATGGCCTTCGGACCAGTAGGGGCTCCTTCAACACCCAGGCCTCGTGGTTCTCCAGGAGTCAAGACCGTCACATCTCCGCTATGCGGTAGAACGGCTGTATTACTACCACCAAAAGCACCCGTAGACATGAACCCCCCACCTTGAACACCTCGTCCACCAAAACCGCCACGAAAGTCATGTCCTGCGCCGCGTCCAAATCCACCCCGTGCACCCGCACGGCCTCTGTGCGAGTAGCCGTTCATTATACCCACTTGGTGGGCCTGCCCGGGATAAACTTGACCCATCATATCATGTGACATGCCCATTTCCATCCCCATGTTCATGTTCATGTTTTGATGGTCAAACGGTTGAGAGTACGGTTCCGACGTATCGACAGTGGCAATAGGTTGGAATTGCTGGGTAGGTGTATCCATATTGGCATTCATGGAGGTATCTTCGGCGAATCCTTCTGCTGGCCTAGTCAATGCGCTCGTTTCTAAGGTTTCGTTGTTTTCATGTTCTGAACCTGATGCATTGATACTGTTAGCGTTCTGTTCACCTTCTGCCTTTATATCACTATTTCCAGTAGACACGTCAGGCCCAAGATTCTCCGCTGAATCAGATGGCTTCTCTGGTCCGCCATCTACCCCTTCTGCTTCAGTATCTGGAGGAACTTGTGATTGCTCCACGGTCATTCGAATTGATGAATCCTGTAGCCCCGAGGAAGTCTGCCTGTCGGTGGTGTCGTCGCTCTTTTGCTCGGAGTGATTCTGGTAGGTGGGAACCTGGTTCTGACCGTAGGTCTGACCATGATTTTGAGTGGCAAGATTGCCTTGATGACCTCGACCAAAACCGCCCCTCTGTGGATACGCCCCCTGGCCTTGGAAACGATTTTGGTTCTGGAAATTATTCTTGGGGAACTGTTGCTGGTGCATCTGATGTGGGAAATTTCCCTGCGATGATTGATTATATCCACCACCGGGATAATATCCTGCATTCGCGCCACCAAAGTGACCGCCACTCATCTGTTGCCCGTTCCATCCCGCGCCATAACCACCGCCATAGTTCATTCCCATATTCATGCCTGCCATTCCATTCATGCCCATGCCTTGTCCTCCGAAACCTCCAAACATTCCTTGCGACATGGGCCCCATGTTCATGCCTGGCATGCCTGAAAAGACAGTTAGCTTCAATTCACTTAGTGATAGGTGCGAGAAGTGCTTACTCATCATTGACGAATAATTATTCCAGTCGCCGCTGTTCATGCCGTTTGGCATTTGCATCATGGGGTTAAATCCGGTGGTGCCGCTCCAGTCCATGCCGTTGTTGAAGTTTCCAAATGCACCAGGGTACATCTGTCCTTGGCCTCCGTTCATATTGTTCCACATTGTGGATGAGTCTTGTCCCTCGGCATTTTCACCGCTCTGGACACCAGTCTGAGCGTCTTGTGGTTGGCTCTCAGGAGCAGCTGAGGTACGCCCTACGCTCTTGTTTGAGGTTGGAGCTTGTGCCGTACTGCCCCGTCGGGCATCGAGAGATTGAGGCAGCGAGCTTGCCTAGGGACCATGAGTAGCTGTTCTCAAACTAAATGCCTGAAGATACTTACCTCAACGAGTTGCTGCTCCGGTGCCTGATTGTCATCAACCGGAGCTTCTGACCCTGCGATTCCTACCTCTGTCGTCGAAGCTCCGTCCACATTGGGGTTATCCTGCTGGCTTGAGGAGGCTTCAACGCTCTGAAAGGGCTGATCTGAGGTATCGAGCGCTTGCTCACTCGACGAGGTCGTCGCCGAGGGCGCCGGAGCAGTAGCGGCTGCAGGCTTTGGCGTGTTTGCTGCGCGTTCCTTCTCGCGCTTCTTCTCTTCCTTCTTTATGAATGCGGAGACTGTCAGGCGGAGGCCTTTGCTCGGTTGGCAAGCATCGGCGGAGAGGGGGCTGTGGGCGCAGACAGGACATGATTCAGGCAGAGCGCTTTGGCCTGGAATAATTAGCAATGGAAGCAAGCAAGATACGCTGAAGTGAGAACTTACAAGAACCACAGATATTCTGATCGCAGCATGGGAGACGGAACGCGTTGACTACGAGCTTGCTGTCTATAGCGCAACGTAGCTTCACGGGTATATCGCCTTGCGCGAAAGAGCTGCGAGGAACGCGTTAGACAGAATTAGGACGAGGCAATGGCAGGATAACCTACCTGGCGTTATCCATAGCCGCCATGGTAGCAAGAGTGACAGCTACTTGTCGGAGGCGGGTGGTGAGGGATGAGCCTCCTGTCTTTGACAGAGCGCAAGAGAGCCGAGCCGAACGTCGCAGGCTCACGACATAACTAAGGGAGCTGGTAAGAGAGGCGAGGACACAACGAAGGCCGAGGAGGTGAGGTTGCGGATGTCGAAGGAGGCGTGTTGTTGGGAGTCGGCGGCGTGAAATTCTGTCAAGCTGGAGGAGTGAACGAAAGGCTGCCGAGATGGCCCGAGCGCCCGGCACGTGAGCCCCTTCCCTCGCCTCAGGGTTCGCCGTCAAACTTCCCCAATCACTTCGACGAACTGTAAATCGGAATCAATTGTAAGAAGATTGTTCTTGTCGGGCAAGAGGTACAGCTGCTCTAACTCAAGACTAATCTCACTGAGACGCGCGGTCTATTTTAGGTCTAGTCTCACGGACGTCATCATGGAGGCTGCGTAGTTCTCACGCTTCTATCAACATCCATCTGTCCTTTGCTCTGCTGCATTTTCATCATTTCCCTACTTACATGTGCATCAGCGCTCTCTCTGGCCCTTAGAAGGAGAAACATGATCCTGACTCAGATTTCCTACCTTGATTGCTTGGTTTTTCTTGTTTTCCTAGCTCCGCAATTGCTCATCCACGTCGGACTCTGGCGAACAGCGCGATGGGTTGTGGGAGCGCTTCCTTTTCTAAGTAATCAAGAAACCTCTCCTGTGCGAGGAACACTCGAGCTAACAGTCATTGAAGCCATTGTTCTACCCTTCCGGTTCGCCAAGGAAAGGTTCTTCACGTCGTTCCAAAACCGAAGTCCGTTCGTCCAACAGGCTACGCTGTTCCAAGATCTCGTTGTCAGATGCGTACGATATGCTTTTGCATCTATGCCAGCATATCTTGGTAGAGTCTTCTTCTCGAAGGCCGTTGCTCTCCCGTTTCTTCGCTTCAGAATGCTCCGACATGGCTATCTTCAATCACCAATCACCTGGCGTGAGGTCAACAAAGTGTGTACAATGCGCAACTATTTAAAATTGAACTCTGCTGATATCTTTAGGATGGGTTCCGGGGTGTGTGGCTTACGTACGACCAGTCTAGGCAGCCTGACATTGTCGTTTACTACTGTCATGGTGTGTATTTTCTTGTACTGCAAAAAGCAGCGCTAATTGCCTTCAGGAGGAGGATTCTCGATGGGTTCCAGTTATTTTTACATGGAGTTCCTACTCGCGTTGGTAACACTTATGAAAGATTCTGGCTATCAAAACCCCGCTCTTTTCACTTTAGAGTATAGTCTTGTTCCAGACGCCGTATATCCCACTCAGGTTCAGCAGGCGTTTGCTGGCTTCGAATACGTCATCTCAATCGCAAAAGACCCATCGCGAATTTGCGTTGGGGGAGACTCCGCTGGAGCAACGGTCGTACTGAGTCTCTTGCTGTACATGGCAGACCATCCTTCATATCGTTCCCGTCTTCCTGGTTTCGCCATGATGATCTCACCATGGGTAACTCTCGTCTCAGAGAACAATCGCAATACCGCCAGTGATTATTTGAACAAGGAGAGCCTTGATATTTACGGCCGCCAGTACTGTGGATCCAAGGTGCTTGTTGACGATCCAATGGTATCCCCTGGAAACTGCAAAGACTTGAACAGGTGGGCAAGAGCAACCCCAACCAACGGATGGGCATTTCTCTTTGGCTCCGAAGAGGTCCTTGCGCCCGAGACACGCGCTCTTATCTCTCTGCTTAAGAAGTCGGGCGCAGAAGTTCACGTTGATGAAGAGAAGGGTGGAATTCACGCATGGCCTGTGGCAGCCTTGTATCTAGGCGAATCGAAGGATGAACGATTGAAAGGACTACGGGATATGGCAGACTTGCTACGCCGCAAAGTCAAGTAAAGAAACAGCGACCGCCTGTGATAGTCCAGGTGACACATTCGCCAATCACTCTGCCCTCCCACTAGGAGCTTTGTCCGTCAAGAAGTAGGAACCCTCCGATAGCTAGCCTCGACCAGCCTTTCAGTACGACCGTCTAGCCATCTATCCATCGGATTTTTCCCTTTGGAAGTCTCAACTTTCTCGTGTTCCAGTGCGATCTTTTCCGCAAGTTCTCCGAACCCGAGATCCTTCGCCGCGGTCAGTATGCCGCTGGTATCTCTGACGCTGTGTTCGCTCGATCCATGTGCGAGTTGGCTCATAAGGGCGGTGAGATTGGCCGTCGTTATTTGAGCATCAGGTGTGTTGGAAGCGGATGGTCTGGCCTTCAAGAGGCCCTTAGGCTGCTGGAAACTCGCTGGCGGCTCACGCTGGGTCCGCAATGAGGTAGCACAGGAGGCGACATCACTGGATACCTGGTCAGCTCGACGTCGATAAAGATCATTCGTTCTACAAAGCATAGTGAACACTTACGAGGAGGGTCGGGTGACATCTTGGGTCGACGAATTCATTGCAACAGGAAGCGACGACTGTAGACCGTGTTCGTTGGTTGGCAAAGGCAGACTGAGAGGGCTGCTTGGGCTTTGACTTGGTTCAGGTAACTTCTAAAGAAAGAAGGAATGGATGACACGTTCAACCAGAAAGAGTGCAGAAGAAGGTCCTTCATATAGTGGGATTGGCAGCGCTTGATTGCCCGAAATCATCACTCAGCTTGGCAGTAAATGAGAGGCGTAAAGGCAACTCGACCTGCGACGCTATCCGGAGAGACTTCTGCAATAATGAGAACGCAAGTGACTATTTTCATAGTGGTTCTGCGGGCTTGAACTGCAATAAGAGCCGCTCCTCGTTACAATTGCACTTCCCACAAGTCATTTAGAAGGCCGAGCGGTCCAATGCGGTCCCGCCGTGTCCAATGGACGCCCACGCTCCGCTGCCAGGAACATACCCATGTACTGATCCGATGGTGCCGTGGATACAGCGAAGCGCAAAAGTTGTGTTCCATCTACGCCGTTGCAGTCAGGAAGCGCAAAATACCCTGGCCGCCGATGTATTTGCACGGGGATGGTACGGCGTCCCCAAGCGCCCCAGGCGCACGAACTGCAAGTTAACCAGAGGCAAATGATTTTTGCGCATCGATCTGCCGCCCCGCAGCTTACACGAAGTGCAAAAAGCAGAACTTCTGGTATTTTTGCAGCTTAGATGGGTGTGGCGTTGCACCAACGAACGAACTGCAATTTTACCCCAGTCATCTCATTATTGCGCATCGATTGGACCTGGTATCTACCCAATAGAATTCTAGATTTTCTAGTGCTATTCAGAAGGCATTTAGAAACTTCATGACGCCGGCGCAGGTGAGCTAGGGATCTACCCACTATTCTAGATTTTCAAGTGCTATCTAAAAGGCATCTAGAAACTTCACGACGCCGACGCAGGTGAGCTATGCCGTAAGACAAATTACCATCATTTATTTGCTAGGCTAGGAAGCGCAGAAATCTCTTGCCTTCTACGTTCTTGCACCTGCTCTCGAATGGAGACGTCGAGCTTGGGCTAGCGAACTGCAATTCTGGCGGAGGCAACACATTATTGCACCCCATTGCTTATGGTGGCTGAGACCTGCCCACGGCTGTGCCTGAGAGCTGCGCAGTCTGGCTGACACACTCTGTAATCAGAATTTCTTTGCCACACCTACGCCCAGTATCCGCGCCAGCCTCGACCCGTCACATAAAGTTGCAGCTCCAACAGCCTTTGCGACAGGTCAGTTGATACACCCGCTCGTCGACCATCGCAGGTTTCATCGCTGCTTTCGCCATGACGCACAATTGGGACGATGTTTGGGAAGACATTCGACACTATTATGTCGTTAAGCGCAAGCCGCTCAAAGAAGTTATGGCTTTGATGGAAAAGGAGCACGGTTTTAAGGCCAGGTAAGTGAAGGTGCTGCTTTTGATGAAACAGCAGTGCTAAGAACGTAACTGATGAAGTGAACGGTCGTACCGCACGAAAATGAAAGAGTTTAATTTCAAGAAAAGGAAGTCCTCCCATATAATGTCGAGAGTGCCATCAGACTCTGCATCCCACCGAGAGGCCTCCCGTGCTTCAATAGCTCTGATGTCGTGAGTGTCCTCATCTACTTCTTCCACTAGTATTATACGCCAGGTTAGACACCTCGTGTATATTCCACGAGATAACACATCACATCAGTATCCCACAAAGTGCACCTTACCCTTTGATTTCATCAATGCATCCTCAAATCGAGCATCAGCAAGTCCCCAGTCCTACCACTACCAATGGTGATATCGAGAGATTGGACGAAGAGGCCATGGCTGCTATCGTCGAGAACAATGTCGCCTTCGTTCAGCGCATCCTTGATTCAGTTCCCGACCCAGACTCGACGCTTCCCGGGCTGATCCTGTCGTCAGAAGGATCCAACACAATGCCGTACCTCTATAGAGCCGTCACCACTGAGCGCTCATCTATCGAAATGGTCCAGCTTTTGATTGACAATGAAGCAGACCTGGAATATGCGGAACCGAGAACCCGTTATACTCCTCTCTTACATTCGGTTATCAACGGGAGCCCCTTGTATGTGGAAGCTTTGCTCGCCGCCGGCGCCAAAGCCAATGCTCGGACGGCGTGGGGAGACTCGTCCCTCCATCTTGCCATACGACCATCACGATATCACTCAAGTCTTTCGATTGTTCGGATGCTTTTGAACCACGGAGCAGACGTCGACTCCATTGCGTGGACTCAAATCATGGCCGTGCGCAAGCAGCAGTGGTCCAAGCACCGGAAATTTGCGAACGCAGTCCTTGAAATGTTTCTGAAAAAGGACTCTTTGTCAGTTGACCCGGATACAGACAATGAATTGTTCAGGGAATATCTCGATTCGTGGGACTCTACTGCCAACTGGTTCAGGGATATCGACGAGGAAGAGAAAAGCTGTTTGGATCTGTTCTTGTCAAGAGGGGTTGACGTGAACGTTTCTTCCAAACTATCAAGTTGCTCTATCAGCAAGTCTTTCGGCCATGACCTTTTATTCCACTGCCCTGGATCAGGACTAGCAGAGCTGCTTGTACGAAACAGCTTTTCCCGAAAAACTGGTTGCTCCGGTCGCCTTCTTCACGCTCTGCTCGAACCTTGTCCCAGCCAAGTGGTAGCGATTTCGGACCCAGCTCCTGCAAGCCTGATACGAAAGATTCTTGGTCGACCAGTCGTGACCACTCCTTTAGGTTCAGCCAACGAAGAATACGACGAATACACGCCCCTTACTCGACTTCTTCGTGGCGAGTCGAACCTCGAGGTAATCTCGTGTTTGGATGCACTACTCGAGAAAGCAGACCCAAGTTTGCAGGATGGACACGGCAGAATTCCAATCTTCGAGGCTATAAGAAACTTCCAGAATCCATTGCAACTCCAGATAGCTGAAAAGCTCTTCCTAAGCGCTATGTCCATCACTAAGATATGTGGTTTAGGTTGGCAGCTTGATGGTTATATCGATATCCATGGTCCATGGAGAGATTTTACAGGCGACCATTTCAAAAATTATTTCATACGACGGCTGCCAGCAGACGTTCAGCCTGGCATCTGGCGGGCCATCGTCAGCATCTTGACAGAGAAGGCGGTCCAGATATTGACGAATCCTTCCATGCTCAAAAGCAGGAGTTTCCGATCTGAGGTCCTTGATATCATAAAGGCTAGACAGCGATTCGATCTTCCGCCAATCGAACCACCTCAGGCCTTCATTCAGGTGCTGCTCGAACAGTCGCTGGAAGTTCCAGCCCCAACCTTGCAACCCCCCACTTCCGAAGTACCTCCAGTTTCACGTCCTCCAAGCATGGCTATGTCGCGCAGTCTTCCTCGACCGCCTGAGATTTTCATTCTTCACCCAGACTCGCAAAGACAATCCGCACCATCACCACGTTCATCACCACGTCTCATGCCGCAACAGCAGGCTCTGTCGTTGTTTACTTCGTACCTCGCCTTATAATTACCATCGAGTCTATGAAAAGCACAGTTTAGACACCTACCATGAAGCTCGACACGAGCCATCTAATAAAGTCAACTCGCGTAGTGATTTTGGCCAAGTTGACAGGATTAACGCCTCCTCGTGACGATGCAACCGGGAGAAGAAGTCATGTGTTCGAATTCCGTCCGAGCTTAATCGAGAGAGAAGCGGCCGCAGCGGAGCTAGAGGACTCTTTGTTGTAGGGAAACTGTTGGTGGATACTGTAGGGGGACACATGTAGAACGTGAAGCGACAGGCCATCCCTGAAACTTACACCGTCCCCCTACCACTGCAGGATGTCTGTCCAGCCATGCCATCTTCACAACCGCCGTCCCCGTCCCGGCGCGCGTTCCAATGAGATGGTACCTTTGTAGCAGTGCGACGCTAGTAATGTTCCGATACGCCCGGCAGTCTGGACGTCCCGCTTCCCGAACAGGACTCATGCACCATGCATCCAGACGCGGACGGGAAGACGTCAGCGGTAGCGGCGGCGGCAGCTAGGCCTGGCGCCGCCGTCGTGCAGCACGCGAGGCGATTCGTGGGCTGCAAGGCTGACGCGATGTTGCACACCTGCGCCCGTTTCGCAAGAACGGCTCATCGGTGAGGCGGCCGGGAGCTGCCGCTGCCCCCCGTCGAATCATGGCTTGGGCCACTCGAGCCTTCATGCCCTTCGGCTTGCGGGTCAGGTCCCCTGCTTCCCCGTCCAATGGGGTCCCCTTCCACCATCCCCGTATATCTCATCTTGAGCAGCACGGCACGAGGCGAAATCCCAACAGCGCTGCTCGCATCCGCTGCTGCCCATCAGCTTCCTGTCGCTCAGCGCATAAGGAGACATTCGGTCCCCATCAGACTGCATACATCACACCATTCTGGCCGTTCGCCGCAAAGCCGTCGTTTGCAGAGTGCGCTTCTCGACGTCTGCCTTGACCCATATGGTCATGTGACCAGAACTTCTCCCGCTCACACCGAAGCACCTCCAAGCCAGCCGCCTTGCTCGTAATGTTGTATGACTGGGTCAGGTACCGACCTGCCATCGAAGAGTTGTATGTCACCCAGAACAAGCCTCTCGACAGTGTAATAAAGTATATGAAAGACGTCCACGGCTTCGAAGCAAGGTGAGTTGTATCACAATCATCCACTTCTGCAGCGCGAGCGCCATCTAGGCTGTCTCAAAGCAGATTTTGTCGCTGACTAACACGCATCATAGCCCTCGAGCGTACCACATGAAATTCAAAGAATGGAATGCTCAGAAAAGGAATCGCATATCGAAGAGGGCATGCTCGATGCCGCATAAGCCAAACGCGTCGAGACGCAGTAGCAGGACTGCAAGGGCGTCCATGTAAGCTCCTTTCGAGTTACTTTCTCAGCCCTTCTTCCTGGTATCGTTCAGATTTGTCATAGTGCTGCGTCTGAGCGCTTTGAAGCTAGTCTCACGATATCCAGGCAACCTGAAGAGATCTTTGACAACGTCAATGTTGCTGTCTCTACCACATCCATCCCCTCCACCTTTCCAACTCCCATGGAACACATGCAAGTAGATGCCACCCTCCAGAGGCTAGATATCGCAGTACGCCATGCACATGTCACAGACACACAGCATCTACTCGAGTCGGCAGGTGGGGGTGGTTACATCAACATTATCAACGACTCGGGGAGGACCCTACTCTATACTGCGGCTGGAGTCGACTGTGCGCACATGGTGAAGCTACTACTCGATCATGGGGCCGACAGTCGTACCTCGTTCGACGGAGAGAGTCCCCTACAGCATGCCGTGCGTCTCGGAATCATCGACAACGTCAACGTCTTTCTTCAACATGGTGCTGGACGCCGAGACGGTTTGACGGCTATGCAGACTGCACAGACTGCTTTGAATTTCCGAGACGACGTACAGGCGTCTTTGAAAATTGCAGTGTATAAGTCGCGAGCGCCAGAGATCGTCCAGCGCCTCCTCGATGTTTTGCCACTCTACGATGAAGAACGTGGTTCTATTCATACTACCTTGCCCAAATTCATTCGATACCAAACGGAACAGGCTTTGAACTTGAGACGGGAATCCTGGCCCGATCTCCGCCACACAAGGGCTCAGATACTCGATATTCTTACTTCCCATGAAGCTTGGACTGAGTCACCTCCGCCTATCAATAAACTATTCGAGTGTTTTATGGCTCCAATGACATCGGACCCGACGTGGTTCAACTCCATCAGCCCTGCAGAAACCTCGTGTTTACGTTTCTTCATTTCTAGAATCTCAAAGGAAACCCCGAACATCTTTTACGAATTTTCCATTTTTGAAGATGTACCCTTCATACATTACTTGTTGTTCCACACTCCTAAATCAGAATTAGCGGATCTTCTCGTGCATCACGCTGATGTTGACAATATCACTGGTTCTCGAATCTTGCATACAATTCTAGATCAGTGCCAGCATCATAAATGGAAAACGAGAGGCAAGAAATCGCTACAAATGGTGAAAGTCTTACTTCAGAGAGGAGTAGATCCGGCTATTTTCGATGGGGATGGCTTCAATGCTCTCACAAAACTCCTCGAATTCCCGAGAGATATCGACGTGGCGGAATGCTTGAAGGTTCTTTTGACGAATGCCGATCCCGCAATTCAAGATGCGAAAGCTCGAAAACCACTTGAATTAGCTATTAGGAGATTCCACGACCCAACCCGTTTCCAGCTGATTGAGCTTTTGCTTTCTACGCACTCGGCTGGGTTCAGCTCAGGCTCGGGGATCCCGCAGTACTTCCCCGTCTCTTCACAGTGGCCGCATTACTTGAACAACGGATTTAGACAACACATGCAGATGTTCATCCCCCCAGATTGCCTCGATCATGTCGTCCGAGCTGCAGTTAGCATATCGACGCGAAAGGCAGTGGAGGAGAACACGGCCGATGATGCACCAGGCGATTTCTCCCGCCAGGTGACAATCGTCACCGACGCGATTTTCACGAGGAAGCAACATAAACTCCCGGACATTCCGTACTTGGACGGCTTGTTTGGGATGAAGCTCTTGCAGTTTGCGAAGAGTAAACTTTCTCCGCCGTGGTCCACTTTTCCTCCTTCGTTTCCTAGCGGACACGACAGCGCGCATTTTACACCGCAAGCGTATTATTATGGGCCGCAAGAGCCCACTAATACCCTGATGCCATCGCACGCGCACTACTACGGGTCGTATGAGAGCCCAAATGATGGAGGTAGTGGTACGAGTTATCATCCCGGAAAGCCTTCTTAATACTACTACTGCTGTTTAGCGAATTTCCCTTCGTCTCTAGACAAGAGGATGGGACTGATGAGAAGGCGCTACCGACTTATTGAATGAGACATCATGATACCACCTCTCCATTCCTTCGCAATTCCACTTTCGAGTTGTCCTTCCATTTAGGTCTTCAAACCCCACACCACGTTTGCTGCCCGGGGTTGAATGCTCTGGGAATATATATGACCCCAATACGAGTGGAACTAATAACGGGCTTGTCAGAATCGCAGCTGGGAGCGTAATTCCCGCTACGCTCCTTTCGGGGGTTCAGAAAACAAATGGGAAGGATTGTCAACAAATCTCGAGATATACGTAACTGCACTATCTGGCCAATCGCCGACACAGTCCTATCTTTTCAAGAGGTAGATGGAAGGCGGCTACGAATCGATCAAGCCAAGCTACAGTGCTCCTCAACAGACATAGACTCTCAACAACGAAGGAGGTCACCCACGTTTATTTCCAAGACAGGAACATAGCACGAGCTGTTTCTAGAACCTGGAGAACTCCTTCGATCCGACTTAGCGGCCATAACGGGCGATGGGCCGCTGCAGCCAAGATGCGCCACCCGATGCCCGATGTTGCCGTTGGAAGATCGCGCGCCGAGCCGTGCACGACTAATCCGGCGCTAAGAATAAAGAGCGAGATAAGCTTGAAAGGGAGCCGAAGCGCCGACCTCATGCTCCTCTCGCAACCTCAGCCCTGTCTCCCTGTCATCCGCATCGTTGGCCTCACGAGAGATCCTTTGGGGAAGGTCATACACTTCGCCAGCGCGTACCTTTGTGTGGCCAAGACACTTAGCACTGCCAATGCTTGGATTCATTTAAATGTATCGTTTCGTGGCCACTCACGATAAGGGGTGTCGCTACGTTTAATCCCCGAAGAGGAATCTGCGAGCTACACTTCAACCTCACACCATCCAACCTTCTTATTCGCAAGATAACAACAGCCGAGTGCCTGCTCTCTGCTCATATGTCTCCCTACCTTGCTTTCTGCTACCTAAGACCAAAATGGAGAGTCCCCGACAATTGAGATTAGAAGTGATCGCTCCTCGTACAACGATGTCCCGTTCAAGGCCACGGTACTCGATCCTCCCATTATGACAGAGACTCCCCACCACTTCTATCGACACTAAAGCCGATGAGGATGGTATGATCCGCTTGGCGGCTCAAAAGTCCCTAGCCATCGTCTCCGCGACGCGGTATGATCTTGCCGCTACTATGGACTTCTCGCCCTTCATTCGGAAGCTCAAGATGGCGGTTCTTAACGCTAGGGCAATAGATAGCTGTATAAATGCCGTCTGTTCTATGCACAAATGGAGGCAGGAAACCAGCCATCAGCATCCCATCCGACCACGCTCGCTATATCATCAAGATGGCTTTTTCATTGGCTACCAAGGCTCTCGCCGCTCTTTTCATTGGACAGGCACTTGCTCATCCGCTTATTAGCACTGGTCAGCATGATCACCGTGTTCGATCTCTTCAACGTCGCCAGGTTGATATCAGCAAATTCCAGCTGACGACCAGTACGAACTATATCAATGCCGAAAGTGGTGATAGGTGTGTGGATTTCTATAATCTTTACGGCATTCAATTGTTTCACCCCCGACTCTTACGGTAGGATTCTTTGAGAACGTCTATTTGAGATCGGCCTTCAAACATGGAGCCCAAATATCTGTTCACGTTTTTTTGAACTTGTCAAGGCCAACAGGCGATTCGATTCCGAGCTCATGTTTCGTATAGTGCACTCAAGGGGTTCCGTTCTGTATCCATTAGCAATGACTATGTTAAGACCGCCAAGGATTTCGTTGCCAAAACCTTCAAGGATGCCGAGTTCCGTGTAGCCGATGACTCTTACGTTGGGGTGAACGGGGTTGCTCATGTCTACTTCAAGCAGACTGCTCATGGTTTGGATATTGACAATGCTGATTTGAATGTCAACGTAAGTATATCTAGCGCGTTCTTCAAACTTTCCAGAATCGAGAATTGTTTGCGTTCTTTTCCTATGGGTTGCATGATCTCGCTGAGCTAACGTTATTTGTGTTTACAGATTTCAAGAGACGGAACTGTATTCTCCTATGGAGATTCCGTCTTCAAAGGCGAGATTCCGTCTTCAAAGGCGAGATTCCGTCTTCAAAGGCGCGATTCCTGCCACCAGCCCTCCCCAAAAACGGGAGTTTTCGGATCCCATCCCGGCACTGAAGGCCGTCAGTGATGTCTTGGAACTTGGCATCTCCGCCGAAAGAGCCTCCGTCGAAGCTACCGAGGCCCACGAGGAATATAAAATCACAAGAACGACAGGCGCAGATAGCGATCCAATCGCTACGCTCGTGTACTTCCAAAAGCCGGACGGCACGCTCGGCTTGTCCTGGCGAGTCCAGACCGACGTCATCACCAACTACCTCATGACTTACACCGATGCCTTCTCGCCTGAGAGCATCCTCGGTGCAATGAACTATGTGGCTGATGCAATATATGAAGTCTACAAATGGGGCGTCCATGACCCTAGTGCTGGTGTGAGAACACTTGAAACCGACCCATGGGATACTACCGCCTCGCCCAATGGCTGGCACAGCTCTAAAGGCACAAATTACGACACCACTATGGGCAACAACGGCTACGCGCAAGAAGACTGGGACGCAGACAACGACTACGCGTCTGGATATCGGCCACACTCCGCGGACTTGAAATTCGACTACCCCTACTACGGCAACGAAACCAATCCTCACGACTACATCAACGCCACAGTAACCCAGCTGTTTTACACGGCAAACATGTACCACGACCTCCTCTACCTCCTGGGCTTCAACGAAGCCGCCGGCAACTTCGAAGACGACAACGGCTCCAAAGGCGGCAAGGGCGGCGACCCCGTCATCCTCGACGCCCAAGACGGCCTTGGCACCAACAACGACAACTTCCGCACGCTCCCGGACGGCCAGAAGTCGCGCATGCAAATGTACCTCTTCGACGTCACGACGCCCAACCGCGACGGCGCGCTCAGCGCCGACGTCGTCATCCACGAGTACACGCACGGCGTGTCGAACCGGCTCACGGGCGGGCCCGCCAACGTCGGCTGCCTCAACACCGTGCAGGCGGGCGGCATGGGCGAGGGCTGGGGCGACTTCATGGGCGCCGCGATCCTGACCAAAGCCGACGCGACGCGCGACACCGACTTCATCGAGGGCGCGTGGGTCATCAACGACCCCAAAGGCATCCGCGATTACCCCTACTCGACCATCATGACGCGCAACCCGCACACGTACGCGGACATCAAGGGCGTCACCGAGGTGCACGATATCGGCGAGACGTGGGCGACGATGCTGTATGAGGTGCTCTGGAACTTGATCGATAAGCACGGGAATACGGCGGATGCGCGGCCGACGTTTGGCGAGGGGGGCGTGCCGGTTGATGGGCGGTTTTTGGCGATGAAACTGGTGGTTGATGCGATGGCATTGCAGCCGTGCTCGCCGACGTTTGTGCAGGCGCGGGATGCGGTTGTGGATGCGGATGTGGCACTGACGGGGGGTGCGAATCGGTGTGAGATTTGGAGGGCGTTTGCGAAGAGGGGGCTGGGGAAAAGTGCGTCGGGGACGAAGGTGGCGGATAAGTTTGACTTGCCGGAGGGGTGTTAGGGGACGGGTCTTCGCTTGATGACGTCGTGGGCATGATATGAAGAGTGGACGGAAGTATTGACTGGTTGGAAAGGGAGTGCTGTGGAGCTTGGAATACGGTATCCTGAGTAGGTAACGTAGCATTTTGGGTGCAATATGATCATCAACGTTTCTTTTAGTTCTATCTCTGATACGTCTTTTCGAAGCCCTTTTTGGTGTAGCTCTATCTTCATGCTTGTTTTAATCAGGTACACCCGAGTCCACTACCTCGCTCCAAACCCATTCTCCTGCTCCCCCATCCATCTCTCCATCACACCCTTCTCCTGGTTTGCCATATCAGCTAAGATCTCGGTTTCTGTTTTCGCTGGGAGCTCGAAGCCAGCTGCCACGCGGATAGCCTGAAGCTTAGAGTCAACGACTCCTTGCGTAAGCGGCAAGGGTGGGTTGGAGGTGTGTTGCTTCAGGTTGAGTTGCGTGAGGGATGCGGGCACAGTGGTATATGTGGAAGAGGTGGGTTTGGAGGAGGTGGTGTTGGAAGGGGTGAAGCCAGAAGAGGTGGAAGCGTAAGGGTTGTTGTTGGTGGTGACCAGCATTGGCGAGGTAGCAACGTTGCTAGTCGTGGTGCTGTCAAGACCCGTCGGTGTTGGCGGAGTGGAGGAAGGAGGAGGGTGCTCAGAGGTTCGCAAGATGATAGAGAGATGGTGATCAGGCTCGACGGTAAGGTCTTTCACGCTTACGATGGCATCATGCGGGTTGTTGACGGTGCTATGGGGGAAGCGTCAGCATGGAAGCCGTTAAGTGTCTGAAGAAGAAGGGGATCATGAAGCTAATACTTACTGCTCCAGCTCCGAGTTCAACCCAACAGTACATGCTACACCGTTCTTAAGACAGTCCTGTCCAGCGAGAAGCTCGAAGTCTGACATGGTGCTTGAGAGGCAGTGAAGTGAGGAATGGGGTCCTGAAGTGAATGCCAAGACTTGAGCCGGAAGAGGGGAAAATCTACAGAGCAGCTCTGTCAACGCAGTAGAAAGGGAGACAAGACGAAAGACTTACAATATCCCACTGGTAGAGCAAGACAGCTGGCGGATAGACATTGACATACTGGCGGGACGCCGATTTATGTATTTTCCTCCGTCGTACAAGGTCCTTCTCAACTTCAGAAACACTATGCAAGCACACCGTATACACTTGGGACAACGCAGCGCAACTCCACCTAGCAAAGTAGCCCGCCACCCAACTGCACACCTATCAATCTCTCACAGGAGATGGCCGATTCTTTCAAAATCTGAGAGGTCCGAATTAGGTTAGTGAAACTAGTTACCTCAATTCCGATTGGATGCCATTTGCCTCGTGGTTCGCAATTAGGCGGACGGCAGGGAGCCCAGGCTTGCGGCTCAAGTGCGGGCTCACCGGCTCGGCGGGAGCTTGGAGCTTAATTGGCTGGTAGTTCAGCACGTCTCGAACGCCTCGCTGGATTGCCTGCGTAACGTCACTCATGGCCGTCTCGAGCTGCTATTTGCGGCGACGAGCCGCGTGCTCCAGCTCCAAGGGGCATGCAGTATTGCGCACATTCTACTCCGCCAGTAATCTTGCATCGCCTCCTCTCTTGGCACTTCTGGCCATGCGTTGTTTCGTAGCCGCTGATTCCTATGATCGACCTCCCCTTCCTTTCGAAGCATGACTCCCGAAATCCGAGTACCTGTCGAGACGGTAATTAGCCCCCATTAGTAAACCCCTATAAGCGGCAATGCTGAAGCGCAGTTTCTTTATCAATTTAGTTGGTGTGATTTTTTACTTGCAATTGTTGTAGTAACAGGCTTTTCGGATGCGCAAGCACCCATTCGACCAAACATCCTCAGACCATACCTCAGTCCGACCCAGCTCTTGACAACAGGAACCCAGAACTCTGTAGCTTTTGAAACACGCCTTCAGGATCCCACTTGCGACTCACCGCCCGAAGAGATTCCAAACTTTCGACGCCATAGCTCTGCAACGGTGACTGCGTATACGATGCATCATTCATAAACTGGAAGTCCAAGAGTTTCCCACGCACTTTGGCTAGAGATTCGATACCCCCGACGAGCTCACGAAGTTTCTTTCGCGCTAAACCGTCGTCTACATCGTCTGTCCATTGGCATAGGATTGCAAGCCCTGAGATTGTGGCATCAGTATATAGCTAGAAGTACGATTAGCGCAACTTACACGACTGGCTTTCCGGAGGGATGTTCATGCAATTACCGCCATGCTCTTGTCCTTTCTTAGCAGTGGATAGGCCGACAGGTTGAAAGGTAAAAGAAAGCGAGATCGATGGAGGTATGGTGTTGGCAGTTTCCCGCAGAATGCGGTGCAAGTCGGCGTAGAGCTTTGTATCTGCTTTCACATTCGAGGTAGCGGTTTCTCGCCTACAGAACGTCAGCATAATTAAACGCTACTCGCTCAGAACACGGACTTTGCCTCCCTCTCCATTGCAGCAGCGCGTGCTACCGAAAGCTGCGTTCCGTACCTCTCTGGCACCGGGGTAGACATGATCGAGATACCATCGAATGCCCTAAATGCTGATCCAGGCCTAGTCGATCCTCTGTACAGCATACCTGCAACGAGGAAACCTGCGTTGATACTCAAGAAGAAGCCAATGCGGTCGTCAATTTCCATGGCTTCCTGAACTTTGACATATGCTTCCATGACGCGATCGGTATGTTCGGCACTGTAAACGCGGAAGGTATACCAGACGCGGTAGTCGGGGTATGTGTGGAGGTCGAATTGGGTGACGATGCCTGCGGAAGAGAGAATGCGTTGAGTATGAAGCGAATGAGATGGTAATTTTCCTTACCGAAATTAGAACCACCACCTTTCAGTGCTCGAAAGAGATCGATGTTTTCCGTTGCATTTGCGTTGACTATGGTAGAGTCGGCGAGCACGACCTGTGAAATGAGCATCAGAGCACTACGAGGAGGTCACGGGTCGGGTACCTCGAAGTTCTTGACGTTGTCGCAGACAAGGCCCCAGTGGTTGGAGAAATGGGACATGCCTCCTATGGAAAAAGGTGAGCTTTCGCTCAATACTGTAGGGAGTAGAACTGGGTGATGCTCGGGAGATTATACCTCTAATAATCAAACCGCCGACTCCTACACCAGACACCCGGCCCCCAACGACAGTCATCTTATGCTTCTCAAGCTCTTCATACACCTTGTCCCAAGTTGCACCTGGTCCCACTGACACAACATTTTCTGCAGGCAATATGCTGATCGTGTTCAGAGCACCCAGGTCCAATACAATCCCGGCTTCCCCGATACTACCGAAGCTAGGATTCGAATTGTGACCACCGCTGCGAATAGAGAAGCTAGAATTGAATTTCTTGACGAATCTCAGAGCAACTGCTACTTCCAATGTAGTTGTGAGCTTGAGGAAGCAGGTTGCCGGGAGCCAGCAGGTACTAGACCTTATAGGTGTGAGACGAGATCTTCTGGCAGTAAAGTTAGAAGAGTACTGACCAGTTTCGGCGTTGTTCTCGCTCATAGAGAGGGCTTTGGGGGAGGACAGCTCTGCCTCCGAAGATAATCTGACTGGCTTTGACGGCGGCCGCGGCGCGATCGGCTGGGGGCGCGTTCGAGCAGACTTGAGGGATCGTGTCCAAGACTTCCTGTGCGGATCGAATGATGTTCTCAAATGCGAAATAGACAGAAAGCGGGGCCTGGTCAGGCGAGAGCGCGTGGAGGATGCTGGCTAGATTTTCTGTAAGCGAAGCCATTGAACATGGAAAGCGAAGATGAGCAGAGTGTGAAGTATAGGGTAGAGAGCGCGCAAAGGAGGCTTTCAAAGCGAAGACATGGCCGGGTACTTTGATTTTGAAGTATTTACAGGTCGGGCACCTCATCTGTGGGGCGCCTTATTCTATCTATCCTTGAATGCCGACTGGTCGTTATAGTGCTCTTCGGGATTCTACATGAGGGCACACTCTTGCAGAAAGTATTGGTGGATCTCAGGCTTATTCTCGTACTGAATATCTTGTCTTGGTTAGGAAGACTAGCGAAGTTAAGAGCGCGCCTGACGTATCAGTTTGATCTTGTGATGAGGTCCTCGTATATCCTATTGAGATACCACTTACAATACCTTGAATTGGCGCGGAACGTGGAAACTCCCTCGTCTGATCCTATATACGTTTCTCATTGCTGCTATCTTTCTCGATGTTAACTGAGTATTAGTCACGTGACACTAACGTGTTGAGATTCTTGAGATTGTGTAGCTATGAAATGTTCTTTTGGATGTATCTCTGTAGCTATACTGTCGATATGATAAGCATGTAGTCAGCAAATGAACAGGCTGAAGATGTGAGCGTTGGGATAAGGCCTACACTATTTACCTCAATTCGGATCTTTGAGCCCCTTGAGACACCCCAAGCAACGGTGAGAAAGTCAATCAGATTGTAGTTGAGGAAAGGAGTCGCAAAGTTCCCCAAGTTTCGCGATATCAGCACGTGATGTCGAATTACCAAATCTCTGATCTTAGCGCTATCTCGCACACCGAAATTTTCTCTCTCCAACTCAATACCATCTTCATATAATGTGTGCAAGTCGGCCCTTCAAAAGATCGGCAAGCGATAGCTACTTGCCAGGATGAGGCTTTTTCTCGTTCGCCATGGCGAGACCGTAGACAATGTTGCTCAGGTCTAGTATGTCTCTCCTATCAAGTACCTATCTCCAAGGCTAACAGACCAGTGCTGGGAGCAGGGACTCCGAGCTCACGAACCATGGCTTCCAGCAGGCTAATCGCCTCGGCCGGTACCTATACGCGACAGGCCATCGCTTCAGTCATATCTTCTCCTCCCACCTACAGAGAGCTTTTCGAACCGCCGAGCTCATTCTCGAAGCTCAGGCCGCTGCTGTTTCAACGGATGAGAAACCCCTACAAGTGAGGCGACTGCCGATACTCATGGAGCAAGACTTTGGCTTCTATGAGGGGAAGAAATGGTATCAGAAGCCCCCAGGCGGTGACAAGTCTGGGAAGCAAGCACATCGAGACGAAAAGGTCAGCACGCCTAGCTTCGTGGATATGGAGACCAAAGATTCAATGGCGGAACGAATGGATGCTTTTCTGGATGAGCATCTGATTCCTCTGCTTGACGATCGGTCTCTAGTCGACGAACGCTCAGTCGCGATAGTTTCTCATGGCATCATACTTTCCGTGTTATGGCGCCGGCTTCTTGCTCGATTGCCACCCAAAAGTGTTTCGCCTAGTGTGCGAGTTTTAGAGACTTATAGGAGCTTCCAACTCGAGAATCTAGGTGGTTGGTCCAATACCGGGTATCTAGAGCTGCTTTTGCAAAAGCAAGCCAATTCGCCTCCGCAAACTAAGGTAAAGGGCGACTCATCCACGGGTCCTGAGATGGGTCTCGTGAAGACTGACGAGCCTGTGGAAGAGCTCTCTCCAAAAGTCGCGACCGCAAGAATCCTCCATGAATGGACTGCAGTCATTGAGACTGTCAATGGCAAGAATCACCTTCAAGGTCTCAAGCGCACCGGTGCTGGTGTCGGTAGCGCGAAATATGATGCCGGGCAGAAGACTTTAGACACATTCTTCAAACGACGACGAATCAGCTAACGAGATTGCCATAGCACAAGCCATTACAGAAAGATATCATGTAAGTTTTGCAATTTCTTCTTTTACTCGCCCTTCCTACATGATGATAAACCAATTATTCACAGACCTGATCTGAATTTCTATGTTGACCACTAATTGTTCCAACTGCTGTCTGATTCGAAAAATATTGCTTCACATCTGTCTCTCATTTTGTTTGATAACTTTATACTGACGAGACTTGTGATGGCATCTAGTCTCTTTCCACGTCCACAAACCTCAACGGCTCATTATCAATCATTGGCAACACGATATCCATCACTCTCGCCTGTACAGCGATATGCACCACCATCCTTCCCAAACATAGTCCGCAAATCTTCCACAATGGCATCCGGGCACTCCCAGGCTGGAAAATGTCCACCACGGGTGTGCTCGTTCTCATACACAACCGGGCCCATGGTATGGTGCCACAATTTTGGGAGGAGAATGAGATCCTTGGGGAACCGAGCAATACCAAGCGGAACATCAGGAATCTCGACTTGCATCTCAGCGAAGAGAGTCTTCTTCGGATGTCGATGCTCGTTCTCGTAGTAGATGTTCAGACTGGCCGAAGGCCCTGCACGGGAGAAGTAATAGACGCTCACCCAAGTGAGTATTTCCGTTTCTGTCCAAGGATAGTCGTCAGCCCAGTCATGGAGCTTTTCGTAAATCCACGCGAGAAGCCCAACGGGGCTAGATGAAAGGCTGTAGGCTATGGTCAGAGGCCTTGTAGATTGGAGGCGGTAGAAGGCGTTGCCGTTTTCGCCAAACTCTTGTGTGCGTTTGAGACCGGCCAGTTCTCCATCAGTCAATGCCGTAGCCTGGACCCGGGCGTGAAGTTCTGGGTGGCTTTCGGCTGTAGGCTGGGCTGGAGCGGCATTGTTGATGAGTTGGGCTTTGCAGGAATTTGGACCGTAGGTTGATGCCAGGATTCTCGCGACGGCAGAGCCGAGATCGCCGCCTTGGACGACTAGAAGCTTATCAGACAATCTATCTTGTTACCGAGAATTAGAACGTACCGTATTCACTATATCCCAGAGCTTGCATGAGCTTGTGACACGCTTCGGCATGTTGATCGACGTTGAAACCACTCTTCACGCCTCGTTAGCTCTTGAAGTAGATTCAGGAGCACTTCACTTGCCTCTTTACTCGCACTCGAGAATCCGAAATCAATCAGACTCGGTGCCACGACGTGGAAAGCAGGATACTCATCACCACCTTCGGTCAATTCCGGCAGGATCTTAGTAACCTCGAGGAAACTGCCCGGCCAGCCGTGGACAAAAAGGAGCGGAATAGCGCTTTTGATGACGCTGGGCTGATGGATGAAGTGTATTTCGTTCAAGCCGTGGCCTTCGATCTCAATCTGCGCCATGTACTGGGGTAGTTCGTTCAATTTGGCTTCGATGGCACGCCAGTTAAAAGAGTGTTGCCAGACGTGAGCGAGGCGTTTGATGTCGGCGAGCGGTGGGCCGCGAGTCCATGGTTCTATGTTGGTGGGCTCGGTGGGGAAGTCGGTGAGGGCGAGGAGTCGTTGGAGGCGGATGATTTTGGATTCTGGGACGGAGATTTTGAAGGGGGTGATGGGGGACATTGTTTATTGGGCCTTGTCGAGAGATTATGGTCGGAAGAGGAATATCAAGAGAAGAAAAGGCAGGCTGAGTTGTATGGGATTGACGTATAGTATGATGTATATTAGAGGAAATCATGTTGGCTCTGGAGTTGACTTTATACCCATCGTGTACCCTCCCCAATTTGCCTTTACCGAAGTATGGAATACTCTCAATCTGCCTCCAGGAGTCATTAATGCTGAGTACAATGCGCTAGAGCGCATCAATACTGCTACGGGACGGTTAGCGTGACGCTCGAGCGGTGAAGTTGCTCTTGAACAGTGCCAAGACTTTGGGACAAAAGTCCATCATGCCCAACTTCTTAGCCCTTTCTCCTTCTCATTCACTTTACCACCAAGCTCTATCCCCGTGTTGAGTCACGTGTCACTCTCTCAATGGCAGCTGATGAGAGCGCAGAAATCGTAAATGTAATTAATTTGCACGCATCGGCACTCCTCGAATTAAGCAAGACCCACGGCACAGCCTATCAGACATGGCTACGCTCACTAGACCAGGAGCACCGGTCGGAATTCAAGAAACAATGGACACAGCTCGTAAACGCACTAGACCGCCGGAAAGGCACACGGCGACGTAAGCAGGTTGAGTCCTTCCTCAGCCGACGCAACAGGATTCCGAAGACACCGACTCATCAAGAAAGTAGCTCCAAAGTTTCGGCGTGGGAAAAACGTGAGGACCTGTTTGTACTGTGTACGAACATCACCATCGAAGAGCTAGTCAGCCTGAACCGCCTAGAAGAACCAGCTTCGTTCTTCAAGGCTACGGAGCATCTGCTTGGCCAGTACGACTTTGCAGAGGCTTATCGAAGGTCACTTGGACGGGAGACTCGACGAGTGCGCGATCGCATCCTCGAGCGGTTCGAATGCCTTGTCTTTTATCTCAATATAGTACTCGGTGGCTTCCATAGCGGCACAGGATGGCTGCATGGAGGTCACAATCGATTGCTGGAAGTACAGAACCCACCGGACGATCTTGTCAAGGCTAAGAAACGGAATGAGCGAATGGCTGAACGCGGGCTGAGCTATTACTGCTGGGGTGTCTTTTTGGGAGACTTGCGGAATCTAATTCGGCTTCGGGCTGATGAAGATGTGCCCGAATCACTGTAGGTTCTCCGTCCTTGTGACATTCTCGGGAACTTGTTGCTGATGTCGCTAGGTACGGCGATCGGCATCATCGTCCCCGAATACCTTACTATGCAAACCAACTCTTCGAAGCCGGCCTTTGTGAGGATGCGACACTTGTTCAGACATGTGCCGATAGCATCATCCAGACGTGGCCTGTAATACCGAAGACAGTCACGTTGCAAGTCGCCACAGCGCTGATGCAAGGCAAACATTGGGACTTGCTTTCGTCCGAAGCGAAAAGGAAGACAGAAGAAAGGATTAGCCTCATTATGGAAGCTTTCTTCCCTAATCTCACTATCAACTCATCGCACAGCTCCACTGGCATGCCACCAGACCGGGCTGGCGACACAAGCCCTGCGGAATCACCGTCTGAGCGAGGCCCAATCGGCATTTCTTCTCAACCCCTTGAAGAAGAGAGACCCTCAGCAGACTCAATTGGTGACAAAAGCCATATGCAGTCGGACCCAAGTGTACTAGAATCGGAAATGGCTTGGTACCCAGCTCCAGACCTCATGTATGGCACCATGTTTACTAGTTTCGTGGAGCCAATCTACGACAGCGCTTTCTCGAATGGTGGATGGCCAGATAGTACTGCAGGACGTTATAGTGCCGATGGAACTGTGTAGCAAATTATTCGAATCTCAGAGCCCTTGCACCTGCCCGCACTCCCAGCTAGTCTCGACTAGAGAGCCGTATTTTACCTTTTCAATATCCCTTATCTCTGCCTTAATTTTGCTTGCCAAATTGTTTCCGAACAGGCTGGATGATTATGAAAGCTCTACCTTGCGTGAGACTTAAGCCTCTCATTGACTAGCGCAGTGCGTTGTATCACTCTGCACAACAACTTCAAGCACTGTTTTTACTTCTCAAAGGTGATTCAGGGCAGGGAGCACGGCAGTGGATATAGCGGGGAGGTACTCATGGTACATTACCATAAAAAACAATAAAACAAACCACCGACCCTTTCCCAACAGAAGTGATCGACGAATTACCCGGAATAAAATGCACCATTCCAACCTCTCCCCACACCAAGTCCTTCTTACCAGACTCTCCTTCAATAACGCTGTTCAAATCGTCCGTTTTATGCAATACTACCGCACCCACCATGACTGTTCTTGAATCCAAGCGAAAAATTCCACTTTGAAGTAGAAGCGTGTACTTGTGTAGGATAATCGCTGGTCGTCCGAGTGTTTCTTGAAGTAATTTCTGGTTCTGATGGCGGGTTAAGTGAGTTTTGGGGAGTGCACGGACGGTTTTGGCATCTGACCTGTTTGCAGAATTCATCATAATCTTGCTCCACGGCGCGGAAATCTATGTGAATAGGGATGTATGCTGGTCTTATTGCTTTAGCGGTCTCTACTGCAGGGCCAGTTGCTAGAGCTGAGGCGAGCAGTCGAGGGGTGGGTTCGAAGGATCGTGCAGATATGTGAGATTGAGGATTTGCCATATTAAGCAGAATGATTAATGCTCATACAGAAGTTGAATACGAGTAGAAATAGTGTTGTTTCAATGGAACTCGCGTTTTGATGGAGGAGTGATGGTTGGATGCTGGGAACGTCTTCAGATGTCCGTGCCCGTACTGTCACGTGCTCTCATACAGGCTCAACACCAAAAAGCAGGGACAACGCAGTCTGAGATCCCCTACACAAGATTTGAAACCGGACATGGAAAGCAGGTTCTATTGCATTAACGAAGCTTGAATTTCCGGGCGTTGTTGGGCGGTGGCTGGATGTGCCACTTTGGGGTGGCTGGTGTCTCGCTTGCCTCCCCGCAGAGTCCTCCTTTTTGCGTGTCCAAATCTACAACAGAATGACGACAAAGCATAATAATGGTCTACAGCAACGATGCGATGAATCTGCAATGAAATGCACGATCTTACGATTCATATGATGGGCGAAAACTAGCTGCACGCGATGCCGTTACACTACAGAAACTTGATGGCGCACGGGGCGGGGAGGCTGGTGTCAGCCATCTCAATTGAGTGTCAACCACCACAATTTCGCAGTCGGCCCTTATGAATAGCCATCTTCTAGCATTCCTCTACTTCTCTTTCTGTCCTACTTCCATCGTCCATTCTTAAGAAAATTCATTCCATCGTGTCGTTGTGTTACTGTCGTCTGCCATTTGCTTGAGTATCCCGACCAACCACATCTTCAAATCACAATGCGCCGCTCTCTATACACCTTGGCAACATTGCCTGCTTTCGCGCTTGCTCAGTCTTCTGGCGGAGAGGTCATTCCTATCACCATCAATGGCTACATCACATCTATAACATTGCCCTACTGGCCAAGCCAGACTCCAGCCACAGCTCCTCTCACCGTCGTACCTCCTCCTCAAGTTGTCTCTGGATACCTATCAAGCGCAGAATCGGCACTCAACTCGATCCAAAGCAGCGCATATGCCTATTTGTCAACCGTCCCTTCTGGTATGTGCTAGGTCGTGTTCTCCTAGAACCATCATACTAATGAACATACCAGGCGTAATACTCTACACAACCGCCATCCCCGTTGTGATACCCATTGGCCCAACATCTGCCTCAGCACCTGCATCTAGCGCCACAGCGATCCCTGTTCCCGCGCCTTCGTCATCGAAGACCATCGACGCCTACTCTGTTCTCAGCTCAGCTCTTCACACGTTCCCAAGTTCTTTGATCCCAACCGTACCAGTCTACGTCCCACCGACTCCCTCACCTTCCGTTTCCACGCACTCGGTCTCTGTACGATCCGTCGCCACACCATCTGTCGCCACACCATCTGTCGCCACACCATCTGTTCCCACACCATCTGTTCCCACACCGTCTGCCTCCGTCGCTTCGGTCCCTACGCCAACCTACCCCGTCCTCTCCATCCTCAGCTCTGCGCTTGCGACCTTCCCCTCCTCTCTTATCCCGACCACCCCAGTGTACATCCCTCCCACTCCATCCTCGGCTCTAAGCTCCATCGCTTCCTCAGTCGCCTCATCCCTCGCGAGTGAAGCGACACATATCACATCCGCCGCATTCAGCATCGCATCTTCCCTCGCATCTTCCCTCGCATCAGAAGGATCAAGCGCTACCCAGGTTGCCTCATCTGTTGCCTCTTCACTTGCTTCTGAGGCCTCTTCAAAGGCCTCTTCGCTCGCTTCTGAAGCCTCTTCAAAAGCTTCCTCCGCCGCCTCTGCAGTTTCCTCCCGCGCTGCCTCCGCCTCCTCAGTCATCGCATCTATTACCAAATCGCTCGTCAGCGAAGCTTCTTCTGTTACCGCCTCCCTCGCCTCCGAAGCAAGTTCAGTCGCTGCTTCTGTCACGAGTTCACTAGCTAGTGAAGCAAGCTCCGTCGCTAGCTCTCTTGCTAGCGAGGCGAGTTCCATCACTAGCTCCCTAGCCAGCGAAGCCAGCTCAGTACATGCTGCTGCGACGAGCGTGCGGAGTGAATTGAGCAGCACGCTCGCGACGCAAACGGCGACGCAGACTTCGATCCCGGCGGCACCGACGGCGAGCGAGGGTGCTGCTGCGAGGGTGGCCGCGGGGCTGGGTGCCGTGGTTGCGGCAATGGTGATGGCTTTATAGAGTCGAATAGCGGTGGGTTCCTCTAGACATGGGTTGATTTTGGGCGTTTGGGTTGGCTGGATGGTTATGGGTTATGATATCAGGCTTTATGCCAACTCATATGTGTATGAGATTTACTAGATAATGGGCTAATTAGGACCGGGAGATATTTATGATGAAGAATAGGATATGTATATACATAGATAGATACATCAATATGGAGAATGATACAAGTATCGCAAGCGTTTTTTTAAAAGTGGTCGCTGAGATGTACCTGACTTGGGTGAACGGATTGGATTGGGTTAGCGACGCCGCGTTCCCCTTTTCGCATTGGATCGGGAGTTTCTTTCGACCGCAACGTCAACTTGCCCAGTTATTTATCGACAACACGCGTCTCCCATATTCAAGGAGGGCCAAACAAGATCTGCCACGGAAAATACTTGATAGTAGATAACTCCCTCTTCTGCCTTGCTGGCTAGTCCTACTTTCGCGATGGCATTACAACGAGGGCGGGCGCGGACGGCATGTGCATATGTTGCCACTAGACGTACGCTACGGTGTTGCAAGGTCTCATTTTGGACAAGAAAGTTATGGGAGGATTCACAGAGGTCTAAGAGGTTTGAAATTACCTTTACGTTACCTAGTGTCGAGTTTAGAGAAAAGTACCAGGCGCTGTTACTTTTCCTCTTTCTTAGCCCAGTTTGTTCAGTTGCAAATTCTGGAAACAACTACTCCTTTCATCATCGAATCCATAGTCCGTCTTCTCTATGGTTAAATGAAGTCTAGCTCTTACGCTTTCGTTGTAGGTTTGTCATTCAAGGCTAAGAGTTTGTGACGCGAATGCGAAAGCACATTGCAGCAATCGCTAGTTTACTGCTTGGATACGATCAGCTCTGCGCTAGAATCTGTTGAAGTAACACAGTCAACTACCGCTTCTTGCAACACGGAAGAGCAAGAACCTCTCGTTCAGCCACCGAGAGTAGTAATGCTGAGGCGGGAGTAGGTGGTTGCCGCGCCTGGTAATACGAGAAGTAGTAAAGCTGCAAAGATTCACTACACCATGAGGTTGCAACATACATGATGAACATCAGTGTACCTCCTCATCATTTTCAAATCTTCGATGACCCTAGCAAAAGTATACTGGGAACCTGCTCCGGATCACGTTCTGGCCAGGCATAAAGTGTTCTGCCTGTCCTCGACGTTCACCTATGGTGTCAACACCTCAGCTGCGTCGACATCATCTCTATCGACGTATACCAGAACTCTAACACCTCTTGAAGAGAATCACCTAGGTGACACCTAAGACATTCTTCAGAGCCGCTGTGCTATGCCAGCGTCACACCGAGGCTCCGTCAACTTCCCGGACTCAACACTCTCTGCCAATCTTGTGGGCACAAGGCGTGGCTCATCCCCGATCCGACGTTCCTGAGAGTGCCTCTAGCATCTTCTCAGCGGTGTCAACACCTGCGCGCTTCTCCTTCTCAAACGTGTCCCACGCGACCGACTTGTCGACGTCACTCATCGCACCCACCTCTCACCGCTCCCTCTACCACCACGTCTTCTCCCGTATACTCCTTCTTTGATCCCACATCGACTCCCTCACTTCCCTCACTTACCTTTTCACGCGCCATCATTCACCGGAGTATTTGCTAAGCTCTTCCTCTTCGCTCCCCGGGCATTCCCAGACATTATCTCTCACTCCACGTTAACGGCGCTCATTCCGGTTTCGTTTCCTCCTCTTGAGTCTAACACCCCTTGCGCTCCAGCTCGCACATGTTCAATTGGAATTCGGCGATCGACGTTGGATAACCTCACTAATTTATCCCGGTACTCGCTCTGTCACGTCCAAGCCCGTAAAGTCGTAGAGCTATCCTGCGTACAAAAGCTCTCTCCACTTTACAACAGTCATGGCCATGACGGCTCTTTCGAATCTGAGTCCAGCTTGGGACTTCGATGCCTTCCCTACTGAAGAGGCCGCGACTCATACCAGAACTCTCTTTGGGGATGGTCCCCAGTTTCAGAATCAGCTCGCCGGTGGCATTATCCCTGATGGTGAGGATGCTGATGGCGACATGTCTTTTGATTTCGAGAGAATTCCGGAGCTCGATGTCATGGACTTCGAAGCCAACGACTCACAGCATTTCGACCAGCCCAATGGCTCCGTGAACCCTGAGCAGGAATCCGGCGGTGTTGGCCTGCTTGTAGGCCATGATCCCGACAAAGATGAGATTACCCCCCCTATGGAGGGTTACGGAAACCCACCCGAGACTCCACGTAGCGTCCAGAGAGCTTCAACCGGAAGTTCTTCTAGTATTCCCTCCCCAAAAGAGTGGAAGCGCGCAAAGACACAGCCAAAGCCCTACGAACTGCGTCCTGGAGCCCGATTGAACAAAGTCCCTATGACCTGGGTCGACATGGATGAGAGCGGCAACTACGATCCCGACCAGGAGCGACGTAAGGCACCGCTGCCAAGGAAGAAGAAACAGACTTCAATGGCTGGGCGGTCTCCTACTGATTCAGATGAAGGCGGCGAACGTATCAGGAAGTCTAAGCTTCCTACTTGGCAGCATGGACACCGATGCGGCACCAGTCTGGTGGTATCGTTAAAGTTCACGTCCTATGCCGCCCACGAGCTTCTGAATCAGGGCTCCCGGTGCGACAACTGGCCCGAGGATAATCCTGACTGCTACGATGAGCGAGATCTGTTGGAGGAAGAAGACTTTGGTGTCGCTCGTAAACTCCGGAAGCGCGAAGCCATTCGAGAGCCAGTCTTGGACCCACGCAACGAAGAAGACGATCTCTCTGGACATCCGGATGCACGAGGATGCAAGCTTTGCCGAGAGATCGGGAAGGACTGTTCTCTAAAGCATCGTGGCTTCACTTGGCCTTGCGAAGATTGTTCCGAGGTCGATCGACCATGCGAGCTTCTTATCCCCCCAAAACACAAGGATAGCTGCCAAAATTGCCAAGCGAACGGACTTGACTGCTCGTTCGTCTGCCAAGACTATGAGGAGGGCGAGACCGCAGGACCACGGTGCGACGAATGTATCGATTACGATCGTCCTGACTGTGTAGCCGGCCCGGACTACACTAGGCAGCCTCAACGGCTGTATATGAATGAGTACGGACGTTCTGACGACTACGATGACGCGAAGGCTCCTGCTGCGCCAAGGAAGTACGTGGCGTGCACGATCTGTCGACAGGAGCGTAGAAGGTGTTCCCTGAAGACCAAGGACGACAAGCCACCGTGCAACAGGTGCAAAAAGGAACACTTAGCATGCACCTTCTTGGACCTCAGGCCGACTAAGGCACTTAAGCCCACCAAAGCGTCCAGCGCCACAGCTAGAGACGACCTTGCTGTGGGCACCTCAACTTACTTGGTGGATGATGAATCGATGTCCGAAAGCCATGGGGCCCCTCGAGTGGTGGAAACAAAGCACAAACCGCAGAGCAAAGGAAAGGGGAAGGAGAAGGCAAGAGCTGAAGCGCAAGCAAGATCGAGAAACCAGGAAAGACCAGCCCCAAAGCCCGTAAATTGGACTCGTGAATATCGGGCTCTGTGTGACGCAGCAGAAGATGAGGAGGAGGAAGAGGAGGAAGAAATAGCCCCTCAAAAGGCGACTCACATAGCGGAACGCAGTTCGGATACCGCAGGACACTCTGGGTTCACTTGCAACATAATCACCTCCTATACGCACCCGATCACTTTCGACACTTCTCCATATGCCGATGGTGATTCGGCTAGGTCTTGCACATGGTGTGAAGAAAACGTCTATGGGATCTTGGGACTCGGCGAAAGAGAAGTCTTCTGCATCAGCTGGGACAACGGCCTTGGATACACTGAACTCGCAGGCGGACACCTAGCGGAAGGCTGCCGCCACAGCAACATGTGCTTCAATTGCACGATCGGTCGGTACCAAATCATCTTGTGCGACAACCACGAGTTCCATCGCATCCCAAACATCGTCGCCGAGGACATCGACAACGTGGTGGAGCAGCTGGACATGGCGAGGCCTGGCTCAGCATTGTCAGAGGTGCTTCAGAGCAAATTCTGCTCACTCTGCGTCAACGATCTTGCAGAGTTTGAGTGCGCGACTGTCCAGCCGTCCCTCATCCTGGCCGACACCGGTGAGCAGTATATTCGGGGTTGCGGCCTCAAGCTCTGTCGCCGATGCGCCTCGGTCTTGTGGAAGAACTGTGGTGGGAGCCTGCAGGAAACCATTCAGGTTCTAGAGCAGTCTGCGATGGAGGATCAGGCAAACGATGAGTTTCCGGAATTCATGGCGAGGGCTGATATCGGGCTTCTTAAGAATGATGGGCTGCTGAATAGGAACATGGAGGCTATTGAGATCGAAATGGACCCGGAGGCGATGGAGACCGTTGAGGAGACGCAGAGTGCGGAAAATGTTCAGGACTGTCAGATGGACGTGGAGTTGAGGGAGCAGCGATTGCAACCTGGGGAGGTTTAAAATCAGAGCATTTCTGAGTTCAATTTCCTGGCTTTCAAGAGGGGTTGAGAGGATTCACTGGTCTCTTGAGCTCGCGATGGCGTGCTCGTCTTGTGATGTGGTTTGGCGTTGGCGTTGGTGGGTGCTTTCTTCTAGTGCTCTGCAAGTTGCAAGTGAGGTCCGTGTGACTTCATGGAGCGACAGAGCGAAAATCTAATGGGTTCTCTTTCCTTTGATTGGTACGGGTGGCTTTGGAAGAGGGAAGACATATCTTGCATGACGGAAAGGACGGTGGGCTTCAGGTAGTCATCGTCTATTTCTCCTCCTGGTTGGGTTAGGTTCTGCACTCTTCGGTCCTGGCTCGCTTAGGGGATGAGCGCAAGCGATGTACAGCAGCTGATAGATATTGACTGGCTGGGAGTTTCTCTCTGCCCAAAACTCTGGATCTAACCAGCCTTTGAACGTTGCAATTTCGAGTGGCTCGAGTAAAGTGTTGAAGCCAAGTGAGCGCCATTGCGCGTTGAGAGGTGAAGGTGATGAGTACTGGAAGTTAGTTGATGATTTGCGGCGTGGACAAACGTTGAACTGCTGGGAATTGCCAAGTTACACTGACCTTGTCCCCAGTAGCAGACCCTTCGAACAGGGTGTGGAACCGGGGCCGAGAGATGGCGGTGTTCATGAACCGTCGCAAGATAAACTACTCGTCTGAATTTCTAGAAAAGGTGGTGCGGATCATCAGTAGACCTTCTCGGAAAGCCAGCGGTTGGACGAACTTTGAGATCTACTCAAGGAAACACGCTCTCACTAGATCGTGTAAGTGTGGCCTTTTCGTAGACTCTCTGCTCGATTACTAAAGCCTTTGTGTGAGTAATACCACGTGGCTGCTACGTGGTAAATTGACAGTCCGTTGTGTAAGGCTTTATTCCCCATATGGTTCATTTCCCACGTATAGTTACATCTCCAATGTGTGGCAACGTCCACTCTGGAATCAAAACGTAAAGTAAAGACTCACGATGGCAACTCGGGAGTCGAAGACCGACCATGCGTGATCAGGCACACACCCTACCTGGCTACATGTTGTAAATCTCACTATATCTTCTAACGTTTTACACAAGTAGTAGAGTCTTTGAGGCCCCCCTGGACCCCTAATCAGCTTTCCTCCTTACTCTCATTCTTACCAAGTTTATCCCACCCCCACTCCCCACCTGACCACAGGCCTTTCCCAATCCCAATCCCTTTCACAACCCCCTTCCCCATATCCGCAAACCTCTCGCTCATCTCCCTCCTAACATCCGCACGCGCGCCACCTCCTCCCCAACTCCCGCTATCGCTCTCTCCATCAGTATCAACATCACTTTCAGCTCTGTGGCTACGCGATTGCGATCTTGCGTTCTCCCCGGTGCTAGGCATCCTACTCGCCGAATGGTCTCGGTTCTCCGGCGGCGTCGGGAAGATGAACGAAGATGGCAGCATAGTTCTATTCGCAAGCATCGCTTCCGTCGGGCGGGGCGTGGAGGGCATGGAGAGCTCTGGGGTTGGTCCAGCACTTGGGGCTTTGGTAAGTATTGGCGAAGGGATTCTAAAAGGAGATGGCATCCTCGCGCTCCTGGTTGCGGCCCTGGAGGACGGGTATGGTAGTTTCGATAGGGGCGGAAGGAAAGACGCGGGATTTGGCATTAATACTGGCCCTTGGGGAGTCGGTGCGGTGCTTGGACGGTCTGGGACAGGTGTTGCGGCCCTAGAGTAGCTGCTCATGCTGGTCGCAGGGCGCGAGAACTGCTTAGCTTCATGCGATGTGGAGATAGGGTTGTGAGGTGAGAGGTCTATCGACGGTCTATCGCGGCTCGTCTGCCTCTGGCGTGTCTGGGAGCCTCCAGCACGATATCCAGCAGTACGAAATTGGGGATCCACATGACCTTCGATTTTGCCACCATCGTCGTCTTCTCGGTCGCTTTTTGGATAGACGCGTTCATGTTCCTCTGGGTTGCCGTCCCCTGCACCTCTTTTGTTCCTACCGGTACTGCTCTCCCTAGCCTTTCTCGCTTCTGCGCGTCTCCTTTGTCGTCGCTTCTTTCTCTCCTCCTCCCTCTTGATTCTCTCGGCCTCATATCTTACGCATTCAGCTCCATACTTCCCCCATTGCCACCACTTCCCTAGCCTCGGAGGCGATGGGCTCGGCTTTCGGCGCCTCCTTCTCCTCCCTCTACCTTCTTGTGGATGTTGTCTGGGTCTAACAAGAGAGTCTGTGAAGTCGGGTCGTGGTGGCGGATCTCGCGCAAGACCTCGATCATCCCGTGCATCGTTTATGTTGAGCTCGTCGAAGGCGTCCAAGCTGAGATTTCCGTTTGAGGATGAGGGGGGCATAATCCCAGGGTCCTGATCGAACGACGGACCAGCCCCACCGCTCATCATGAAACGGCTGTCGTCATGTGGGCTTTGGTCATTATCCTCAACTTCTCCGCAGGGAGCGTGTTCGAAATGTCGATGTTTCTCCTTGTCATGAAGCCTATAGCGTCTTCCCGCAGTAGATCCTGGTCTTCGTGATCTTTGTTCATGCTCTCTTTCGTCGCTTTCATTGGTATAGAGCGCGTGCGGGCGTGATTTACGGTACTTTCGATGGTGGTGTCTAGAAGGGCCAGATTCTGTCTCCCTGCCACCGTTGGAGCCATCTTGGGATTCGGCGTCTTCTTCGCCATGTTCTTCACACCCCCTCCTCCGTGCTTGTTCATTTACCCAATTTTCAAGCTGGGGCCTTTCGTTATTTGCGTTTGAGTTCTCCCTTTCCTTGCCTTTCGTTTTCCCGCTAGGCCGCGCCTTTCCCTTCTTCTCTACATGTTCATGGCAGTCCTCCAGCTCCCGGCTCAAGACTTTGAGTATGACTCCTGCTGCACTGTTCTTGTTAACCAGTGGAACAACCTTTTTGACGAGGGGCGCAAGACGAATCTTTGTCTCTGGAAACATGGGTCTCGTCATTTTGAATTTGCGAGTCAATGTTTTGTATGGATGAGAAGTCAAGATGAGGCAGGGAGGAATTCAGGGCTGTGTTATAGGAAAAGGGTATGCCAGCCACCTACTTGGCTCGTCAGGAATGACCAGGTCATCACGAGCGCTGGCAATAGAAAACGTGTTCATGCGTCATTTCTTGCAACATAACTTGACCCCGAGTGAAGAGAGTTGCGTGTGAGATTAGGACCTGAACAGGAGCGATAGAGTGGCTGGGGGTTCATTTAGGAGTACAAGACACCCCTCGCAGGCTGGATGGTAGAGAAGAGATACGAAGCAATATAGAGACCGGGGAGTGTAGGCCAGGGGGCGGTGGACGCATACATGGTGCTGGGATCTGGGATTCAAGTGGATTTGATAGTGCGGCTGGTGGGGGGGCACTAAATGACGGTAAGACACCCCTAGACAACAGAGGGAGAGGAGAGGGCGATGCTATAGATGAGAGGTCGTAAATCAGGCGAGATCAACATCAGATCAAATATCGAGCTTACAAGGAATATTCGGACGCCCGTCCTATTCAACACTCCTAGTATTTCACATTTTGCCTGGAGTTTGGACAATGCTCCGAAGCGCCACAAACCCACAAACAGCGACGAGGAAGTCCGCATACGTTAGGGCCCTAACGCTGTCGAAGAAAAATGAAAGACCGAAGCGATGTGTCTATTAGATTCTAAGCCCCTAGGGTTAGCCGACGGCACAAATGCGGTGAAGCTGTGAAATCTAGTACGGCATTCACTGGTTGTGGACGTCCCGGCCAGTCGATCTCGGGCATTTAAATCGCACTACGACTCACCCCAAATGCGTCTTCTCTTCACCATCGGACTGTTCGCCACCAACCTGGTACCCTACCTGATCAACAAAGCCTTAACGTACCTCACCTAGCCTTAACCCTTCTCAACATGTCATCCCGAGAAGATGGTTCCCCAAGCATGGCCACCGAGCACAACCTCGTTCCGGTGCTCTCACGCTTTCTGGTGCTGGCTCTAGATATCCAGCCCCCACAAGTTGCTCTGATCGAGCGCTACCTCGCGCACATCACCACGGAGGAGGGACCGACTCTCCAACGCCTCCTCGAGCATCCAGACCGGCCAGGAGACATCATTACGCCGGATGAGATCAATGCACTCGACCAAGAGGGGCAGATGGCGCTGTTGAACTTCATTTGTGGTCCAGAGCCATCGAGCGACACGGCCGTCGCGGAGAGCATGGAGATAGAAATGGATGAGGATGAGGCTGTGGAGAGCTATGCTCCTTCTAAGCAAGGCCCAAGTGCAGGCGAGACAACGAACGATCTCATCTCTGGCGACGAGATGGAGATGGATGAAGCTCCCGAACACCAGCCTACTCTTCCTACGCTTAATTCAGGCACGCGTTCTGGCGGAACTACGGACGGTGATCGTAAACGAAAGAGGGACTTGGAAGATGATGTGTAGAGCGAGATATTTCTAGAGGAATCGAGAGCCTCTAGGAATAGAGATGGGGTTTTTGGTACAAGGGAGATGATGGAGCTTTCTTCGATGGAGGTTTTCATAAGGCTAGTTCATCGATTCGAGAGGCTTTCGGTGAAAGTGACGAAAGCAGTCGATTACCTGGGACATCAGTGGGATTACTGTCAAACTGAGAGACTGCATTTCCTGTGCGATGTCAACAATATAATATTTAAGGTTACAGCGATACAACGAAGGAAGCTCTTGTCAACCAGACTTTAGTATCTCAATATCGACACTGTCATGCCACCGTCTGAAGTGCTTCAGTGTAGCCTATAATGTCCGGACAGAATGTAACATCCTTAAGACCATGACTGAGATATGTAATTTGCGCGTGTAACAGATTCCCTATAAAGCCCCCGAGCCAGCGTCTACTTCCAATGTCTTCGCACTGGATTGTGGGCTGGATGGGTATGATTTAATCGAATTTAGAGCATTTTGTATCAACGCTAGAAGAGAAATGACACTCCATAAGATGAAATGTCCTAGAAAGCTTGCCACTAGAATGCAGCTCTCATAGAAGAAGACAGCGAGTGTCGAAGTTGGTGAGAGAGAAGACGCTGACTCAGCGCTCTTGGCGCTGGCCATCTCAAACTCCACACCTGCAGCCTGCATCACTCACTTCCTAGGCCTTATCCGCACCAATGTTCACTGTTGTCGCGTCCCTAATCTTGATTCTCTTCAATAGACCATGATATGTTCCTGGCCAACCCTGGATGACCTCATCAGCCAGCACATTCCCCGCCCCATCATGCGCTCGATCCCACTCCTCCACCTGCATCTTCGGCACTTTTGCAATCGACGCGTGACACTACCGCCCTTGTCCAGCACCAGCGTCTCAGTTCGGATACTGTGCTTACCCAGCTGGGGCAGAATCCTCACCCAGAGGTAGTAGTACAAGACACAACCTAGAATGAGAGTGATACCTACGATACAGTACGTCGCGTACCAGAAGGAGACAGCGCCGCCGTCGTCTGGAGGACACCACGGCACGATGAGCAGGAAGAGGCATGCTAGACTGGAGAAGATGCCTGCAACATGCTAGCTTCGAACTCAGCTTTGGAAGGCCTTCTTGCGCCGGTAGCAGAGGAAGTAGATACCTATGATCATGAGGAAGATGAAACCTAGAGGCTACATGTTAGCTCTTCTGTGTCATTTAGAGGGTTGGTAATAGTCTTCATGGTTTAGTGGATCAGGGTACGATCGCAGATCCACGAGGGACAGATTTGGGACGGCGCCATCTTGGATTTGGAGAGGGCGAGGTCGTATCATTGAAGGGCTAATTAACGAAGGCGTGCTTCGTTGTGGAAATTCTGCCAAGATTCGCATTATCTATATGAGGGGTGGCTTAGAAGTATCACCTCTACGTAGTACGAAGTCTCAGAGAGCAACGAAGACGCAGGATGCTGATGTTTCATTACGAGCGATCAAGCTAGCCTATTTGCATGAGAGACCCTGTATCAGAACTTCTGTCTTTCTCTTACATCTCTGCTAATCATCGCCGAAAGTTGAGCTTGCTCTGGACTTGTCTAATCAGCCTCCGTGAATACACACATTCTCATGAAAAACAACCTCTTTCTGCACAACCAACAACCACAACCTCCAAACATCCCGATACTCATCGGGTTTCTCCCCCTGCACTTGCCGGCATTGTTTTCCACACTTCTTCGGATCCCCTTCATGAACATCGAGACCTCTTGGGCAAATATACGTCTTGGAATTCGAACGTCTCCACTGTGGATGGTACTCCACATCCACAAGTGACCCCTTAATCTCATGGATGAACTCCGGGCAATTGACTATAGCCGTCGTTGGAACTTCAACCTCCTTGATTTTGGTAACCAGCTTCACGGCCTCAAGGTACTTCTTGGCCTTTAACCATTCGGCTAGTGCATCGACACCAAAGCGTTCGGCTTCTTCCTGCAGGGTCTGATATAGGTTGAAGTTGTGCCCTTTTTCCTTGGACCAAAAGATCGGGAATTTAGAGGGGCATCGCATGAAGCGGAGGACGTGCTCGAACGTATCGCCATCGTTGTCGATCGAGTAATTAGACCTGCCACCAACCCGCGCCTCTGCGAAGAACGCTCGAAAGTATTTACTTTCGGTCTCGAGCGTACTACGAGTGGTACGGAATGTTCGCTCGCCGACTGTGAGGGTAATGAGCTTACGGCTTTCCATGGTCCATTCATCCGTTGCTGGCAGCGGATCGGTGGGGTTCTGTTGAAGGTCACCTAGCGCAATCTTTTCCGTCGACATAATTTGAGAGCTCAACTGTGTGTCTGAGCTGGGGACTGATGATTGCTGGACTGAGGAAGGAATAGCTTCAAGCCCATGGAGCCCAGGTATTTATTGACGTCAATGTTAGGCTTTGGACAAATGTTTGATTGATCCGCATAGGACTTTCGCCTTCCAAACACCCATAAAGAACCAGAACGCGCAATCTGGAAGCTCTCCGTATCTCACAGCCTTTGTCACGTGGCTGTAATGCTAAGCTTTCTGTATTTGCTCAGCATTTCCAGCAAATAGTGGACTTGATCGTCTGATGTCTCCAGCTTTAGGGTCTAGTCGTAGGCAACGAACGACATTGCAATCAAACCCCTTCGCTGTGGCACGGAAGCGGCGCGGTGATGGCTGGAATACATGACACATCTCCGAAGCTCTCTTTCGATATCCATAAGAAATTTAGATGGCCAACATCCTCACTCGGTCGAGTGACGTGTCGTAGAGGCTATCTTCTAACCATTGGAATTCCGCTCTCTGGACAACGAGCTTGACGAGAAGCTTCCAACTGACCTCCTTCAGTTTGCTAGCATTTGCTTTTGAAGTTCCCTCTCGCTTGGTCATATATTCCACCTCAAATTGAAAGCTCTACAAAGCGGGATACAGCCACCTTAACGCGGATTTCATGCTAGAGTACTGTGCCGTTGTTCTTGTCGGCGTGTCTGAGTTTTATGTTACCGAAGGAACAGGGACTGTCCGAAAAGGTGGATCGATGCACAAAGAAATGAACCTGGTGACGTATTTTTCGATTTCGGTAATCCGTTCCTAACGAGACTGTAAATCCTTTTTGGATTACTCGTGTTAGGGTTAAGGCCATCTAGCGTTCTCCGACCAAGACATATGCGACGTAATAGCCGCTACTGATCTCCGCGCCGCGGTGCTCGATCAAGCCACATAGCTCAAGCCACATAGCTTATAAGGCGCGGACCTTTCATCTCGGAGCTTTATCGTAAGCCGATCAAGGGGAAACTGCACATGCTCTCGTGTTTTTTTCAGCTTGTCGTTGAAGCGTTTGAGATGCAACATAAGAAGTGGTGGCATGCGTATAATCGTCCTTCGCTGGGTTGCTGGCGAGAGTTCTGTACATCTTGGAGATCCACACTCATATGGAGGTAGTGTAAACTCGTCCGCCCTCCCTTTGAGATACATGTTCTCTTCGAGGTCTTGTTCGGAATGTTCCCGCTCTATGAGACCTTGAAGATGTATGCTTTCCTTGGATGCTACATTATCCAATGCTATGCTCAATAAAACGCGGTTGTCTTCGACTAGTTTAGACGACATTTGCAAGGTCCGCATGTCGTCACTCATTCGACCATAGTCGCAACTATTTCCATCATGATGGACAAATTCGATTCGTAAAAGGCAGCGTACCATTTCTGCTATCTAGGCATTGAAGCTATCGGCAATTGCATCGTGTTTTCGTCGTGGCAGAGTGTATGACATAGCGTGTGCAGGCTAAACATCAGGAAATCGTGGCTGTCCTGTTATTTTTTTGGGTGACCAGGTCCCCAGCCGCCTGTGTGTGTTGAGGATCGCAACACTGTCACACGGACTGGATTTGGCGTTAGCAGCTACCAGGATATCCGATAATGCTTTGGGCATTTCCAGGAGGCCCCTCTCGTTCTGATAGAACAGTAGTGGTACGGAGGGTGGCAACTTTATGTCTCCACCGGCAGGCCTCACGTACTTCCCCTGCATTCCTATCATTAGACTATACAGCGGTCGTCGTAGTACTTGGATAACTGCGCTTGCATACTACGGTTCACGTCGATCGTCGTAAGTCAAATGCATTTCTCTCCACTTACGCAAGTGTTGCCTCCGTTCTTAATCCCTATCCCCTGAAAAAGGGAGCTCGGAGGCAGCGAGCTCGACTTTCCCATTTTGGCATGATTCGTAAAACGTAGAGGATTGACGCACTCATGTCTACGTCTGGCTGGAGTTTTAAGTGTAGACCCTCTAGTTGCTCCACGTCTTCATCTTCAAGAACTACAAGATGAGATCCGGGGAGTGCAAGATTTGGCTCCCATTATTTCTTCGCCCATGCCTCAATATCTCTACCATTATCGGCGGCCCTTGTCAACAGACCGAAAAATCTCTTGTAGCTTCCACAAGCCGCCCATCTTTGATTGGGCGCTGCGAGCTCTCCTTCGGGCGCGCTACGGATGGAGTCCAAGTGCTACAGAAAGACTTTGCCGCTTTTCCCATGAATAACTATTCTTGAATTTTGCTGTACATGGCTCCTACTTCGAGGATTGCTACGCTGTGTCTTCAAACTCGAAGTCCGTCCCAGATAATCCCGCTTTCATGAGCCAATTTTCGATTCACTGTTCGAACACGGCGGATGACTTTTGAAAGCCAACCCCATCCGCAAAATAGTATCTCTCCCCTCCATAATAACCACTCCATCCATCATAACCATTCATAGAGGACATTCCAACATCCACCACGGCCCAAGAAGCACATCTTCCATAATTGTCCACCATCAAGGAGATGATTCTCCACTACGTTCCAACCACACCATTCAACACCACTCAAGAAAGAGTCAAACCCACCACTCCAAAGCCCATCGAGGACTCCACAAACTCTCTGGCAACGAGTCCACAGCCGAGCCCATCCAGAAAGCTCCACCCAAGTTTCAAAAAAAAAACCCCCCCTCTAACACATGTACGCATGTCTATGGCAAGGCACTGTACCAGTGAAGCCGCCTGTTATTAATATACTCATCCTAGCCCAGGAGCGAAGCCGCAAGCATGACCAAGCTTCCAAACCCATCACTCCCAGCATACCAATCCTCCCACTCCGCATTAGTTGCCGTAATCCCGCTCATATCCTGCATCAACCGTACCAATCGCCCCTCTGTCGTCACACCAAAGATCTCTCTCGCCCGCAGCGTCGACTCGAATTCCTTCTGCCAGACTTCTTCATTCGGGGCTTCCCAAAGAACCTTCTTCGATGGCAGTGGCACGAGCGCAAAGCCAGGTAGGGATGAGCAGGTCACGGCCTGACCCATTTCGACGAGCATGTTCAACATCCGTGCAATGACGACAAAGCTGTAGCGCGAGGGCCGGTTAGAGAGCTGCTTTTCTTCTGCGAGGGAATGATAGGGGGCTTACCGGCGTCTTGATTCATAGAAGACCCAATCTTGCCAGGCCTGTTGTTCCGATATCATGATATTCTTGAACTCTCCACCGCCGATGCGGTCGGCTAGGCGCTGGCAAATGGACTTTCAATATAGATGTTAGAACATGCTGCTATTGGATGGAAGAATGCACTTACGTTTACAGATATCAGTAACGGTACATCGAAGTCATTGTGCTCCGTCTCCCCATCCACCATTCGCATCAAGGTGTAAATCACTAGCGCCTGTACGGCAGCAAGGAGCTCCCAATTATCGAAACTATCGTGCTAGCAGGTCCATGAATTAATGTTCCAAACCATGGGATGCATGAAGTCAACATACCTGGAACCACAGCCGCTCGTGCTCCATCCTTATCGTCCTCCACAGTAGCTTACTAGTTCCCGGCGTTCTCTCCGCGAACATCCGCGACAAGCTCATGCAATTTACCAGTGTTTCAGGAATCTCATGCTCTTTGCCGGGGATGTTCGAAAAGCATCTTGGGTGGATGAATGGTGGGAACGTCTCCTTTCGAGCCATCATAGACGTGAACGAGCCGAACATTCGTGTGAGAATATCTGCGCTCGATTGTGCGAGGGGTTTACTCATTGACCTGCGTACCAGAGACCTCGAGTTCCCCGGGCTGAACAAGTCCGGGATGCTAAGTGGCAAGTCGAGAGAAAGCGGCGATAGCTGCCGACCGTTGTCAGGGTAGTATACATCTTCAATCCTGGGCATCGTATTCGGTATGATCGGGAAAGGCTCTTTCCATTTGAATATGCACATGTTGGATCCGAATGTCTCGTCTTCGATCCCACCGTACAGAAGGGGATCCAATGCAATGACAGACGTGCTGCTCGACGGGGTTGCTTGAGAGTCCATAGCGTCTTCGACGTCCCCGCTACTCGAATTGCTGGCCTCAGGGGTCTCCCACGACTTCCGGCCGATGTTGCGCAAAGCCCCTTCAGCGTACTGGCAGTCAATCTTCTTTAATGTGCAATTTGAGCACTTTGGGAGTCTGGAATCACATCGCGTCTTGGACCTCGTGCACGCTGCACACGATCTTTTTCTCGAAATGGTGTCGCAATCTGCTTTCGATCGACAATAGTACCCGTGTCTTTTGAATGTGGAAGCTGCCAAGCATTAGAATAATGGCTGGACATCATGAATTGAAGAAAGAACTCGGACAAGTACCCTTTTCGAACGACTTTCCGCACCTAGAACAAATCATTGATGGACTTTGAGACATGCTGACAAATTTTGCCAAAGTTCGTTGACGTTCACGCAGTTCCGTTGGGGGGGGGGGGCGTTGTCTTTATTCATCTTTGGACCTGTTCACGGAGGTCCGTGAAAGGATTGCCGACCTTATTAATAAGTAAGCGACTGAACCTTGCAACCAACCACATCAGTTGTTGAGATATTGATGTTTCGTGTGGACACTCACACATATGCCAGGGAGAACTGACCAGAACGCAAACTTGCAGCATAATGAAGCCTTTGCCTTCACGCGCTCCTTTTAGACATCGGAAATTAAATATCGCCAAGCTTTCCTTCTCTTTAACCGGGTATTATGCGGAGTTTCAGGAGTAAATCTTTGAGAGTTACAAAAAACACATTAAAAGAACCACCAAGACAGATTATACACGATGAAGACAAACTAAACATTCGTCAAGGGTGATTCTTACGCCCCCTTTGCCTCAAAGCCATCAAAGTCTTACCATGAAAGCAACGCCAACGCGCCATGCTCACGGTCCACGCGGCTCCACCCACATATAACAGTCGCCCAATCTCCAAGATGAGCATCCCCACCAGTTTCGCAGATCCATCAAACAGTAGCCTAGCCCCCAACCGCTACGATCTCGCTCCCAATCTTTCCCAGTCGCCAAAATCACCACGACCCAGGAACTCACCACCATGCCTTTCCAACCCCTGCGCAACTACTTCTGAGAACTCTCCTCCGTACTCATCATCATCATCCTCTCAACCTTCATCATCCTCTCAACCTTCACCATCCTCGTCCAAATCCCACCCGAGCTTAGTTGTATAACTAGAAGCGATCGTATCGAAGAAGTCGTCCCGTCACTGGTCTACTTCGCACTCGGCGCGATTACTCAGGCCATCACCGCGACAGAGGCCGAAGAGCCGGCCGCCGATACACCAGCGGACGTCGATAATCTTAGCCTGGCTTTGAGGCAGACACGAAGATTGAAGGGCTAGAGAGGGTCATAGAGATGCTGAGGTGGAGGTGTCGGAGGTTGCGGCGGCAGAGGGACGATATTTGGAAGGTGGTGGATATCTCGGATTGTGAAGGTGGAGGGGCTGGATGTTATAAGAGGAGGTATGAGGGGAGTGGGACGATTGCGCAGCGGGTTGGGCGCGTGTTGAGTATTGTGGAGGAAATGGGGGACCCGTGGTGACAGGGCGTTGAGATGCCATGCACTAGGCAGGGGAGAGGGTTATCTGTGCGGAGAAACGCAGAAAAGCTAGGGGAGACATTGGGCGAGACTAAAAGGGAGGAAAGTTGCAACATTGGAGAAGGATAGAGTATAGAATGTGTATTAGTTTACTTGCTTCCTCCGGGACTCAAAACGCCTACCATGCAGCTAGGATCATCAAGCTAGATACACGGCCGAGATGCCCTCGTAACACCCCAAACGCCACGCCAAATCAAACTTACTCACGAAGTAGTGAATGCGACGGTAATCACATCCAGCTACGCGGTCCGTACGAACGCAGGTATTAAGAAGTAGGCTACGACGCCGATGAAGATGGATAGCAGGAACAATTTGTTGATCGGGAAAGGAAAACTGTGCTTGGGATCGATAGCGTCAAGATTTTCGTGATGAGGATGAGGCTTGTGATTGCCGTTCGATGATACAGCTTTCTCGGACACTGGCTCTTCGAATTTCTCAACTGGCGCGTCCTCATTTTCGTGCGGTAGAAGATGCGCGGGTTCCTCCTCTGTAGAATCTAGTGGCGTGTCTGTCTGTTCGCGGGTATGAAGGGGCGCAAGTTCATTCACAGCCGATTCGTGGGATCTGTCCAGCTTCTCATGCGGAAGAAGTGGGGAAGGTTCATTCTCCGTTGAATTCAGCACCTCATGTGAAAGAAGGGGAGATCTTTCAGACTCCGGGGTCGGCTCAGGATTTTCTACGACCTCGATGGGTTGAGATATCTGATCCGCAGTCGGAGATATGATCGTTTCGTCTGGCAAGGCATCAGCGGCCCTCATTTCGTGAGCCACCTTTTGCCCTGATGTTGCCTCTCTCCCGAAGTCGTCGCCATGGCTGGGTTCATCATCTTCCTTTTCAAGGACAAGGCGAGGAACAGTCGCATTGTCTGGGCTCGCGACTTCTTCAGCAGGAGCCTCGGGAGTGGTAATGTATTCGGCGTCGGGCTCTGCATCATGCGCACGCTTCACTGCGTCTTCTTTGAGAGTCTTGGGCTCAACATCACCATAGACAGGTGCATCGGCGTCCGGTACCTTCTCCACTACCGTAAATGGAACTGGCACCGAAGATGCCGCCTCTCCTTCTTTCGTCTCCTTCTCTTCCTCTTTTTCTTTGATGGTCTCCTTGGAGATATCAGCTTTAGTAACGTCTTCAGCGTCAGGAACAGTATTTTCAGTGCTTGTCGATTGATCTTCGGAAGCCCGGGCTTTCGCTGGTTCCTCGATGCCGGTCGATTCCACGAAAACGGCGATAGGGATTGGTGGATTGAAGAATTTGCTATCTTCTTTGGCTTTTTCAACATTATTCTTCTCTTTTCCGTCTCCATTCTCCTCAGTATTCTCCGCGGGGGCATCCGATACGATGACGTACTCGGCATCGGGCTCAGCATCTTGAGCGCGTTTCGACCCGTTTGTTTCGAGACTCCGCGGCTCAACGCCAGAGTAGATTGGCGGCTCGACATCTGGCACTTTCTCTACGACTGTGATGGGAATTGGTATAGAGGACGGTTTCTCGTCTTCTTTGACCTCCTCCACGCTCGCTTTCTTTTCAGCGTGCTTAACATCTTCAGTAACCCCCTTATCTTCAACTATCCCCTTGTTCTCAGATTTGGTAGAGTCCGAAGTGGTAGAGCCGTCGGAAGTGGGAGTGATTTGGAATGATCCTGTTCCGTTGGATGTGAAGTCGTCTGCAAGCGATTTCGGGGCTCCGGACTGATCGGCAGTGCCCTTGTGTTCTTCCACGGTTTCTTCCTCGCTATCTTCGCTATCCGAAGGCTGTTCATTCTTGGCTTGGACGAAGATGACGTTGTTCACGTTCCCCGCGTTGTCGGTGACTGGAATACATGTCAGCGTCCATTACTGAATATTGTACATTGCTTCATCACGAATCCGTGCGAATCGAATGAATGCGTTGGCCAGTTGTCGAGATTGATGGTCTTTGGTCTTGTTCGGATTCATGAAGGTGTGTTGAAGCGCCCCCAACAGCAGCAAGAGAGTGTACACATACCTGTTTCTTTCTCCGAGTCAAGAACCCACCAATCATCATAACCAAGCCGGAACTTGTATTGGTATTCGCCGTCCTTTACATCCTCAAAGGTCTTGTAAAATATTTGGTCTCCGTTCTCAGTCGTTTCGTCGCGGATATCCATCTTCCATATCTGCCACTGGACCAGCGAGCTGGTGATGAAGACAGGGGGCCTCATCCCCTCCCGGGAGAAGGTTATCGTGATAGAGGACGTCATGGTTGATGGTATCGTGCCGGGTGATGGAGTTGCCGCGGGCGTTGCACGAAGGAGGAGGTCGACAGAGAGAGGGATCAATCCGCGGTGGCTCTGCGAAGTATCCGGACGGTGGAAATGAGACACTTGCGCCTTGTATCGGCTTTCAGAGATGCATTGAAGCGCTCTACGTAATGGCAAATGAGCGGATCGAGATGAGGTGAATGGGTGAGGTAGAGATGGAGAGAGCACGCGAACTCATCGAGCTCCCCCGCCGCAAGCCTTACGACAGCTATCTAGCTGCAGCACGGAGCAGGGGTCGAGGCAGGTATTATCTCACCACCTATCTGACCTGCGTCTCTACTTCTCAGACGGCGGGAGAGCACAACGGGGCACCCGGAGCGCGTCATTCTAGCAACTACAGCCCACCCAGGCGGCCATTCACTAACGGGTTCCGCCCCTTGGGCCTCGCCAGCACAGTCGTTGACGCCGCATTATGGCACGGCATGGTCGCAAAGGTAGTACGAGGTGACGTGACCTGGACTGAGCAGCTGGGCGGGCCACCCCACTAAATCCCGTTGTTGCCCCCCTGTCAAGCTGCTGATCCATGCCAAACATCGCGCCTCGGGCCAAGGTCAACACCAAGCTCGCTATCCCGACTCTCTCCGCCTTGTATTCAGCGCACCCACAAATCCTTTATTCCATCTAAGCACGCCAATCAGGGCAACCAGGAGCTTCGAGATGCAAGTCTTTGTTTGGATTTAGCTTGTGGCATCTTGCTCCCCGTGTCTCGATCCCAGCCTACGAAACAGAACCACGGCACTGAATCCTGTGTTCGAGGTTACATCGATGACAACGATGGTTTGACCCGTCCATTTCAGTCCCTCCAGCCTTATGATAGGGAGTAAGAGGTCGCCTATCAATTGTACCGGCAAATTCACTACGAAACAACATTCCACAGCTTGTTAATAGGAATACAAGCGGTGTGTAGAATGATACTTCGATTGACATATATGTCACACAAGACAACTATAGTACATGTACAAGTAACAGTGCCCGTCTCGACACCACGTGCCGGCCCACAGTACCAGAGTACCAACGATGCCAGAAAATTTTATTTCAGTTATCTCAAGATGCTTCGTCATATACATCTCTATTCTCGCAACTCAACTGGTTGCGCTAATAGCTATCACTAATGTTGGTCCTCGGACTTTTCTGTCTTCGTCCTCGTTTTCAATCGAAATCTATTAATGCTTCCTTCTATCTAGCCGCATTCATAATTCAACGTTGGCTCGAGTAGCTCCTCAATTACGAAAGCATCCCAAAAATCTGGCGTGTACCGACTCATCTTCTCAATCCTCGCTCCGTAAAAGTAAAACAACATACGTATGGCTGTGCCCGGTCCGGGGTAAAGTTTAATTAGATAGCTGGAGACTCGTAGCGAGTACGTCTTTTGGGACCATTCTCGCGCATTATTGTTCCTATCATCCTTGAAAATGCATTTGAGAATTCTCGAGATATCGGAGATCCCTCATCGGTCGACACCTGCAACCAGGTATCAGAGTCACGTGATTGTTTGAGGAAATCTCTTTCGGCATCAAGGATGCTGTCTCTAAACCGGCAGCTCCTGACAAGCCTCCTGCTGGGTGTTACTCTCAGGCTAGTGAGCTGAGATTGGTGTTAACTGACCATTCTGATCAGCAGCACTTTTAGCAATCGGGGTACTTTGGACCTCCGTCGTATGTCCTGTCAACGTATTCCATCACTTGATCGGCAGCCATACTTTGAAGACTAATTCTTTAGTGTATTCATGATATAAGAAAATGCGCGAAGCGCAAAGAGTCACTTCTTGCAAATCGACCAACCACCCAGAAAACTCCTTCCTAAATCACTTTAAACGTACGGGACGGTATCGTTACTTCTCTTCAAAAAAACGAACGCCTTCAGCAGACCAGCCGTCGCAGCATCATCGCCCTGCCACCAAACCCGACTCTCAGCGCCCTGAATCTTTTCCAATCAAACTAAAACCCGACATTATTGGGCGAGAACTTGCCCGTCGAATACTCCACCGTCGTCGTCGTAGTCTGGACGATATGCGTCTCGCTCCCACCATCGCTCTCCGCTGGATCACGGCCCCTCTCGTTAATCGTGATAGTCCCATCCAGCTCGACATCGTTCGTCTTATCCATACCCACGTAAGTGGAGCGGCTGCGTGGGCCCCGGGTAGGCTTGCTGCCGTACGTCTCGAGGTCCGAATGCGCAGTGCGATAGGCCTTGCGTGGGTAAGCGTCGGATTGATGGCCGCTAGATTCGCCGATGAACTTGGGCGAGACGTGGCGGAAGAAGAGGCGCAGGACGGGGAGGGAGCCGCAGATGATGACCAGGTTGGCTTCGACGACGATCCAGATGCAGGGGATACTGAGGGCCCACGTTTGGTCCAAGTCCGTAAGGGAGGGAATGATGACGACGAGACGGATGATGGAGGTAACGCAGGTTCTGCGGCGTGCGTTAGTTTCGCATTCATTCTTGAACGGTTCGGACATTCCAGGCTTCTTGATCAAGAAATAACAGAGGAATAGGGGGGGCAACTTACAGTGAACCGAGAGTAAACATCGCAACGAGGCCAATTTTCTGAATTCGCGGCATTTGCAGCCTAACGATCATGGGGATAGGGAGCGTCAGAAGCGTCAGATCCGTGGCAACGTTCACCACGGCAGTCATGATGTAAATGATCGTCCTGTTAATGCAGGTCCCCTCGGTGATCAGAACGTCCCAGTTCTTTGCAATCGGCCGGCACGGAAAGATCAACGCGAAAATGATGGCGAAGCTGTATCCTATGACAACGAACATGACGATGTAGACTGCGATCTTGAACCATTGAAGCGGTGAGAGCTTGTAGTAGAAAAGCAGAAGGGAGAACTTTGCAAGTCCGAGGCATGGCACGTAAAGAACGGAGGCGGACATGATCAACTGCAGGAAGTTAGGAGATGAGTCGGGGTATGAAGATCGAAAGGTGCGTACGACGCTGAAGTAGTTGAACCTTGGGATGGTCATCTCCCAGGCGTGGACGCCTGAGGATTTGGTGAGCCACAGGTCTGTATTCAGTCAGTCAAACCCGCGCCTTTTGTGGTTTATTGAAGTTACATACGAACAAGAATGGATTGCGTCGCAATTCCAAAGCACTGCCAAGGAAACAGGTAAGTATCTCTTCCGTTGTGCTACGAAAATGAATCTAGGGTAGTTACCCATGCAATGCAAAGACAAGCTAGAATCTAACATTAGTCTTCGAACGTGAAGTTTGTCGGGAGTATTCAGACTCACCATCCTCAAGCCCAAACATACGGGCCAAAACGGTCTTCGTATAAATTCGCATACTCAGAAATGAGAAGCTGAGCACCATGCCAACTCCGAAGACCCAGTACCCAGCAACCTCCCCTTTCCTCTGAGGATGGTCGAAGTTTACAACATAGCCAGTAGGGGCAGGTATCAAAGCCGGCGGCCAGGTCGAAGTTGCGGTAGCCATAGTTTGTTGTCAATGTCGAAGGGGTCCGTCTAATAAGGGCCCTCGATAGTCACGGATATGGCACCGCTGAACGAAAGTCAAGCTCCACCTAAGGATGGCTAGCAGCCGTTGGACAAGGCTAGACACAATACGAGTGCGAGTCGTGGTCTAAATTAAAGTTCAAAAAAGGCGAGCGGGCCGGGCGGGACGGGATGAAGTACACTGTCCAAAGTTCCTTTTCCGAAAGGGAATCCAAAGCACAAAAAAGAAAGTGAAGTCTAGTGGAGGCCAAATTGTGTCTGAGGGCTCTTTCTGTGTTCCTGCATGCCGGCACACGGGGACGCCGGAGCCGTTTCACGTCCTGGAGGGGAGAGATCCACGCCAGATCTACCCAATACAGTTGTGGTCCGTGATGGATGATGCCCTACTGGTTTGAGAGGATAGCTAGCCATGGATTTCTTGCAATGGTATTTGCCGGCATGTATCATCACTCACTGCTCACTGTTCAGTGCCAAAACTACCTCTCGATACGATATACTACCATTATACGGGCTAATCAGGCACTCGTTCTAGCAACATGAATGGAGTCACGTCAATCTACCAAGATTAGGGTATTCTCTCGAGAGTCCCCCTGTCTCTTGCTTGGATCTAGAAAGCCCCGCTGAACAGTTGGGTCTTACCGAAAGCAACATCGTCATCTCAAACAGGGACATCCCTACCAACTTCGGGCTCCTACAGGCGGCGACACTTGCTAACACGCATCGCAATTGGTAAAGAAAACCTTGGCAGCCCCTTTGGCCCATTGTTCCTTGAAATCCCAAAGTCTAGATTCAAATCCTGCTGCACGGTGACCCGAACACAACCTCGGGTGCTCTCTCGTCACGCTTTTGCTTTTTGTTCCCATCACCAAGAGCCGCTGCATTAGCGTTTGAGATCGACCTTCATCCCGGTGTGCCGGGCGCCTTCAGCCTCGATGCCACGCGAAGCAGTGATTGAGGCGAAGAGGCGTTTTCTCGCGCTTACCGCGCTCATAATTGGAATCGTCAAGCTGGCGAGGGTACGGTGACCCCCACTATCGCTATGAATTAGCACCTATCTATGTATAATCATCGACATACAGCCTCTCTGTACGTCCCATAACCTAGCGCAGAAACTGAGTCGACCCCTGTGAACTTCCTTTTCTAAGCTAATAATGAGCCGACTTGAAGGTTCATTGGCTAGGCAGCTGTCATTCCCCCCTAAAGGCGTCCGGAATCGTTACCTCCTACGGTAATTTCGTGGCTTGATTTTGGCGCTAGGTCACCGGACGTACAGAGAGGCTGTATATCAGGGAGGAGAGTCATTTCCCACGGGTTCTTCGGGGGCGGGGAACCCCGTTGAGAAGGAAAAGACGTTGTGGGGCACTGCTTCAACTAAATAATCGGATACAGAGGGGTGTACCAAGCATGCTGTCGGCATGCTACCGGCATGTCATCGGCAAACACTCTCCGATCATACTGTCGGTCTGGAGGAGGTTGCAGAAAGTGACCGGCTGGCCTCCCCAGCCAATGGCAAAAGCCGTACGCTCAACATGCAAAGACCAGCTTACTGGTCATCTTACCTTGTAGCGGCCCGTATAATAAAAAAGCATGGTGACTGACTCTTCCCCGCCAAGCATGGATAACCGGCCCCGAGACGGGTTACCCGCCACGGCCGCTGACGACTCGAGTACGACAGGCACGGTGCAGCTGTTTCTGGGGTTTAGCGAGCTGTTATGTATGCACATACTTTACAGTAGAACTCCCAAGGCCCACAAGTTTGCACTTAAGCTTTTGTCGGTGAGAAGTGAGAATGCTCCATTCGAGGAAGAACGAAGCATGAGAAATCCGGTCAACACGTCTCAAGCTTGAGTCTCTTAGCCACCGAAGCACTTCATGCGTGTTAATAGCACGTGATCAGCCTACTTCAGCTCCTTCAGAGAAAAAGAACAACTACCCAGTCCCTCCAGACGCACGTCTACGTTTGCGGACGCCAGAGCTAGGATGTGGCGCCTGGGCCGCTCGCCCCGGAGCTTCCGCCACGCCTACAATAGCACCGCCCTAAGGGGCCGCAGGGGCTTGACAGGTCTCCACTCCCGCTAGCGCGTCAATCATCTGCCATTCGGGGGTTTTATTGCCATGCGCCATCCCTGCAAGACCCGTCGGGCCGGGAGCCGTGCCCTCTCCCCGGTCTGTCGAGTGCGCTGGCGGGAACCTCATGCTCGTCCGTCCACCCAGCGCTGAAGATCCTGCACACATCATGGTGGCGCACTCCTTCGGCGCACCCCCTCACTTCCCCCATGCCGGAGGTCCGCAGCTAGATCCACAGTGAGGCTTATGGCCTCTGGAGATCGGCCTGTGTTCAGCTAGAGCTCTAGCCTTTGGCGTGCGCAGCTGATTGAACACGACTCGTTCTCTGCCGTTGCGCCGTTCACCTTGTCCTGGTGATAGTTCGGATATTCGATAGCGACCACGGCGACGTCTACTGATTGTTCCTGCATGGTCCCGGGATGGGCTAGATAGAGGGCAAAGCGAGCCATTCATCGAAGAGCAGCCCCGGAAGCCAATCTGGGCGTACAAAACAAATAATGGCAGCTCCCAGATATCTCGGACACCCAGCCTTCCTGTGCATTCCTTGTCACTATCCCCTCCACCCATCATGAGGTTAGGTTTCAGCACTGCTGCGCTGTTGAGTGCAGCTGCAGGCTCTCTTGCATCAGACCTTGCCAACGTCACAGTGATCAAGGACTGTTCCTTTTGCGTAACCCTCCCCTCGCTGTTCCAAAAGCAATTGAAAGACCACTGATCGGCCCAACAGTGTGGTGCACTTGCGGATGCGGGCCTCGCCAGCCGGATCACCTACCCAGGGTCAACCATCTACGAGGAAAGAGTGGATTCGTACTGGTCTCTGACTGCCCAGTTGACACCGTGGTGCATCCTCCAGCCACACAATGCCAAAGAGGTGTCCACTGCTGTCAAGGCTCTAGTCAAGGCCAACAAGAAGGAAGAGTGTCTGTTCGCCGTCCGAAGTGGAGGCCATACGACTTGGCCCGGCGCAGCTAACATCGAGAATGGGATCACCATTGACTTGGGCTTGATGAACTCAACTACCTACATTGCAAGCAACAACACTGCACAAGTTCTTCCTGGCTCGCGATGGCTGGGTGTGTACGAGACGCTCGATGCTCTCGGAATCGCCGCAGCTGGTGGCCGTGCCGCAACTGTCGGAGTCGCGGGGCTGGCAATTGGGGGTGGCAATTCGTTCTATGCTGCTCGCAAGGGGTTAGTGTGTGACAACATTGCCCAATATGAGGTAGAATTTGTATCAGCATGCTGTTTACCCTTGCTAATCGCCTCACAGGTTGTTCTGGCCAGCGGCGAGATTATCTACGCCAACAACAAGACCAACACCGATCTTTTCCGCGCTCTCAAGGGCGGTACCGGTAACTTTGGTATCGTAACCCGACTCGACTTGGAGACCTTCCAAGGTCAAGATCTCTGGGGTGGCGTCGTCACCTACCCCAATTCAACCACCGACGCCCAGATCGAAGCCTTTGTGAACTTTGGCAACAACATCGTGAACGACCAATACGGGTCTGCTATTGTCATTTGGCAATACACCACCCAGAATGCGGCAACTATTCTCATTAATGCGTACGAGTACACCAAGCCTCAAGCATGGCCTCCTGCCTTCGATGAGTTCAAGGCCATCCCTAACCGGACATCCGACTCTATGCGCTTTACCAACATGACTGATCTTACGATTGAACTTGAGCAAGCCGCCGGCTATCGGTATGTCAATCACGTGATGATATCCGTCCTTCACTAACATCCCCTCCCAGCGACACATTCATCACCCTCACCTTCGTTAACGACAAGCGCGTCGTCAAGAAGGCCGTCGACCTCCACAACATCGTCGTCGAAAAGGTGAAGGCTCACAAGGCCACCGGTAACTGGACCGTGCAAGATATGGTCCAGCCCATCCCGACCATCTTCACCAAGCACTCTGTCGAGAAGGGTGGAAACATGCTTGGGTTGGACCGCTTTGACGAGAACCTCGTTCGTACGTGCAACTCGTCCCTATGCCCTATCTTCCGTTACTCTGTTCTAACAGTATGTCCACAGTCTTCCAAACCTACCTCGCTTGGGAGGGCGCCGAGCAAGACGACTTCTTCCAGAGCACTGGCGATTGGTACATCGCGCAGCTCAGTGCCTATGCGAAGAGCATTGGCAAAGACAACCCGTATATCTACCTCGATTACGCGTATGCGACGCAGAAGCCGTTGGAGAACTATGGCGCTGTAAACATCGCGAAGATTAAGGCTGCGGCGAAGAAGTATGATCCTACGGGCGTGTTCCAGAAGCTTGTACCGGGCGGGTTCAAGATCTCGAAGGTGCAGTGAGATGTTGATTGTTCTTTGGGGCGTTGGAGGCAAGCTGATGGAGGCTCAAGGTTTACGAGGGGGTTGAGGTGGGTGCGACGGAAACAGGTGTTGTTGATGTCGGACTGAGAGGTAGACTCTTGATAACAGAAGAAGAAACGAAAAGCTACACATGTATATTCTATCTACTAGTAGATCTTTCACGGTCCCTAACTTCTAATAAGTAATCAACCACATTCGCTCGTTTCACTCTCTAATCTTCTTATGCACTCACATTGCACTTCTCTGAAAAGACGTAATACTAATCTTACAGGACCCAGGTCTTCAAGCCCGTACAGATAATACCTCCTGGTAATTGAAGACGATTCTTTCTGACCCTGTACCGCTTGCCCATCCAAAGAGCTTGATGAACAAAACCCAAAAGAGCAAAACAAAAAAGTGCCTGAGAGCCCATCTCGCAACGCCGAACCGTCCCGCAAGCCCTCCTTGATTCTGGATATCCCACACCATCTACACCCGAACCCCTGAAACCCGTCAACCAAGCTAGCCTAGCCAGTCGCCATCTCCCACCCCCCCCCTCTTCCCCTTCACGCTTCAGAAAAGCCTTCGTGAGAACCGCAGACTCCCTGGATCTCATCCGGTGTCTCGTTGCCGAATCTCGGTGGGTCCGAATTCGAGCAAGCGGATTCTGAACATCCTTTCCCTCCGCAATGAGAGCAGTCTCGACTCTGGCTAATTATGACTCGTTTGCACCCGCAGAGGGCCCATTTTCGGTGGAAGGCGATGCAGGTTTTAGCGCGTTTGATAGCCATGCTGGTTGGTGGATGTGAGGTGTGTTTGAGGTTTTTGGAGGAAGGTTTGGCTTTGAGAGGGTGATTAGTATGGATAGTGTTCTTGAGATATTGTTGATAGTACCTGGAAGAGTGTAAGTTGCGGTATAGCTTGTTCGTGTGAGATCTGGAGAGGTCTTGGTGATGCGAATGATATTAGTAGGTTTGGAGATGGTAGAAACTTCGGCGTTTGTATGACCAGTGTTGGATGGATTGCTATAGAGGTGATGAAGAAGGAAGAAAGGCGTCTGGGGAAGTTTAATCTTCTTATACCCTTAGGTCGAGATGTTTTGACTCTTTGTGACCATATCGTGGAGCTCTGATGACCTAGTACGAAACACATGTAATCTCAGGAGTCAAGATTCGGAAAGGAGGAAGTATAAATAGCCCTTCTGACTGGATAGTTGAGTTTTCATGAAAGGAGCGATAGACCTTCGCTGTCAATATATTACATTTCCGCATCTCATAACTACTCTTGCACTCCTCCAAAAACCTGAAAATAAAACCATACTGAATGCAACAAACAAAGGAACCTAAAATCTAAATACACATCAAAAAAGGAAGACAAAAGAAAGCAAATTCCAAGAAACCAATCCAAACAAAAATACATGCCCGACTCATCAGCCATGCCGTAACCACATCCACTGCCCAAAAACCAAATTATTCACATCGCAGTCCTTAGACCAACTCACTAGAAACCCTAGCTGTCTCCCTAAGATCGGCCGCCCATAATGACCAATCCTAATCGGAGTCCGTAAGCCTGCAACCGCAAAATCGAGGACACTCCCGCCTCGTCTCCTGCTTTCCTGTTCTGCCACTCTTCGAGCATTCATATGATGAGTAGCACTTTCTCTTGCAATGAGAGCAGTTTGTGCCCTTGTAGACAATTTCATCGCCTCTGCAGAGGCATGCCCAGGTTCTATGAACCGTTATGCAGTCTTTGGCTGTGCCTGTCTCAATGATATCCCACATCAGGATGGAGATGGCGACTGGTTGGGAGGATGTTTTGTGTGGTGTATTGTAGCGTCGTTTCCGGTGGTTATGAGAGCTATGATTGGTTTTAGTATACATGTAATTCTTCTGCTAACGTAGTGTAATCAAAATCTTACTTCCGAGAACCAGGTTTGCTTTTCTTGGTGGATATGAAGAACGGAATTCCGATTGGGTTCGAAGATTTGTGAAGCCTAAAGTTCCTCTGTGAGTATTGATTTATACTCTAGCTTCATTGAACTCTTACCTTCAACGCAAATATCGCTTTCGTAGCCGAGACCGAGTGTCCGAGTTTACTGTATGGTTTCTAGAGGTATTCGAGGAGTTTGAAAAGTCTGGAGAAGATTTGTGATTGTATTGGAAGCTGTGTTGAAGATTTTCTCGGTGCGTTTGATGATGAAAAAGAAGAGAAGGGTTCGAAGAAAATAAGCCTTCTTATACCTCATGTCGAGAGGTCTTGACTCTTTCTGACTCCTCAAAAAAGCTACTGTGAGACTTTCCGTAACATGTCAAAGCTCGTGGATCGAGTTTGAGAGTGTGCAACATGACTGATAATTATGACAGATGCTTTAGCATCTATCAGTAGCATAACAGACATCTAGTGTTGATACATCGCATTCGCACATCGCATGATCTACTCCTATTCTACTCCGCATGTCCACAGATCGAAACCACGAAAAAGACAAGAATGTTCAAAAAACAGGAGAACCCAAAAAAATCAAAAAGACTTAAAAACAGAAAGCAAGGAGCCTCCAAAAAACCAATAAGCATTCAATAAAATCCGATCCATCGGAAACCCAGGATTGCAAGCCCTTCAAACTTCCACAAGCTTCCCTAAACGGCCATCACACACGGGGCATCCATATCGCATACGAAGCCCCTTCTTGCTAACCCCTTTGCACTTTTCGCAATCTTTCTGGCCGCAAGTCTCTGACTCATTCTCTGGCATTTCATACTCTCTGTCTTCATTAATACAATCCTTTATATTGCATTTCCTCTCTGTCTTGCACACAGAGCAGCCATCTACCTTATTGAGGACGCAAAAGGTATTATCGCACTTCTCATAAAATGTTGCAACCACGAAGCAGTCCTTTTGGTTCACCATTTTGGCAGTGTAGATGAGGAAGTCGATTTGGGCATTGGGTTATGGGATGTGGATGCTGGCCTTGCGAGCGGTGGTAATGGCTATAGTGGATGTTAATGTCCGCCCAGTTCTTATATAGTAGCAAAATGCGAAACGTTACCTTCGAGGATGAACTTTCCTCTTCTCTACCGAATCAAGTTCTGAAAATGGTGTGATGGTACCGAAAGACAGTCGAGGTATAGAAGACTTTCAAGGCTGAATTGGTGGAATGTTGTTCAATTTGATATGATGGAGGAAGAATTTGATGTGGAATACCGAAGCTCGTATTGAAAATTTTCGTTCGTGGGTGATGAAAGAGAAGAGTATACGAAGCAAAATTCATACCTTCTTATACCATCCATGCCGAGAACTTCTGACTCCCAACTTCTTCATGAGTGCGTCCGTGAGCCATCATGAAACAAAGCATCGTGCGTTGGTTTCGGAGGTAATCATGGGGAAATGTTGACCGTGCTCTGTGACTGGACCATCGACGGGTTTGATACAATGGAAATTGTACAACCTTTTGACTCAACAGCTGCATGTCGGCTGGGGCACTCCTCACGGCGGTATCGAGGGTGCAAGAGTGGACCTATCTAGAGTCATATTCGGGAGCACCACATGAAGGTTGACACAGTGGAAATTAGACTACCCTTTGACCGAACAGCTAGCTGTGAGCGGGGCCACTCCTCAGTGGTATCGAGCAAGCAACTATGAAGCCCGCAAAGTGAGATTTGAGATATGGCGGAACATGTACATTGATTCTTAGCGTCTTGCTCGATTCCATGCGCACTCGGTTGACACTGCGTGGGGTGCTCCTACAGGCTTTTAAATCCTAGACTTGATGTCAATGTTGCCGCAGCGGAATTTGGACTACCCTTTGACTGGCTGGCTACCTGATAGCTGAGGCCGCCCTCACAGTGGCATCGAGCGAGAAAGAGCAGAGCCCGAGCAGTCAGATATTCGTGTGCCTAACCTTATGACCAAGGACACTACGAGATGAGTCCCATTTCGAACACGAACCCATTTCTGGCACCAACGAGGCACATTTAGTCACAGAAGCAACATCCTTTCTATTCAAAACACTAACTACACGTCAGCGCCGAACATGAGACTCATGCACAAGTTCCGACTCTATCATACAGAACTAACTCCATATTCAACACAACCAATTACACACAGGACCCCTTAGCGTCGCCACTTATCGTACATATCCCGATCTTCCCTCCGCTTCGTTTCCTCCCGCTCAGCCATCTCAGCCTCTGCAAGTTCCCGTGCTTGTTTCTCCCAATATCTGACAGCGGCTGGATGGGCTGAACGGACTGGGGGGGCTGGCGGTGGTAGACCTGAAGGAGGAGGGGGAGCTCCATTTCTTCCGTAAGCCTGCGAATCGGAAAACTGCGAGGGCTTTCGCGAGTCTGTTTTCTTGTGTGGCGGTGGACCTGATGGACGAGGCGGGGCTCCAACTTTTCGGTAAGTAATAGAAGCAGGAACTTGAGAGGGCTTTCGCGAGTCCACTTTTTTGTGTGTTGGGGAGGCTGGAGGGGAGATGTGGTGCTTCTCTGCCTGGGGTGGCGCTCGACCCCTGGAGTAGCAGTGCTGGGAGTGGCGCTCCCGCGCTTTTTCGCTCAAAATCTCCTGTCCACAATCTTTGTAGGAGGATGGCTTCGGAGCTGGACGAGCGGTGTGGCGCGTACGCTCATCTGGCCGGTTCTCTTGCGGTGCTGAAGCGGTCTCAAGCCCGAACTGGGATTTGGCTGGTGGGGCATGAAACCTTCGCGCGAGTGGTTGCGAAGTCAGAGAAGGGAGTTTAGTTTGCTCACGCTTCACTTGTTTCTTCTCCACCCGTTCACGCTCCGCTTGATCCTTCTGAGCTTGCTGTCGTTCAGCTTCTTCCTTTTGAGCTTGCTCTTTGTCGGCTTGCTCGTTCGCCGCCTGCTCTCTCGCTGCCTTGCGGGCCTGCTTCAATTCCACCTCAGCCTTCCTCTCCTTTTCTTCTTTCGCTAGCTTGGCCAAGTGAGTCAGGCGCTCCTCATCTTGTTTCTTCAGAAGTGCAGCCTTCGGGTTCCGCGCTCGCAGCGTGGCCAGATACTCCTCATTCTCTTTCTCCTGGGCTTTTCTCACCTTGACATTTTCTCTCCATTTATTGCACCCTGGCGGTCGCTCGTTGGGTGAAGACGCCACAACGGGAGTCGAGGGGTCATATTTAGAGTCAACCGACTGGGATTGCAGCGGCTTTGCAACACTATTAGGAGTCCGGCTGGGAGCGTCCACGACCGGGCCTCCAAAGGGAGGTCTCGCCAGCTCCGTCATCGGTTTGATTGGTACCGAGCCCAAGGTAAGGGTTTCGGAGTCCTCCACCACCTCGCCCTCCTCCAGCTCGGACTCCTCCAGCTCGGACTTCTCCAAGCGCTCTGTCTCCCTGAGAGCCCATATTCGCTTCGGCGCCTGTGTTGCGTCCTTCTCTAGGATCTCCTGACGCGGCTCTGTGATTTGCTGCTCCAGAGGGTGGGCTTCGATCATTGGTGTATCGTTTAGCAAGCTCGAAGCCGAAGGGCTGTGGGGCTTCTCCGTTGAGTCTTGGCTGCTGGAGCCCAGAGCGAGCACTGGCGAGCTGCTGATTGGGTTGCTGTTGTTCTTGGGGATTGAATTAGTCCGTTTCGGTCGCTCGTCTTCGCTTTCGAAGCTCCTAAAATCGGATATACACTTACTCATACCACGATCATCGCGCTCGAGCTTTATAGCCTGGTGCCCTGAGTCAGACTTGTAGGCTGAGTCTGATGAAACAGAGCTATGTTGTGTGCCATTGTGCTCTGGATTGAGATTGGGCGAAGGGAAGCTGCCGAGTGATTGATCCATTGAGGCGACCGTGATGCGTTGAGTACCTGGCGCTGGATCGTGTGCAGTATAATTATTTGACGTAAGTTCCACGGTGGGCTGCGAGCGCGACTTAGCTTGTGCATCTTGTGCGTCTTCGTGGAAGATGGCTACTGAAGGCCGGACACTCCCGTGTCGAGGTGTAGCACGTCGAGCTACAGAAGAACCCCCCCTGGTCTGTAAAGACCGAGGCGTGAGCCCGGGAGGGACAGAGACGCTTGGCTTCGCGACCAACCGGGCGCCAGGAGATCTGATGTTGGCCTGTTCATTCAGTTGGCGTTGCAGCTGCTCGTTCTCTAGATGTGCATTGTCGAGCTCCTGCTGTAGAGATGAGTTTCGCTGCTCCAACTCTCGGATCATGCCCTCCGCTGCTATACGCTGGGCAATCTCCTGGTCTAGCTCGGATTGGAGAGACACTGCTCGTGCTTGGGATTCTTTACGTCGAGTGCGCTCCTCGTACGCGACGCTGTAGCAGGCATTCATTCCGCGCCGGATATCCTCTACGCCGTTGGCAAGGCGGCCGACAAGAGGGAGGTCATCCTCTGTGCCAGAGAAGCACCATTGTGCCTCCATATGTTGATCTATTGGCGGTGCAGTATCGTGCGGGGATGTGGACGGTGTTGATCCAAAAGGAGCAGTTGTTGCAGCTGGTGCCGTGGGTAGCGATGGAGGATATGATGACATAGTCGAGGGTTTGTCAGGAGGTTCGGCATCCCTGTGCGGGCTCATGCCTGCCATGTCGGTATCCATGCTGCGATTGAGCTGTTGTACTAGCTGGCTGAAGAATAGGATTTGTTTGATGGTGATGGCGGGGAGGTGTGTGGAGTGGAGTGGAGTGGAGCGGAGCGGATGGAGTGCAGAGTTTGGAGAGGAAGGAGGCGCTCTTTATGCGGCTGTCAACAGTAAACAAAGGTTCATGTCACCGCAGTGAATGCATCGAGGGCGAGTCTGGGTGGGCCCAATTGCTGGTTAATGCGATGTACGAAAAGATGCAAGTCAGCAATCGTGGTTCAACTAGCATCTGCACGTTCACTCACAGGATACGTCAGGACCTTCAGATTTCGAAAGAGACTGGACGACCTACGACATCTGACATCGTTACAATGCCTCGTCATAGAAACCCGTACACTCGTTCACTGCTGCAGCATGGGGACCTTGATAGTATTTCCAACGTTCCGAATGAGAGAGAAATCCGGCATTTTGAATATCTAGTGACCTCGTGGGGCTGCCCCAGACAGTGTCAGCAGGGTGTACGCAGATTAGCTACAATGCCACGTCGTAGAACAGAATTTCGTACAGTCGTTCACCACTGCATGAGGAGCCTCGTAGTATTTCCATCACTCCAAACGAAAGAGAAGTTCGGCATTTTAAACAACGGGCAAAGTTGTAAAGCTACTCCAGACAGCGTCAACAGAGCGAACGCAGATTGGAAGTGCGTTCGCTGCCCTCGGTTTCTATTAGTACGTTGGAGGCCCACGGAAAGTAGCAGGGAAGTGTACGAATATCTATGGCAAAGAGGCGTAGATAGAGGTTGGTTCCGATCTATAGAATGATACTTGCCGCCTAAAGACTGCACGGCTGATGCGAAAAAAGGAGCGGTTGTGCCACGCCACCTTACCTACTATCTACTCAAAGTGTGGAAGATGACCGATAGACACCTAACACCTTGCCAATGCATGTTTGAAAACTGTATCATACACTTGCTAGCCTCATTAACTCAAGCCACTTCCTCCACCATACGCCCAGTGAAGGGTCTTGGAGGATTAGGAGCGGGAACCGCGCCGGTGAATACGGTGCCGATCGGAGACGATAGCCATTCCTCTGGAACAGCGACCTGACTTCCCTTGATGGTCTGGGTGTAGCGAACGTAGAGTGGTGAGGCTTTTTCGACCTCTGGCTCGTCGTCCTGGCCGGATTCTCCGTTGTCTGCCGCGGCGCGACCACGACGCTTGGGTGGTTGCTTCTTCAGCAGTCGGTTGATGGTATCCATCTATTAGAATGTTAGAAGGGCGTAGTAGATGCGAGCAAGAGTATAGAACGAGGTTGACGAACCTTCTCTTCTTCGTTCCGCTTCTCGCTGAGGTTCTTTCGGCGGCGTGCCATCTCAGCTCTACGCATGGCGTGTTCTTCGGCAGTAAGGTGCTTCTTCTTCTGAGCCTCTGTAACGGCTGTCAGCAGGTACCTCTCTGGTTTAGAACAGCAGTAAGTGCATACCATTAGACAGAAACATGAGCCCAGAGTCGGTCTCTTCCGCCATGGCCCGTTGACGTCTTGTCAACTTGCTGAGATCAGGGGTATGGCTGCGGCTCATAGTGCGATGAGTGTCGTCGTCGCTGTCTAGATCGTCATCTCGTTCAACATCCTCCATGTCATCGTCCTCGCCTTCAGCATCTTCGTCGCCGCCCTCGTCTTCGTCGTCTTCCTCCTGGGAATCTAACTCCGACAGGTCATCGTCGTCGTCGTCATTAGCCATTGCCATTTCCTTGGCTTCTACGCTGGAGACGTCCGGAGCGGGCGTAACGTTGATGCTTGGCTTGAGGAGTCGCGCGACGCCCCGAGGCTTCGCTACGGGTGGTGGGGGAGGGGCGTCCTCCATTTCAACATCATCCTCGCCCTCAGCATCTATGTCGTCGTCGTCCTCATCGGCCTCTTCCTCTTCCTCGTCGTCGTCGTCCATCTCTTCAGGTTCCTCATCTTCGTCGTCATCTTCCTCCTCGCTTGTCTCGTCTAGTATGACCTTCTTGTTCCGGGTGCCGCGAGGGCCGTTGACAATCTCACCGCCCGCAAAGCCTGCTCGCGAGCTGCCGGAGACGTTGCGAGAAGACCCGCTGGTGGCTTGCCTGAGCTTGCTGGGCGGGGCCTTGACAGTGAGATGGATGGACTGACGAATTTCTTCGGGGGAAGTCCGCTCGATCCTGGCGGCGGGGGCTGCTACGCCGCGTCGTGGGCGGGAAGAGGCATTGCTGGACTCTGCAGTCAGAGAAGCTCGCGATCGCAGCCGGCGCGAGGCCATGGCGGGTAGAATGAGAGGCGGTGTTTGGGTGTTTAGATAGGAAAACAGAAAAGAGTGGAGTGGTGTAGAGAGGTGTATTGAGGGGTGCAGTGAAGGCGAGAAGGTGTGCTGGCTGGCTCCTTGGTCAGGCTTCAGCGATATAGGCGGTGGTGTCGCAGTTCACCTTTGGGGCGGCGGCGAGTATGCAGGCCTGAGGCGAGCCTTGTACTCCCCACGCTGCCCCTTGGCGCGAGACCATCGCGGTGAAGCAGCCAGTCGGCCAGCCACCTACCACATACCTAGGAGAGCTACCTTTGTGAGCTCCTGCCGCCCAATCATCCGCCCCTTCAGACTCGTCGTACTCGGTGCTCAGCCGCCGTAAGCGCTTGACTGGCCGGTCGCCGCGCTCAGCCATTGCAGTGGTCGTAGTGATGCTGGGATAAGAATGGGGCTCGCAATTCTCCGTGGGGATTTCGTCTGAATGCGCCCGCGAGGATTCGCGCCGGCATTGAGTTGAGGTACGCGGGCTCGGACCACGTGTGCTTGAGAGCCGGAGTCTGCCGTACCCGTACGGGATGCTGCAGCTCTATATAGACATTATGTCACCTCAGCATAGTCAACACCACGTTCTGCACCGTGATCTCTGCATCCTTCTTCCTCGCTACTTTTGATTTCTTCTTTGAGAGGAATTAGTAGAGTAGTCATGTCGGAAAAGCCCGCGAAACCCGCGATTCCCTCCTGGCAACGCGCCACTCCCCTAGCCTCCCCGCCATCCCCGGGCGCCGAAGACTCCACCAAGGACGATACTCAAACAGCTACTGAATCGCAAGAAGAGGAGCCGCGGGACGAAGACGCAACATCAGAGAGCCCGCATTTACTAGATCAAGCTTCAAAGTTCCTCGAAGACCCAAGTATACGCGATGCGCCTCGAGATCGCAAAGCTGCATTTTTAGAGTCCAAAGGAGTGACCAAGGAGAACATTGAGAAGCTCCTTGGAGTTGCGGAGGAGCAGAAAGCCTCTCCTAGTGTTGCAAATAAGGGAGAGCAGCCATGGCCAAAGGTTGGTCCAGTCTCATTCATACTGCTGCTCCGAACGATACCTCTATACATCTTCGATCGCCTGTACTGACTATTGCAGACTTCAACGCCCCCGAAATCGCCACCACGAGAGATACCACCCATCGTGACCTACCCCGAGTTCCTCACCCAGTCCACGAAACCGCCACCTCTCATAACAGCCCGCCGCATTGCAACAACTGCCTATGTAGCAGGCGCAGTCGCCACAGCGATCTATGGAATTTCCAAATATATAGTCTCGCCTATGACGGAAACGTTAACGGACGCCCGCCACGACTTCGCCTCTCACGCCCAGATCCACGTCGAAGAGTTCAACACCAAGCTAGGGGACATAGTCTCCGTTGACCCTGCTACAACATCGAAGCTATTGAAGCCTACAGGTCACGGCGATGATATATCAGAAGCCGACTCAGACCCAACGGAGCTCTACCACCGCGATTTCGGAACTCAGACCACGCCATCTCTCTCCCGTCGTCCATCCGTCTCTTCCAATACCGCCTCAGACCCGGAAGCAAACACCACTGTAGCTATTCACGAAACTCGCCTAAAGTCTCTTACATCACACCTCCGTGAACTCGAGGCCACACACAATAACGATACATCCTCCGCCGGCTCCCTCCGAGCCTCGCTCACGGAGCTCAATACCTATCTCAGCGAGATGACATACCAGAGCTACCACAGCTACGGCGGCGGGATGTACGGAGGCTCAAATTACGGCATGCCACGGGGCAAGGACGGAAAGGAAGATCAGGTGGAAGCACTGAAGGCCGAGATCAGGGGCGTGAAGGGGGTGTTACTTTCTGCGCGGAATTTCCCGGCGGGCGGTGGGAGGGTGAGGAGTCTTGTCGGAGCTATGGAGGGCTGATTTGTGGCTGTTGTGCTAACTTTTTACTAGATACCTGTTGGGAATTGAGCGGCGTTCAAAGGCGGCGATATACTGGATATTACAAGTGGAAGAGGAATTTCAAATGTTGGAAAATTGGCCGGTACACTAGTGTATGATTATAAGAGGAAGAGACCAAAGATCTGAGCACCAATATACCCAAATTAAAACATTGAGGATCTCATTCCGACCTATATTTTATCCGTCGAGAACTCTTTCCCTACCCCTAAATCCGCCTCCCGAACTCCAGACCTAAAATCGTATTGCTCACACATCGTGGTATTTCGTAAAAGATAAACCGTATCGGACAATCCTCAAACCTTCTCTCCATCTTTCTCGGCCATTTCTTCTGCCTCCGTCTTCTTCCCACCGGTAACACCAGCCATCGACCCAAGTTTCGAAAACGCTCCACTGCTAATTTTCAGCTTCTCCGTGGCCCAGCTCATGATACTATCCTCGTTCTTCTTCTCAACTTCTTTCTCCATATCTTTAGCCTCCTCATCGGCATCTTTACCCTTCTCCTTCTGCTCTTTCTTTTCAGCTTCTTTCTTCTGCTCTTCCTCAACCTTCTTCAAGTCGGCCTCCTCACGAGCGACCTCTTCTAGATCAACGTCCTCGAAACCAATCTTTTTCAGGATAGTACCGGCTAGCCATCTGTACCGCGTGTGACCAGACACAAGCTCGCTCACATCCACATTTTGGATGCCTTTGATATCCTCCACCTTCTGCAGCCCAGCGACACCATATTGGATACTGCTGGTGCGGTAAAGGAACGCGAGAATGTAGTCGTTGGTCGAGTAGACATTGACCACTCTTCCAGAAACCACACTTCTAATCTTTCTCCACTCATTCGAGGTCGACGGTGTAGGCGCACCCATCAGAACCACGCTCTCGACTAGGCCAAAAGCCTTTCTCTCCGCCAATGTCTGCAAACAAGTGTAAATGACTCTCGCACCGAGCGAGTAACCCACTAGTGTAACCGGTCGCTCGCCCTGTACCTTATTTATCAATGCATCCGCAAGTACCTCGCCGGCCTTGTCACTTCGTGCTTTCGCGACGCTGAACGGGTTGTCGATGATCCTCGAGACCTTCAGCAAACCTAGCGGCCATAACCCGGCGCTCAGAGCTGCGAATACCGTGCGTTTGATGATCTCGTGCTTCGCATAGCTCCATGCCGCGGACTGTACCATGATGGTAAGGGAGTTACCGAGTTTCAGCAGTGCCTCGAGCTCCCAGCGCAATGCGAAGCCTTCGATCGAGGGACCGATGACTCGCCACGGTACCACGACTTCCTCTTTATCGGTCAGCCATCCAGATATCCCGATGGCAACGCGTAGCCGGCGGAATTCCTTCTCGATCTTGCGTGGACGATGGAAGTTACGGATAGGTACGAAGCCGAAGTCGTCGACCTCCTTCGCGTACTCATCCATCATCTTCCCTGTCATTCTCGCTCCATACGCTCCAAACAATCCACCCACAATCACCGTACTACTCGCCAGCGTGCCCAAATAGCCCGCAGCAGCCGTAGCACCCAGTCCTAACCCACCCATAACACTGCCCACGCCCGCTGCGAGCAGCGGCGCAGCTAAACCTCCCGTAACTCCAATTAGTGCAGCACCCGCCACACTCGCCAGCCCAACTTTCCACTTCCTACTACTATGGTTTTCCTCTGCCTTCTTCTTCGTCTCCTTGTCTGCGTTCATCTGCTGCTTCACTGCCTCTAGCAAACCCCTCGCCACATTGCTTTCATCTTCAGCCAGCACCTCAACCGACAAGCCCAGACTGCTCGTCAAATGTAGTAGCAAGATCCTCGAATGCGCGGAATACTGCTCCAAACTCAATAGCAACAGCACCAAGCTATGCAACACCAGCGCCCTCTTCGGCTCCTCCAGCTCCCTCAACTCCGTCTTAATGGGTGGGTATATATCGCGTAACGCTTCTGCTACCCCCTCATCCTGCTTCTGCGGCGTCGGACTCAACCGCCTGGTCCCCGTATCCGGCGACGCAGAGCGCGTGGGATGCTTCCCCTGCTCCCGTGCCTCGGCCTTCGAGTTCACGACCTCGCCGACGCGTTGCAGTACCGTGTCCCGCCACGCCTCGAAGTACTCCAGCGCTTTCTGCTTCAGCTCGACAGTCTCGGGCTGCGCGAGCTCTTCCTCGAGCTCTTTCTTCCTATCTACTGCTTCCTGGCGCAGTTTGTCTTCTTTCTCAACGTCTATGTCGGCGAGGTTGGTTGGAGCATTGAGGAACGCGTCGCCGGATTTGGGGGGGTCGGGACTGGAGTCGGGGGTGGAGTCGTACGCAGAGACGAGGGTCGTGCGCATGGAGGCCGTACTGGAGGCGATGAGAAGGGTGAGGTCGGAGCGTTGCTCTGGGGTTAGGATTGAGGTGAGGGATTGCTTGTCTTCTTGGGAAGGGGGCTGGTCGTGGTCGTGAGACCAGGGGAGGTGGGAGAGCATAGTTGGGATAAGGGGCGCTAGGCCCCGGGGAGTAGAATGATTAACAGGAAAGTTATAGAGTTCAGTAAAGGGCGTGACGCTTTATTGAAGGGGACGTCGGGGATTGAAGGTTGCAGCATGACGTCAGCAGCTTGAAACCTTACTCAAAGGTTTGAGATGAAAGAGGTCTAGAAGTATTGAGATACTAAAGGATAATTTCTAACACCAATGCTGAAGATTTGTGAAAGTCGAGAGTTACAATGATGATTAGGCTGTTACCGGTCACATGAGCATCTTCAAAGTGAACCGTTTGCTTGCCAGACTCCCAGTCGAGCGTACAGCTCAGCTGACGTGGGCCGCTACCTCGGCCAACCCCGCTTGGCACCCTAAAACCCTCACCCGACCTCATCTGACCTGCGTCTTGCTCCCAGTCTTCCCTTTCTTCAGCCATCGTGGCTCATGTTCCCTCCATTGTAGAAAATATAGTAGCCGACTAAGCATACAGTATGTTACTCTACTTTTCCTTTCATTTTGATCCCTTTTCAGTCCCATGTTATCCTATTTCTATCCCACTACTATCCCTTTAGAATAGCATCATGATAGAATCATCATTAGAAGACGATCGCAACCCGCACCCTTCCAATTTCTTCTTTTCTCAGGGATCTTCCGGAAACATTCTATAATCTGCTTCGCGACTATCTAAATGCTCATCGTCCTCAATTTCTACGTACAGGTCATTCTATATTCATCGTTATCCCAGTCGTTTCTCTGATGCTAAGCTGGTGATCTGACTCCTGCCGGGACGAGGTGGGCTCTTCGCTAGGGTTGCTATGGGCTACTCGCGATTTGTTAACGACATTATATTACTAAGAACGAGTCGTTCGGTCGACTCATTCCTTTCATACTTTTCGTTCTGCCGTTATATGTGGACGCAGGATGATTGTACAAGCCACCGCGCGCCATGCGGCGAGTGCGTCCACTGGAGGGAGTGGCATTGCAACGCGTGTGACAAATGTACCTATGGAATACCGATTCCTTGCGAATGCGGAGGAGTCTCAGCTTCTTTTCATTCAGGCCATCGGATGGAATGAAGATATAATACGGGCAGCTCCAGGTCTTTCAATTTTCCTTTGCTCCAGTTCTACAGTCATTCCTTCGCCATGTCAGTAACAATACAAAACTCTATTTCTACGGATTTCTGAATGTGCGTTGACCCTGGGTACCCTCGACAATGACAGTAAGAATACTCAAGACGTCCTAGCCCTGTGCTTACACATAGACACCAACCGATAACTAAGGGTATACATGAATCATCTTGTCCGGTGGGCTTTTTTACATCACGCTATCACGGGACTATGTGCCTCACATCACCAAAGCGACCAGAACACTTGCTGTGAAACTACCACAAGTTTGCGTGCGTCGATACTGTGAGGGAGGAGCGATGAGGGCTACGTCCGGCAGACACGTGTAGTAAACAGCATATAGCCTCACCTTCCCCCAGATCCATCTCTCTCCACTACATCATAATCAATCACATCGGATAAAGCACTCATAGCGTCTACTTTCACCTAGTACGTGCAATCATCGTTGAGAGACTACCGCTTATCTAGCTGATCAAAAAACCAGGTTGCTTGAACTCGCACAACAAACCAGTGACAGTTCGTTCTCGACTCCAACGTCTTCGTCGTTATTCCCGTCCCACCATCATATCAACACCACCATGTCATCCAGCACGCACGGGGACAAGGAGCCCACAGAGGGCCGCGGTGACCCCGAGTACGGCTCAAACGGCTTCGACAATAACAGCAATCCCAGAGACAACCCAAGCAGTAGCGCAACCGGGGTAAGTCCTTCCAATCCCATTCTCCACCTATTCATCGCCTGACAAACACTTTCCAGCCCTCGCACACTCGCTTGAAGAGAGGCCCCCCCCTTTGCGTGTGCACTCAAGGATGCATCAACGGCCATTGCTGGTGCTTCAGGAGGCGTGCTGGCTGCGGCGATCTTTGCATGTGCAAGGACTGTCTGAACCAATTCAACACGGAGGCTGAGTCCTCAAGCCACAGAGAATCCAAAGTATGTCCTTTCATTCCTAGTTTCTATTTTCATCCATATTCTCCATTTGTTCATCACCTGACAAACATTCCCCAGCCCTTGCGCGATCCTTTGACCAGAGACGACCGCTCTTGCTCGTGCACTGCGGCATGCAGCAACGGCCGTTGCGGCTGCTTCAGGAGGGGTGCTGGCTGCGGCGGCAATGCTTGCCGTTGCACGGACTGTCTGAACCCCTTCAATACTCAAGCTCAGTTCTTTGGGGGGGACGGCTTTCGCGCTTCAAGTTGCTTTGTAGATTGGGTCAAGCGGCAGCCGTGCGGTGAGGTCGATTTCGCAGATCCAGCGTTCATCGAGGATATGCGGCGCTTGATATTCGACCGTGTAGTAGGCGACCAGACTACGCCGTCCCCATTCTATTTCGATAGCTCCGACGGAGGCCTCCGGGAGCTCGAGAGGGCATGGACCGCGGCTGTCACGGATGCCGAAAAGGACCTAATTGTACGAAAGATGTTCAGGGCCGGATTGGCAATGGGCAGTAAAAATTGGTTTTATTTCTCGTTCTGCTCCAAGGGGTTCCGGGGAGAGTGGGTACTGAAAGATGACTTGGCCCATTGCTCCGTCTGCGCGAGATGCGATTCGCACGATCACTCGTGCCATTAGATGGACTGCGAGGGGGCGTGGACGGGGTCATAGGGCTGAATGGCTACCAGTTGAGTCTGCTTCGAAGGCTATCATGCTCGATACAGTGACTTGCTAAAAGCCCAGGCACGTTTGGTCACCACCGTTGGAGGTGCTTCGGCGGACTTTAAAAGCTTTGATAAGATGTAAACTCCCGGAGAGCTCGAATCAGAGAAGCTGCACACGCTGACAGTCCGCGTGCTTGCCGCTCTTTGTGGTGCTTCAGCACCTCAAGACAAATCGGGATGAGATGAAAAAGACGGCGTGCTCAAACTTGTGTCCTAGTACTGCAACATCATTGAATCTACACTTCATGACCTACAGTGCTCTAATTATTCCCAGGGCCCAGGGATTGGAGCCATAGGAAGCGGTACCCGCGTGCCTACCCACCTCCTTTCGCCACCCTGCACTACCCTATCGAGTCCTCAAGCCTACGACTCACTTCCCCCCCTCACACCCACACTCCCGCCCCCTCTCCTCCCACATCCTCTTCACGGCCCCAGGAACCTCCCGCCAATGCTCCTGCTCCCCCTCCAACTTCCCCCTTCCCCCCCTCCGCCACCCCAGATCCCTCCGTGGAAACACGTCCTCCCCCAAATGCGCATTCCCAAAATTCTTCCACACCTCAATCCGATACCTTCGCCGATTCGGCAACTCCTCCGTGAACTCGATCAGAAAATCCGTATCGCAGTACGCGCACCCAAACAGCTGCGGCGGACAGCACATGCAGATCTCCGCGCTGGGGGGCATGTTGGGCCGATAGCGATCTCCACTGTGCTCTTTCCCGTCGGGGGCTGTGGCGGCGATGAAGGGCGCTGGGGGCGCGCGGTACACGCCCCATTCAGGTTGGGGCCGGTGGGAGGGGAGGCGGAGGCGGAGGCGGTTTTGGACGAGGGTGTTGTGGGAGCAAAGCAGGAAGGGGGTGAGGTGGAAGCGGGTACGGTCCGCGAAGAGGTGGCGTGGGATGCGCCAGTCGAGGTGGAAGACGCCATGCCACAAGAGCTGGCATGAGGAGATGAGAGCGCTGGTGTGGGCGGTGAGGGTGAGGCTGCAGTGGGGGGTGGAGGTGCCGTGGCAGTTTAGGATGGAGGGGCAGAGGCCGGTGCGCGGGTTGAGGTGGTGCTGGCGGATGCTGAGGAGGGAGGAGAAGGGGATGCTGAGGAGGAGGGTCGGGGTGCGGAGGCCAATGGAGATTTGGAGGTCGGAGGAATTGTGGGGGTGGGGGTGGGGGTGAGCGGTAGGCTTGTAGTGGAGGAGCTGGCAGCTCGGGTGGTGCCAGTAGTCTTGGTGGTCCTTTTGAAGGAGGAAAAGGAAGTCGTTCTTGGGGGTCGTTGCGGCCATGAGGGTTGCGCCGGCTATGATCATGGGTTTGCTGGTGGGGTGTTCTAAAGACTCGTGGACTATGTTCTCGAGGCATCCGTATGTATAGTGGCTAGTGAGTGCGAAACATACGGCATTGGAGGTGGGAAGGTAGGATGCAATCATAACGATGAGTTCGACAGGGAGTTCCAGGATTTTGGCCGGAGAAGTCGGATTGGATATGGCTTTCTCGGAAAACATTGACTTCCAAGCTCTTGTAAGCACTCCTTTCTGCTTCGGAAGATTATGGACCTCACATAGAGGCCAGTGGTGGGGGGCGTTGCGAGCCATGACGTGAGGATATGGAGAAGATGAGATGCAACGATGATGATATTGAAGATATTGAAGGTTCCGATGGGATCTTCTTGAACTCAAGATCGCTGAAAAAACTAGTAGGTTGCATTAAATGCGCCAAACAATCGGTGTGGGCAGTATGCAAGTATTGAAGCCGTACAACTAAAGCTGATGGATGTGGGAGAGCTTGGTCTCACCGCTAGAGTATCTATTCACAGCGGCAGGTGAGCCTTTCCTACCCTCTCCGTTGGGACACTGTTGAGAAGGTGGTCAGCTCGAGGTCAGGATGTAGAAGAGCACAGTGTCAGCGGGCATCAGCAGCCTTCTTATGTAGAATAAGGTGACCTTGCAGCCTTATTGTTCCGGCTCGACCCCACGTCGTGATCGTCCTTGCGGCCATCCATCACCCAACCACCTCCCACCGCTGCTTCAATCTTTAAATAACCCGTGGCCGATGCCCGCCCGCAACCACATCCTCCACCAAATACCACAGACTGTCTGGACAGTCCACGCAAAACGCCCGCCATGACCGACGCCAATCCGGGCCCGCTTCACGTTGAGTTGCCCCCCAGCACCAATGGTGACGGTCCCTCCGAATCTGGCCGTACCACCCCGAAGGACAGCAAGGGCTGGGACGGGAAGCTGAGGGTAGAACGGCATCCCGTCATCACGAATCCGGAGGCTCTGAGTGATCCTGAATACTCGGACGAAGACGCCCCGCCTGTGGAGCAGATCAACGCCGATGAAGGTGGGTGGAAGAAGTCCAGCTTAGTACTACATTATGGAGCTGACTCTGGGTGCTACAGATCTTTTGGACGATGTAGAAGAGGATGAGGAGGTTAGTAGCTCACAAGAACCTGATTACAGTCGTGCAAGAACTAACAAAATTGCAGGATATCAACCTCGTGCATTTCAGAATCTCAAGTATACCAGCATTACGACTCGAGCGGTTCAAGAAGATAATGGTCCGTATACCCAAAAACCTGGCACTATCAAAGACTGACATGTTCTCGTCAGCGTCTCTGCCTTCGCCAGAACCAGATATCCGTCATCGACCTCCCGGACACGCTCTCATCGACCCTCGAAGAGATCGATCTCTACGACAATCTGATCGCACATATCAAGGGCCTCGACAACCTTCACGCCCTCACCTCTCTCGACCTTTCTTTCAACAAAATCAAGCACATCAAGCGTGTCAACCACCTCACTAAGCTCAAGGATCTATATTTCGTGCAGAACAAAATTGGAACCATAGAAGGCCTGGATGGATTGGCCAACCTGCGGATGCTGGAGCTAGGAGCAAACAGGATACGGGTACGTCTCTCTCCTCGCCCGGAGAAATATACAGTGCACTAACAAATCGACAGGTCATCGAGAATCTTGAAACCCTCACAGCACTCGAAGAGCTTTGGCTAGGCAAGAACAAGATCACAGAAATACAGGTACGACAATCCAATCTCATCTCTTCCCCTAATATAGTCTGTATACTAACCAACTTACAGGGCCTTTCCACCCTCACCAACCTCAAAATCCTCTCCATCCAATCCAACCGCCTGACCGCCATCTCCGGCATCTCCGCCCTCACCAACCTCGAAGAACTCCACATCTCCCACAACGCTCTCGCCTCCCTCTCCGGCGTCGAGAACAACACAAACCTCCGCGTCATCGACATCAGCAACAACCCCATCAAATCCCTCGCCGGCCTCTCCCCCTTGTCGCACCTCGAGGAACTATGGGCGAGCTACTGCCAGCTCTCCGACTTCGCCGAAGTCGAGGCCGAACTGGCGGACAAGGACGAGCTGGAGACGGTGTACTTCGAGGGCAACCCACTGCAGCTGCGGCAGCCGGCGCTGTACAGGAACAAGGTGAAGCTGGCGCTGCCGCGGATCAAGCAGATTGATGCTACGTTCGTGCAGCTGTAGCGAATGTGCGGCGGGCTGGGTTGAGCTAGGTCGGGACAAGCATGGATATAGCGGGTTTCTTGCATTTGATGGGCGCTGGGCTATGGGTACCTATATAGCTAATATCCAAGATCTTACGAATTTCTCTGGATGATATTTCCTTGCCATAGATAGCCGTACGCTTTCCTGCCACTGTCTATGGGGGCTCCAATGTACTGATAGAAATCTACGTACCCCTGCCCCCCTCCCCCCTGTTGACGCTGTCTAGGGGGTAGCCTCGTGAGCCTACTACTTGTCCAAAATGCCGGACACCTCTCTTATTCAGAAAGCTGAAAATACTACGAAGCTCTTCAAGCAGCGGGCAAACGAGTATACAGATTTCTATGAGAAGGCACTGTAGGTATTCAAAACTCTGACCCGGGTATATCTACGAAACGATCAAATCATACATCCGCAAGCTGGCTAGAGCTTACTCTCCCTCGCCGTCGTCTCGACCGGCAAGGCTCCGCTCATCATGTGCTCGCTCTCCCGCCCAAACAACACGGCTTCCCGTCCGCCCCGAGTGCCCCACCACGCGACTGCAGCACCGCTCCGCTCGGGGTCCATTTCGCCTGAGATCAAAACATTCCAGAAGCGGCCTTTGACCACTTCCCGCATCGCGTCGTCTTCGATTAGATTGACTAGATCTGCGCATAGTGGCAACCACTCTTCTAGCAATAGAACCGGGAGGTAGGGCAGCGCGTCTAACAGTGTCAACACGAGCACCGCCTGTTCAGACAGCGGAGGCGGAGGAGCGTCTGAGCCCGCGAGAGCCAGCTGCACAGAGTCGGCCGCGAGAGCGGTAGTAGGGGCGTGTAGAGCGCGGTAGTGGACGAGCTCGAGCAAGGTAGCGGGGAGGTCCGGTTGCGTAGCTGAGAGGGCCGACGGGGGCGCAGTGACGCGGAGAAGGGTCCTGAAGGCCAGGCGAAATTGGCGCGACGAGAGGTTGTCTGGGAAGACCTTGAAGAGGGCGTCGATGTAGAAGGGGAGGTGTTTTGCGGTGATTTCGGCGGATTGGGGAGCCGAAAGCACGGCAAGGATGACGCTGTGGGCAGCTTCGAAGATGGGGAGCATGCTGTGATTGCCGCCAGCTGCAAGATAGGGAACTGCAGATGCTACGAGGAGATCCTCGTTGGTGGTGGGAGAAAGGACGAGGGTGAAGTGCTCGGCGGTGTTAAGGAAATAGAGGTCTAGAGTACGGTCGAGGGGTGGGTCGGGGATGTTGCCTAGTTGAGGAGGGGCAATTGATTTGAGGAATGCGTCGGATTGAATAGGATAGTGGGTTAAGATATCAATGGCGGTAAGATAAACAAAGGTGTGTTGGCTGAAGGAGGCGGGTCCTAGACGGTTTGATATGAAGTACAAATGGCGTAGGGTATGGAGCGTTTGCGCGGCGAGCACGGGTGCCACTAGAGCATGTTAACCGTGGACTAGAATGAAAGGGCATGAGAGAGTGAGAGAAGATCACGCTTACCTCCATCAGTGGCGAGAATACGATCGCTGAGGATGCGGCCTAACACACCGCGGAGAACGATAGTCGTAGCAAACAAAGCAGCTTTCAAAAGCTTCCATAAAACGGGCAAAGTGGTTCTCAATGCCTCTTCCTCTAGGAACACCGCCTCTTCTGAGGCATCAATCTCAGAGAGCTTGTTCTGTCGCCATTGCGTTGTGAGAGCTCTAGCAAAGCCTGCTAGATCATCTACCATGGTCTGAATGAGCCATGGATCTCTGATGTTCCCAACAGCATGCGCCATCAATCGGGACAACGGGCCCATTGAGGATACCAAAGGACGTGAAACAATACCCTCGACTTGTTTGAAGGATGAGGAGTGTGCCTTCCCAGGTTAGTGACCGGAAAGAAACTAAGAGGATCTACCCACAGGCCAGTTGAACTTCTTTCCTGCTACTTCTACAACATCAAGATCAATCCCACCTAGGAAGTAGGCGGACTGAAAACCCTCACTGGAAAAGAAGGTAGTTCCGAGGAGGACCGGGAGTAAGAGCTGTTACGTGTCAGTGTCGTTCGAGGGAAAAATAGCAGCACAGCACACTCACGTCATAATCTAGCCCTCTCCTTTCAAAATCAGAAAGACAGCCGAAACTATGGTTCAGAACAAGAGCCACTGTCTGGCCCCCGAGGCCATCCGCGTCGCCACTTTCTCGAACCTCGACCAGTGCCAGATTGGTAGCTTTTACGAGCGCGGTTTCTAGCCTCTTTCTGAGTCCAGCGGCCCATTCAACGTCGATTCCCTGCTCTTCTTGGCTTCCCATGCCAATCAGGAGGCCTCCCAGCACTAGCAGGTGCGTCCATCGTGCACTTCTATCATCGGCACCACTGACGATTGCCCGAGTCCAAGCATCGAGTGAGAGACCTCCACCGATGGGCAGTTGGCCAGGGTGAAGAGGAGGCGCAGAGTTTTCCCGTACTGCGTTATGGTGTGTTATGAGGGTGGTGATCGCGGAGTGGAAGACGCTGAGTAGGTGGAGTGGGGTGCGGAGGCCATCTGGGCGTTCCCAGAATGCGGGGGCTGTGAGGAGGTGTGATGTAAGGAGGGAAAGATTATGAGGATTCGAGAGGGTTGTTAGGAGCGACGACGCGGTTGCAAGGAGGCTGTGTTTAGTTAATATGAGCGCGATGAAGGTAGCAATGCCTCGTTAGAGATCTGTGTACAGAGGTCTTGCCCCGCTTGAGGTGCTTCGATACGTTTCAACAACTCTAAAAGATGCGGAAATTCACTTTTATGAAGGTGTATAGATGCCTTCAAGCACCACAAGCAGTGGCAGACCTGTGTGCCTGCATCAATAACGGGTATGGAGTAGGGAAGTAGTTACCGAGGTGTATCTTGCTGATCGGTGTATGTCTGGAGCGAGCGCAAAAGCGTGCTCAACAGGCGATCTACAGGCATGGCCGTAGAGGGTTTGAAGCTCTAGGTAAGGGAAGAGGCATGGGCGAGGTGGTTGTTTGGGACGAATGGGCGTGGAGTTGTTGAAGTCGCGCTTCAAAGCCGAGGCACGGCCGCACGTTCTTCCAACCTCAAGCCGCACGTCACTCAACACCATTCCACCGGCCAGGAACAGTCGCGATGCAATGAGGTATGCCCTTCTTAGACTACTACTAAATGACGTTCTTCTAACTCCAGTAGCTTCATCCAGCGCGTCTCTTCGCAGGCGCCCGCCGACTACACCACCCCGCCCTGGCCCTCCCTCTACTGGCCCATCCCCTTACTTGGCCCGCAATCCTACTACCTGTACCATCCGAGCGACATATGGCGCTTCACGATCATATGGACCCTCCTACTCTATGCAGCTATCCATTTCGCTGTCGCGGGATGGGCGACCACTATACAACTGCGAAACTGGAAAGTTGCTTGTACTATACCCCCCATCTATGCTATCATTGGAGGTATTGAAGGCATCGTTGCCGGTAGTGTAATCGGAGGACTGTAAGCTGACTATTTTGATGCTCATACATTGGCTCCGCTGACAGAATCGTAGGCTGGGAGGCGTCTACAATGCCGGATACTACAGAATGTCCACCTGGATACCGTTCATATGGGCTTTGATCAATGCCTTGGTTCTAATTCTGTCCTCCTTTGCGATACAAGGCGGCCTTTGAGCGAACCATGCAACAATCAGCTGGGAAACCATTCAGGATCATGCCTCTCCGATTGCGGATGAGATGCGGGAATTATTCTTCCAGCTATGAATTGTAGTTAAGTTGCTTGCAATTATTCCGCTCAGCACGAACTTACACCGCCATAGATAGCCTCAAAGCACTAGAACGCTTAGCCCTACCAGGTATCGCCGAAAAACATGGGATCTATAACACACGGTTAATCCCGCGCTAAGTACCCGCTTTTGTGAAACGCTCCAGCCGAGATCCGTTCGTATCGTCAAGCGTCATACTGGAGCTTCCGGAAACGCCTCCTGAACGCAAAAGCCACAGCCCTACGGAGCAGAAGCCACATGGCAACATGATCCCATGCATCTAGTTTAAAAGTTTATCGTTCTGGGCAGAATGCTGCTCATGAAGAGAATTGGTAGCAGCTCTTCTGACATGGCCCATAGAGCGATAGGAAGAGCTGGGAATAGTTGGCTATGGATGAGATGAGTGTCATGGTAACAACCCCGAGAAGTGAGTGACTGCGACAGAGTTGCCTCGGCAGTCACGGTGCCGTTGACTGGGTTGCAGGTCTCGAAAACAGATGGAATTGAATGGGAGAAGCCGGTGCATAGGATACACGTTTCTCGGCAAAAAAAAATATGGTATTTTCAAGGTCGTCAACCTGAGAAACACACGTCTTGCATCTCGTCCACATGGCTCCTTTCATCTGCTGCCACTTGGCGAGTCACATTTTGAATCCGTACCGTGTGGCCTGATCTGGTTAATTAGGCTCTATTGAGTTGCGACACCCTGGCGACAGACCGGACATTACACAGTACGGGCTAGGTGGCGCAGTCAGACTTCGATATTTACGTTATGCGGCAGTGAGTCCCGAGGTCCATGCGCTGCCACACTGCTATCCCGACGATGCGATTTCTAGCGCGCCAAGGTGTCAGCCGTTAAGGCGTTCATGGCCACATGTACGGAATTTTGGTGGCAGAGTGGAGGTGTGGCGCAACCTTGTATCCACTCGCTTTCCGCAACGCGTTTCGTGTCGGTGGGGTAACTGAAATGAAAAGGCACCGATCCGTCACGTCCTTCGGCAAGTCAGACTGCGACACATGTTGGGTTCGTTTGGTGCCGTGTGGTTTGGTTGGATCGAGTCATGGAAGACATGCCTGCAAACCGAACCAAAACCTCGACATGCTACCCAAGGCATCTTTCAGGCCTCCACGGCACAACGGCCTACTTCAGCAATCCTTGGAAGATGATTTGGTTTAGTGCTACGACTCTGCTGCTTCCGGAGCGGTGCGGATGTCGCTAAATCATGCCTGCTGGACATCACCATCAGGCTAGTTGACGCGCTGGAAGCCAATTCATGTTCACAACACAAGCGCGGAAATTCCTTCACTCGCGCGGCACGACGCGGCATGAGGCGTCATTCTCACTTGCACAGAATGCGAAACCTGTGACGGCTACTCTTCCGGCAGGAGGAGTGGAAACAGGTAGGTAGGCAGGCAGAGATGTCGTTTGAAGTAAAGGTGGCTGGGTGTTTTCTTCGCCAGCCCTGGGGCCGTTCGCCCTGTGCCCCTGGCGATCGTGCCATGGGGTCCTAACGGGGGTGAGCAAGGCTGTCCTCGCTGTCCGAGGTCAGCTTCGTTGGGATAGCGTCTGCGCTAACTCCATTTCCGCAAATAGCCCAGGAATTCGGATATAAGAATCCGGGTAAGAATTTCTGGACTGCCGAGCCCTGCACGCAATCGCCGCCCCTCTTATCTCGTACCATCACCACCGTGCGCGTGTTGTCCGTGGGGCCAGCGGTCCAGCGCCACGCTTTCCTTGTTGTCGCAGCGATCGCGTGCGGTAAGTGGGCATCTCTGCATAATTCGCGCGCGCGAGCCCCTGAGGGATTCGCAATTATTCTGGGAAGGCGGACGCTGCGACGGGCGAAGCGGCTCTTAGCTCTGACGTCGGGACGAATCATGGGCCTGAGCGTGGCCCCGAATTGACATTCCCGGCCAGGCTAGACTCGAGATCCCTTTGCTCTCCAATGACGCCACGGCCCGTTAGGGAGCAGGGATGCGCGTTGCTTGAATACGAGGCGGCCGTTGATCAGGGCGCTTTCAGCATCGCCTCGAGCTCACGTCGGCCGTGGAGGGCATGGTGAGGTCGCCGGGCGCCCCTTGTTAGATGCTAATTGGGCTTCATCATGGCCGGTGGACGCACGAGGGCCGACGCACGAGGGCCAACGCCAACCACTCACCTGTGGGGTTCCCCTGACCTAAGGCTGGGCTAATGCAGAGCGTATAAGAGCGATTCGCCTCCTCCGCCTCCTCAAAAACGCCGCCCGGTCAAGCTTTACTGCGGTGCTACACTCGTTTTTCGGCATCTTCATGCACTCACACTCACTCATCCTTTTCATTTTTGCATAGCTTAAGCCCTCGTGGCTAGTCACTCGTTAATACACCTTTGCCTTCCTCGACACTCGCCGTTTGCCGATCCGGGGTAAACGCGTTAAGCTTTTCCACAATCAACAAACAGATCAGCCACCTCCACATATAGATAACGCCCATCTTCGTCCCCATGTTGGCCTCTACTTATTCCCTAATTTTTGCCCTATTCTCGGTCACGGTCGACTGTTCACCACTTCCGAAGGCACTCGTACCGCGCCTCCAGCAACTGGACGGCGAGACGGTTCCCGACAGATTTGCATTTAACGATGCCGTTCCCCTCGCCAGGACTGGGTGGACCGCGGTAGCCGACAGCATTCAGGGTGGAGATGTCGCCAACAGAGTGCTCGATGGCAATGCGAATACCCTATGGCATTCCGAGTACACTCCCGCACTCAAAGCTCTTCCTCATACCATCACCATCGACATGAAGAAGAACAACTGGATCAATGGATTCGCCTACCTGCCCCGCCAGGACTCCAGCAACAACGGCAACATCGGCCAGCACACCATCCAAGTGAGCAAGGACAATACCAACTGGCAACAAGTCGCCCTTGGCACATACGGAAACACCAAACTGGAAAAGAAGACCCTGTTCTCTTCTGTTCAAGCACGCTATGTGCGAATCACAGCTTACACGGAAGCCCAAGGAACCAACCTTGCATACACCAGCGCAGCCGAGATCAACATTCTCAGTGGGCCAGACCCAATCCTTCCCCGAGACACCTGGAAGGTCAGCGCAGACAGCGCGCAAGCTGGAAACGCGGCAGACCTAGCTATTGATGGCGACGTCGACACGAAATGGCACACCCCTTTCACCGGCGGAAACCTACCTGGCTATCCCCATACCTTCACTATTGATCAAGGTGCCGTGACAGCTGTTTCCGGCTTCAGCTACCTTCCACGACCGGATGCGTCAGGCCCCAATGGACGTGTCGGCAAATACATCATCCAATACACCAACAACACGAACACTTGGGCTGATGCTGCCTCTGGCACGTGGGTTGACGACTCCAACCCTAAGACCGTCACCTTCCCTGTGCACTGGGCACGCTACTGGCGCCTTAGGGCTCTCAGCGAGGCCGGTAATCGGGGACCCTGGGCCAGTGCCGCAGAGATCAACTTGCACGACGGCAGCTCCAAGGGTGTCAAGACACCACTACCGGCTAGCTTGGGTCAATGGTCTGAGACGATCGACTTCCCAATCGTCCCAGTTGCTGCTGCTGTGCTCAGCAATGGTAAGTTGAATAAGAAAAGAACACGATGACTGTAGCATACTAACAAGCATGTAGGCAAGGTCGTGACCTGGTCCGCACAGTGGGCAGACTCGTTCGGAGGAGGCACAGGCCAGACGCAGACTGCCATCTTCGACCCGGCGACTGGCAAGGTGTCTCAGAAGATTGTCACCAACACGAAGCACGACATGTTCTGCCCTGGTATCTCGATGACCGCTGACGGAAAGGTTGTTGTCACTGGCGGCAACGATGCTGCCAAGACAAGCATCTACACCGTCGCCAGCGACGCATGGGCCTCAGGTGCCAACATGCAGATCAAGCGTGGCTACCAGGGTCAGGCTACCCTATCTGATGGACGCATCTTCACCATCGGTGGTTCCTGGAGCGGTGGATACGGCGGCCAGGACGGAACTCCCTTCAAGAACGGAGAAATCTACAGCCCGGGCGCGAACAAGTGGACACTTCTCCCAGGCGCCAATGTCAAGAAGATCCTGACCCAGGACGCCCAAGGCCCCTTCAGAACCGACAACCACGCCTGGCTCTTCGGCTGGAAGGGTGGCTTCGCCTTCCAAGCCGGCCCATCCAAACAAATGAATTGGTTCGATATGAGAGGCGACGGTGTCACTACATCCGCTGGCAACCGTGGCGACGACAACGACGCGATGAACGGCAACGCCATCATGTACGACGCTGTGGCCGGCAAGATCCTCACCATCGGTGGTGCCAAGGACTACCAAGAGACGACTGCTACCGCCAACGCCCACATCATTACTTTGGGTGGACAAGGAGGCGCAGTTTCCGTAACCAAGCTTACCTCGATGAAGTACGCCCGCAGCTTCGCCAACAGCGTTGTTCTTCCCGACGGCAAGGTTCTCATCATGGGTGGCCAGCACTTCGCCAAGCCCTTCTCTGATGATACCGCTGTCCTGTACCCCGAGCTCTGGGACCCAGCGACTGGCAAGTTCACCGTCATGAACCCGGCCAACAACCCCCGCAACTACCACAGTGTCGGCGTGCTGCTGCCCGACGGCACCGTCTTCTCCGGTGGTGGAGGACTCTGCGGATCCTGCACATCGAACCACTTCGATGCTGAGGTCTTCAGGCCCCCGTACCTGTTCACTGCCTCTGGCGCTCTGGCTACTCGCCCGACCATCACCAAGGTCTCGGCTACCACTGTTACCGTTGGTGACAAGATCCAGATCACCACTGGTGGCACCGTCACCAGCTTCTCGCTAATACGCATGGGCTCGGCGACGCACTCGATCAACACTGACCAGCGCCGCATTCCCCTGACACCCACCAAGACCGCAAGCGGGTACCAGATCACTGTGCCTGGAGATTCGGGTATCGCGCTGCCCGGTTCGTGGATGTTGTTCGCGATCCAGAATGGCGTTCCCAGCGTGGCTAAGACGATCTTGATCAAGGCCAAACCGATTTGAGGGTTTAAAGGGGTAATTATGGATTGGGGCATGACATGGTTCGGAGGCTTTTCCGAAAGTGTTAATTCTAATGCGTCTACGCACGCGAGATAAACGGTTGAATGTACAATGCTGCTTGGTTAAAATAATAAGTAGTAATTAATTCGAAGGTCAAAATCAACCATAGAGTTCTATGCACTGCCTTTTTGAGCGATGGAGGACGTCGAGGTAAGGTTTAGGTTAGCCGTTCTGTACTACCTTGTTACATGTGCTGTACAACCTTCACGCCTTGGCAATTCTTCCACCCTGGGGCCGCGGGTTACACAAGTACTTTTCTTCTCGTCTAGACCCTCCAAGATCTCTCTTCTCGTCAGCATCCTCCAGCCTAAACACCCCTTCCAACCCCGACTCCCTTCATCCCCTTTTTATCACTCCCCACTACCCTCCCAAATCCTCAACACATCTTTAATCCTCTTCGCAATTGGCCCCTTTCCAGCCCGCCTCTCAACTGCCCCCGAGCCTACCACATGCCCTCCCATCTCCATCCACATTCCCAACTCCTCCCCAGCACCATCGCTGCCGCCCTCACCACTACCACTCCTTCCACCCTCAATGCGTAAGATTGCCACCGCCTTCCAGACATCGCCCTTCTGCCGCTCCAGCTGCTCAACATCCGCCTTCAGCCCCTCTATCTCGACGTCGAGGTCTAACATGTGGTGAATAAGGTCTTGGTGCGTAGCGGAGGCCTCAGTAGTCAGGTTGTAAGCATTCAGGAAGGTGCTGAGGGTGATGTGAGAGAAGAGGATGGGGAGGAGCTGCGTTGCAGTGTGTCAGACAGGTTGGTTTCGCAGCATGCTCAGGGCGATGATTAGGGATAGGCGAGGCTGAGATCGGTGGCGGTGCGACGGGCGGAGGGCGGCAGAGAGGGAAGGCATGGGGGTGGTTGCGCGTTGCTTCGTGGGGGGTGGGGTTTGGGGGGTTGGCTTTTTTCTGGTGGTGGGGAGGTTTCGATAGGAGCTTGTCTGGCTAGCATACGTGGATTATTTATGCGCTCGGTGTTAAGGGTTGCTGGCATGGTGAGGCTTGAGGATCTAGTATGGCTGGGTTGAAAGCAAACAACCAGCATTTCGTTGGTACGCTCGCGTTTGCTCATCTTGGGTATACTATGTGCGGGTATTGTAATCATCATTTGAATCAAGGCAACGAGACCATGCATCAATCTTTTCCATCTTTGATTTTCGTAGCTCTCATCGGAAGATCTTTTACTCCCATTTGTGGTTTCTTATTACTATCTATTTCTATTCTTCTCTCTCTCTCCATCTCTCTCTCTCTCTCTCTCTGAAAAAAAGAAACTCGTGAAGATATCTTTCCCTTTGTAAACGCCACCTCATAAACTAACAAGAGAATACTACGAATCGATCCTCAGATGATTGGGCCTCCTCCATTCGCCGCTCTCGACTTGCGAGTTCCCACAACCATCACGCCAGCCAGGTCGCAAAGGAACTTCCTTCCGGGGGGGGGGGGGGGGGGGGGGGGGGTGGTATTGCTCATGGATGTTTTCTGTATTACTATAACGGCCACTATACTACAATACTAGGTCACAAGTTTGGGCACACGGATGTACCACGACCCGGGCTTCACTCTTGCTCTCTCGATTCCACCGTAAGGAGTGCCCTAGGTAACCTGTCTTCGGTAAGTCAAAAGGCAGTCCTATCTCCACTGCGTTGACCTTTACATCGTATTCATATTTTCCAAAGCTTGTAGGGGTAACTCTAAACAGTTATAAGGAGCACTTAAACTCATGTCTTGGTACTCTACTAATCTCAATTCAGGACCATCACTCGAAACCTTAAGACACCGCTAAGATCTCGCTAGCGTTAGTGAACAGAGGAACAAGAGAATTAGCTCAGACTCCAGGCTCCAGGCTCCTCCTCATCCTCATCGCACTCATCATCTCCCCGCATCCGCCTCCACCACCTGCTCTGCTCTTCCAGCCCCGACCCATTCACCAAAAGCTTCCACTTTTCAAAAAACCACTTTGAGCACTCCCAGTTCCGCCGATCTCTGACTAGTGTCGCAGAGCGATCCCTCGTCCCCTGCGCGACACCCCACACCAGCAGGCCATCCGCCTCGATGTCATGCTTGAGCTCGCTCTCATCAAACGCCGGCGGGTCCATAGACAGCATCGTGATAACTCGATCGCGGAACACGGGAAAGGGAATCAGGTCGAGATACATGCCGTGCGGATACGAGCGCTGGAGCGGGGTTGGGGCGAGGTCCGACATGACGCTTTTGGAGAGCTCGAAGCAGGGCCGCACGCGGACCGGCCGCATGATTCCGATGCTGCTACCGCTGGCGCTGGGTGGGCTGGTAGTGTTTGAGAGGCTTGTTGTGTCTGAGTCTGACAACACGTCTGGTGGCGAAGCGGAGACTAGAGCGGTCCATTGCGCGTCAAGATACCATGGCGAGAGAAAGCTTTCGGCCTCGGCTAGCTTGAGCGGCACTCCTATGTAGAGAGCGTTTTGGATGCGCGCGGCGTAGAAGTTAAGCTTTTGAATTTGGAGGTAGTTGATATATGGTGAAGGGAGAGTAGAGCTTTGAGAGAGGTTTGATTGTGGCCGTCTTCCTCGAGAAGGACTGGGCGTACCGGTGAGGTTGCGCATAGGCGTTGGATGCTCTGCTACGAGGAGATTGAGAGATGGCGACTCGCAACCAAAGAAGTCTGATAGGCCGTATAAGGTGTCATCATGGCTTGAGGAGGAGGCCAAGTTGTATGGACCTAAGATGTTCACATCGAGATCGTCTTGGAAAGAAGGTACGCCTCCATCGATGGCAGATGGAGACGACCTTTGGACTTGTGTTGCTTTTCTCCGCTCTCCTGGACCTTTTTATCAGCAAACGCCGTATGGGCGGTCCCATAGCACGCACGATATCGACGTTGAGACTCTCGATTCTGCCTCCTTCTGCTTTCGGTAAGGACTCGATTTCGCTTTTTAGACCTCGGTGCACTGGCTGGCTCGGTCATGGCGGCTCCTTTCTGGACCATGTTCAGGAGATGGTACGTAGTTCTGCTGTATAGTGACTTATCTCCTCTGTTATACCACCCGAATGTGCACACTGCTCAATCCCCACTGCTCACGTGACCTCATGCCGCTTTGGCTGAGTTCGGCTCAGCTTCGGCTCAAGTCTGCTCCGGTCTGCTCACCCTTGCTCACCCGCTGCGGCGCAGTCTCAGATGTACCCACTAAAAATTGTCAAGGTTTAGGGAGGGGCCTCAAATCTGTCCTGGGTCATGAATTCAGGCCCTATAGTGTTTAATAAGCCCCAGGGAAAGGTCCCGTTGCATGGGGAAGCTTACCTCCTGGACCCGTTTTCGGGCCACTGTTCTATTCCTGAGCACGGACAAGTCATGACCACTATCGTTCCTTGAAATCATCTGCATCCGCATCAGGACGTTTCGAGCTACCTCTATTGTGAACCGACGAATACTCATAGCAGCTCTTTAACAGCCTCACGTCGATTCTAGTAGAAGAATATAGCAAAGGGAGCGAAACTTAGCCGTGTAGCGACTTTAATAATCACATCAATTTAAAGTTGTTATTCTAGAAGCGTGAAAGAACCCAAAGGTTATGGATTATAGATAGCAGCGGTGGTTCAGAACTGCGCATTAGTTCTTATCTCTTTCATCGAGTCTTATTAGCATTTGAAGGCAAATAGCATAGGCAACTTTCCTGAGAACATGATCGTCCTCAGTTATTGTCTTAGTACGTCACCGTCTTGCGAGCATGTCTACCTTGAGAATACAACTGTCTCAAGACCGGCCTATCTTAAGAGCGTGACTGTCTAGAGAACGTCCTCATCTTGAGATGCTACCGTTTTAAGACCATAGCTATCTTAAGACTATAGCCGTCTTAAGAGTATGCCGTCTTAGGAACATGCCATCTTAAGAACATGCCGTCTTAAGAACATGCCGTCTTAAGAACATGCCGTCTTAGGAACGTGACTGCCTGCAGAGTAGACGAGCTAAAGCACTTTCGGTACATTATTAAAGCACGACTCGTCAATGATATCAGCGTTAGTACAAGCGAAGGCTTGAGCTGTGTGCATCTTGCAGGGATAAATAAAGGAGTTTCAACCCTCAAAAATAACCGATACGCCCGTCCCCATGTTGAGGGTCTACGGGAGATCTCTCGGAGGGTTGTTGGACTACTTTATTTTTTCCTGATTTACCGGGTTCTCAGTGGCCTTGAGAGGGGACCCTTACAGAACCAATCGCAATTCCCGTCAATCTCAAGATTGGTGTTTGAAGTAGAGGAGAGTGATCACTCTGATGACTAGCCTGGATCGAGGAAGGCAACAGTGATGGTGCGGCTGAGAAACGCCCAAGAGTGCTCACTTCTTGGTGAACGCAAAGTCGCGTAAGAGAAAATATTTGAGCTTGAAGGCGCCCTTGACGCGTGGTTCATACCGCCCAGCTCATTTTGCTCTTTTTTATCCTCAGGAAGCTAATCAGCGTCAAGGACTTTGCATGTATGATGGCGCGGCTCCGTTTTGGGGCGTCGTGTCGTCTCGATGCCTTCTTCTTCGCAGTTACGCAATCCAAAATTGTGACTATGTCCGACACGCCACAATTTCTGCAGCAACACGCCTGCGTCCGGCAATGCATCTGGCAATACGGCTACTACTGCAAAGACCCATATGTCGATGCGTGCCTATGCCGAACAGACCTCGCGTCCTCCACGTCCAGTTACCTCACAAGGTGTGTAAGCAGTAAGTGCCAGGCAGTTGCTACCAAGGATGTTGGCCAGGCGGTCTCATTGTATGCGGGATACTGTAACGATGCGAGCTTTACGCCGCCGGCGGATTCTATTACAAGCCCGGGGATTAGCTCTGCCATAAGTTCAGTAACTATGGCTACAATCTCGGCAAAGGGCGGAGCGATAGCTGCAGCCAAAAGTTCGTTCGGGAACCTCCTGGGATCTTTCATAGCTATGTTGGTGGGAATAATAGTACAAACCCTAATTCCTCAAAATAGAGCCTCAAAACAACAGCTGATGCGTTTCAAGTAACTAATATGAGTTACTGTATCCTTCGAGCTATCACATCTCAGCCATGGGGTCAGCTTGAAAGGAAACTCTAGATTGAGACTGGAAAAAGTAATTGTAGCATTTGGACTCCAAGAGAAATCTTTGCCGGAATATAATTGAATGTTGACGCGGGACGTATTCAGAAACGATGAACTGGCGTCCGAGAGAGAGATTTGAGCTTACCATCGCAATTTCGTCTCCTTCTGCAACCTGTTAAACAAATATTTAAGGTTATAGGGCTATATACTGCTTACCGGTCCGTTCGCTTGTGTTGGACTAGTTAATAAGAACTTAGCGGACTCTATCCTGCAGGTTATCTTCCCAGTATATTTAGTTCAGGGGTGAAGAGAGGTGGGATTATGTTATACAGGCAATGGGCTAATTCTCTAGCTTATTCTTTAGCCCTGCCATAACCGCAGCATTAATAAACGTCGTCACGCGTGCATCTCGAACTAACGCGTTTCTACCCCTTAAGGCAGCGTAGAGCTTTGCAAAGAGCACACCAACCGCCATGAAACCGAGTGTGATCCACCCAGCCCACTGGTTGGTAATCTTTTCCCATCGTCGTCGAATTCCATCAAGAACGACATCTTCGCGCCCATAAGACACGTGGATGTGCCCGAATACGACAAGACGCGGTCGTATGTGTGCTATTTCCAGGGCCAGGAATGGGCAACCCGCGCGATGGAAATCTCTCGTGCCCAGATGCAAACGCGGAGGGCCGTGTGTGATCACGATATCTATATCTAAGGGGATCGACCAGATGTCTTCGTCCCGTGGATACTGGAATGCAGAGATGCCGTACTGTGGTGTCTGCGGGCTACCGTAGATCCGCAACGTTTTCTTGGACGGGGTGAGGGGCTTTGAGGGCTTCTTGGAAATTCGAGAAGTACAGAAGAGTCCTGGAGATATTGTACGCTGCCCCAATCTAAACCTGCGGCGGTCTTAGTCTGACCATACCGTCGCTCGGGATATTCTTGTCGGAACTTCTTGTCGAGCAGGACATCGTGATTCCCGGTAACGATAATCTTGTGCTCGTGTGGCTGCGCGGAAAGCTAGGTGAGCTAGGCTTGCACTTCGTTGAAGCTTCCGATTTCTGTGAGATCTCCGGCGTGAATTAGGATGTCCCCACGAGGAAGTTCTGGCTGGGTATTGTGTGTGTCAGACACACATACAATCCGGATGGGTGATGATTCCAGCTTTGCAGAAGGTAGTGGTTGTTGGTGGAATGGATGAAGTTTGAGCAATGATGTGGCGAGGTTATTCTACTTAGTCGCTGGCCAGGGAGCTTGATGACTCGCGGAGAAGCAGATTTTGAGGAAGCCATAGGGACAGCGTAGGGAGAGAGGACGATTGGGTACGCCGGAGAAGCCTGGGTACCTATATACCGGTGCGTGTCGTTCCCCCACTAGGACGTGGCATGACGGGTAGATAAAAGATGAAAGAGGTGGGCGCCATAGAGGAGGTCTATTTTCGGCGAGAGTCACGTGGCCCCGATGAAACTCGACATCACGGCTTCCACTCCGCATCACCAGCTGAGTTCTGAGTGAGGATGGAGGTGAAACAATGCATTGAACGAGGTAAGTGATGTATTGGTTGAGCATCTATATAGGCTACGTACGCCGTATATATACTCTGTATGTGTGGAGGCTTACGTAGCCGTACCGTAGAACTGTGTGGGCTAAGTATAGGAACCGTGTTCTATATCAAGGTAGCCGAGCTAACCGTACCATACTCCGTAGGCTAGCTGGCTAAGAATACGTACTCCGTCAGTATATGTAGTGATGGAGGGGGGCAGTATGCGATGGAAAACAGGGCCTGTAAGGTGCGATTTTGATGGGTGTGGCATTACAAGGGGCCTGCGAGCACTGTATGTAGCTATATAGCATATAGCTCACGTACAAGCTCACTTAAGGGCTTGAAAATATCATAATCTCGGACGAATATCCCTTATATGCGTCGGCTAAGCGTCGGCTTAGGTGATCTGGCCAATCAGAGCGTGGCGTTAAGTAGGGGGAGGGGGGGTGGTGTACGTAGCAATATAGGGGTGGTGTAGTTAGCATTAGGGGGTGGTGGGATTAGCAGCGGCCTAATAAATTTGTTTTCTTCGATAATTATCACTAAGAGACACAGACAGATACATCTACCCACTTGGATCGTAATCGATGGTTATAGTTGTTGTGGTATAGCTCCTCCAATGTACCAAAAACTGGTGATTTTGATGTTCCTCGCCTCGCGTAGCTGGTGAGGTCCGGAATATGCACTTGGCCGCGCCCCTTGTAACATCTTGGTGTTGAGCCTCAATAGCCCAACATATGGGCTCTATGAGGGTAGCGTCAAGTACGGCTAGGGGGTTGGAGCGCACATAGTAATCATGACTGCAGACGTTGTAGATAATTGGGGAGATGGCAGAGTAGCGGTCCGGGAACCTCGGCCTTTGGAGGATCTGCCGCATTTGATGGCCACGAGGGAAGTGTCGCCGTTTTGAAATGGCGACGATGATTCACACTCCACTTACCTAGATAAGCATTTTACCAAAGACAAGCAAGTGCAGCCCCTTGTAGTAATTCATCGAAATTGATTTGCGACACTACCAATAACTTTGGTTTAATTGTCATAACGTATTCCACAAGCGAGCCGTCCACTTCATCACAAAAACGCGACGCGTCAACTTCCAACCACCATGCGTCGACAACACAACGTGCAATCAATACAAAATGAAGGTCGAATATGCATGGCTATCGCAGCAATCAATCAGCAGCAATTTAAAAGCGAACGGCGCGCTATTACGACATATAACGTACCCAGAAGCACACTTCGAGATCGACGCGCTGGAACGACCCCACGACGCGATTCTGAGCCTAATTCGAAGAAGCTTTCCAAGCTGGAGGAATCAGTTGTTGTTCAACATATACTCGACCTGGATTCGCGAGGATTTCCGCCCAACCTGCATGCTGTACGAGAGATGGCCAACAAATTGCTCGCCGAGCGCGCCGCCGGCCACGTTGGCAAGAACTGGCTAGAGAACTTTGTTAAGCGAACACCTAAGCTTAAAACATAATTTAATTAAAAGTATAATTATTAGAGAGCTTTATATAAGAATCTAAAGGTAATTAGCAATTAGTTTAAGCTTATGCGCAATATAAAAGCAAAGTATAGTATTCTAGATAAAAATATATATAACTTTAATAAAGCTAGCTTCTAAATAGGCGTTATTTTAACTAGCGTAGTTATAATAGGCTCTAAGCGGTGTAATTATCCAAAATTAATATAGCTAGGCAATTGCAAATAGATAATAATAATTTAAGAAGTTAATACCTATAGATAGGCTATTATAACAAGTTGTTTTTTTTATACCTTTTAAGTGTTTTATACTAAGGCAGGGTATAGGCAAGTTATTATTAGGGTGTAATAGTCTTTAAAAGGTAAGGCAATAATTAATTAAGGTCTAAAACAGGGTTATTACTTCTAATAGGTAGTATTAAAGTTTTAAGTTAAATATAAGGTTTCTATCTATATAAAGGAGCGTCCCTTTATATAAAAGCTCCGTTCTAAAAAACCTTTTACTTATATAGCTTGCAGCCTCGAGCTCCTTAAGCTGCTCCCTTAGCTTATAGCCTTAAGCCCCTTAAGCGCTCGCCTAGCTTGCTCCCTTAAGCCTTTTAAGCTATTATATAACCCTGTTTTTATAATATCCTATTCTTAGATTATTTCTATTTACTAGTAGTTTATAGGGGAATCTAGGATCCCTATACGTTCTATATATAACCCTTTTAGTCCTGTAACCTAGTTCTGCGTAATTAGTTTTATCTACTTACTTATCTCCGTAAGTACCTCTGCGCTCGGGTTGTTTATATTACGGGTTGTAATAGCTATCCCGCTATTTATTATTTTTTTAGGTAAGTACTACCTTTCTATATAGTATAAAGGTAATAATATACTACTAAACTAGGTTATAGCAGTAAGTAATAATAGCTAGATAATAAATAAGCTTAGTATTACCTAGCTATAGTATTTTAATAAGTATATAAAGGATCGCACTATAGGTATATATTAGTATTACAACCCGTAATATAAATAACCCGAGCGTAAAGGCACTTACGGAGATAAGTAAGCAGATAAAACTAATTATACAGAACTAGGTTACGGGACTAAAAGGGTTATATATAGAACGTATAGGGATTCTGGATTCCTTTATAGACTGCTAGTAGATAGGAATAATCTAAGAATAGAATATTATAAGAACAGGGTTATATAATAGCTTAAAAGGCTTAAAAAAGCGAGCTAGGCGAGCGCTTAAGGGGCTTAAGGCTGCGAGCTAAGGGAGTAGCTTAAGGAGCTTAAGGCTATAAGCTATATAAGTAAAAGGTTTTTTAGAACAGAGCTTTTATATAAAGGGACGCTTCTTTATATAAATAGGAACCTTATATTTAACTTAAGACTTTAATACTACTTATTAGAAGTAATAACCCTATTTTAGACCTTAATTAATTATTACCTTACTTTTTAAAGACTATTACACCCTAATAACAACTTACCTATACCCTGCCTTAGTATAAAACACTTAAAAGGTATAGAAAAGACAACCTATTATAATTAGCTGCTAATTATTAATAGCTATAAAAGCTACTGCTTACTTAAATTTAAAAAGATTTATAAAAAAAATAATATTATTACTCTTTATATACCAGCGCATTTATTACACCTACTGCAGCTGCTTAATATTAGCTGCTTTGCGCTGTTAAAAAAGGTATACAGGCGCTAAATTAAGAACTTAATACGCTACTATATTAACTATATTATAAAGCTAAAGTTTTTGCTAGTATTTAAAGCAGCCTTCTATAACTTAATTATAAAAAGTAATATTTGCGCAGGCTTTTAAAGCGCAGGCCTTATACTACTTAATCTAGAGGTAGTGCTTTTAAAGCTTAATATTTAGCTTTATATACTATTACCTTCTGCTATAGTAGAAGCTTAATATAATAGGTTGTTTTTTCTATACCTTCTAAGTATTTTATACTAAGGCAGGGTATAGGTAAGTTGTTATTAGGGTGCAATAGTTTTTAAAAGGTAAGGTAATAATTAATTAAGGTCTAAAACGGGGTTATTACTTCTAATAGATAGTATTAAAGTTTTAAGTTAAATATAAGGTTCCTATTTATATAAAGGAGCGTCCCTTTATATAAAAGCTCTATTTTAAGAAACCTTTTACTTATATAGCTTATAGCCTTAAGCCCCTTAAGCGCTCGCCTAGCTCGCTTTCTTAAGCCTTTTAAGCTATTATATAACCCTATTTTTATAATATCCTATTCTTAGATTATTCCTATCTACTAGCAGTTTATAAGGGAATCTAGGATCCCTATATATCCTATATATAACCCTTTTAGCTCTGTAACCTAGTTCTATATAATTAGTTTTATCTACTTATTTATTTCTATAAGTACCTCTGCGCTTAGGTTGTTTATATTACGGGTTATAATACTTACTCCCTTTTCTAAGGCTTTCGGCCCGAAAGTATTTCCGTGGTAGGGTTTTAGATAAGTAGCTGGCGATGCCCTATTTATTAGGCTATTATTATACTATTCTATTTTTTTCTTTATAATATCCAATACTTTAAAAGCTAAGAAATAAAAAAGTTATTTTATGCTTACTAATTATATTAACGCGTCTGGTTTAAAAGTTATACCTTATTCCTAGTATAAGTTTTAGAGTTTATTATATATAGTTTCTATATCTAACTCGGATTATTATACCGCCTACGTTCGGGCGCAATAATTAAACTATAATATTGCTGGTATCTTAGCAGCTGCCTATAAGCTATTATAATCTACTATTGCTTATAACTATATTTTAGCTAACTTTTCTAGGGCGGAAGCTAGCCTATAAAAAGGATAAACTTTATTATAAGAAGTTAAAAACTTATATAACCCTAAAAGCGGCTATAGTAAAGCTAGATTACCTGGATTTTTAAAAGGAGCTATTACGTAAGCGTGGTAAGGAGATAAT